GACAACTATGAATGTAGTAATGACACCATCATCACGATACGAGTTTAGTTTGTACGTTGGTCGAGCCTGTAGTCAACAATGGGGGGAGCTGCTGTACATTGGACGGCGGGTGGGGCACTCGTGTCGATGTCGTTGGGGATGTCTTGGGCACAATCGTGGGTGAAATAATGCATTCGACTTGGGGTGTCACGCGGCTAATGCACGCCTACGTACGTACGTATCCAAGTGAGAACGGTGACTCGGGTTGAAGTTGCTCGAGTTCGACAGCAAATCGCACCAACAGATCCGCGAGGCCCACGCGGGTGGCGGCATCGTCGATCGAGTTGTCCTCCCCGAGCCGGATTTCGCGCAATTTCGTCGTGGGGTGGCGTCGTATCGCCTGTTTCAGCGAGCCCAGGCCAGCCACAGTGATGCCGCAATTCTATCGCCAAATCAAACAATCATACCGTGAGAATGCATATATAGATAGAAGATATATACAGTGCATATATTATATGCATCACGCTCTGATGGGATCCAACCTCGATGTTCAAGCTCGTGAGGTTTGCATGTGCCAACGTGATGAGTCCGCCGAACGAGTCAAAGCCGTCGGTGCTGATGGGGTTGTATGACATGTCAAGGGACGTCAAGTGGGGATGAGCGGTCGTGGCAACGTCGCGGACAGATCTAGTGGGATGTGAAGACAGCCAGCCACAGCCAAGACTGGGAAAGTACGACAGGACGTACGTGATGTTGTTGCGGCCCACATGCAAATGGCGCACGGAAATCGTGAGTATGCAGCAAAAACCAACATTCGAGATGCCGTTGTCGCTCAAGTCCAGTGTGTCCAGGATAATCGATGGGGTATTCGTGCTGTAGTCCCTAGTCGTCAGGGACGTGCTGGACGTGAGTTTCTTCTTTACATGCAAAGTTCATGCGAGAAAGTACATGGTGGTGGCAACATGACGACCATACGCGGTGCTTTTCTTCTTGGGGTGAAAGACGTCGGCGATGGCGCGGGCGCCGCCGTCCCCAAGGTGGTTGTGCCGAAGAATCAAAGTTCGCAACCTCGCGCACGACTGCAACGCCTGACCAAGGATCAACCCCGCTACATGAGCATGAGAGTGGGTATTTTACATGGGATAATACCTTGTCGAGGAAGTTTGCAGCTTGGGAGCTCCAAGTGTTCAATGGGTTGTAACAGCGACGTCAAGGTCATTAGCGCTGTCATACTCACATCGCGACACCTGCAAGGACGCGTTCATGTGACATTGATGGGTGAGGTCTATCATACGTGTCAAGCACGAGTCGTCGCAAGCTGCCTGTTTCCTTGAAGCATCGAACTAGGACGGTGACCACGCCTTCTGGCAGCGGGCACTGCGACAACTTCAGCGTCGTGATGCCGTATGTATGCATGGCTACATGAGCAAATTGTAGTCTGGCCTTTGCTTCATCCTCATACTCGTCCGACTTACGCAGGAATGTCTGGGTGAGCTTCTCCAGTGCAAATTGATCGAGTTCACCATGTGATAGCTCCAACGTCGTGAACTCTGGCTGTTTTAGCGCCGAGAACACCTTGAGGACCCCAGATACCGTCGTGTGCGACTACAAGTACCGATCCGGCGTCATGTGATCATTCGCATGTCTATTCCTTCATGTAGAGCATGCTCAATAGCTTACCAAGTTGATGACATGGCACACGCCACCTTCCACTGACACAGCGCTGCTGCCGCCGCAGTCGTCGTCATCTGATGTCGCTGGAGACAGCGGTGGCATTTGAAGTGGAAAATTGGGTTATGGAATGTTTCCCAAGAAGATTGACATGGCCCAATCAGCGATCAGGTGGGTTTCAAAATAGCTCGCGCGTTTTTCGGAATAATGATTTGTACATTGTATACACATACAAAACCAAAGATAACAAAACTTGCTCAAATTATCGACTTGGCCTTTCTCCTCAAAGCAAAATTTCCGTCGACGAGCGCGCAGTGTCAAGGAGGTCCATGGTGGTTCGGTTGTCGAAGGCGGCAGGTTCGTCCGAGGCAAGCGTGTCATCGCCTGCGCCATGAAGGGAGTCTTCCGACCCGCGAATGTCGCCCATGTTGTCCAACATTGTGCTGGGTCGATCTTCCAGCATCGCAACTCCGTCCAAGCTGTCCTTGGGGTTGAACAAGCCGGGATCGCGCTGTTCTGGGCCTGGCGCTGTAGAAGCAGTGGCGACGGGGGTTGCGTTTGCCTGGGTCGTGAAAACTTGAGTCGGGTAGCCACCGAGGGCCGTTGGAGGCGTATGGAGACCGAATTCAGGATCGAATGCGTCCTTGTCCTCTTCCAACGACTGGGCACGACGACGAACCACAAACAACGCAGCAGCAGCGACTGCAAGCGCGCCTCCGGCAGTCAAGAAGATCGTCGGGGCGGGGTTGGATGAAGACGAATCGGCAGAGGACACGTTGATATTGGTACTGTCCGTCCCTCCGATAGATGTCGCACTGGAGGAACTCGACGACCCAGCGCCAGCAGCAGCACCGCCACTAGTCGCACCGCCACTAGCCACACCGCCACCAGCAGCATCACCACCAGCATCAGCACCACTAGCCGCGCTTCCAATCAATACGCCAGTGGGGTTCGAGGCACCGTCAGAAATCGAAGTCACAAATGTTTCATTGATTGCATCGAACGTCCCATTGATTCCGTTGAACGTCACTCCATCCCCAACTCCATCCCCAGATGTACTGTTGACCGTTTCCAACGAAGTCGTGTTGGTTCCATTCAACGGGACAAGTGTGGTTGTTGCCGACGTTGTCGTGGGTTCAAGTGTTGTGGTAACGTTAGGTTCAGGTGTTGCCGTAGGTTCAGGTGTTACCGTGGGTGTAACCGAAGGTTCAGGCGTGGCCGTGGTAGGTGCAATTGTCGGGGCCGCGGTCGTCGTGGTAGGCTCAGGCGTTACAGTCGTTGTAGGTGCAGCGGTTGTCGGCGGCTGAGTTGTCGGCGCCTGAGTTGTCGGTGGCTGAGTTGGCGGCTGAGTTGTCGGCGGCTGAGTTGGGGGCTCAGTCGGAGGTGCCGTAGGTGGGGATGTAGGTCGTGCGGTCGGCGGAGGTGTGGCCGGAGCGACGTCAAATTTCCAATTGCCGTAACTATCGATAAGGCCAAAGTTCGCTTCGAACTCGGGCGACTTGTTTGGCATGTCCTTGTGCTGAAAGTAGAACGGCACACCGCCCCCGTTGCCATACGACCAGTCCGAGTACGATTGCCAGTATGCTTTGGCGTTGTCATAACTGCCGACGTGGCCATTGTACGTGCCGCTGGTGGGCCACCCCGTTTCCGTGAGCTTGGCCTTGCCGCCAAACTTGGCCGTGACTTGCTTCCATCGAGCGTTGAGGTCGTTGATGGGTTTCAAGATGGAGTCGGGCGACGACCCAAAGTACGGGTAGATGTTCACTCCCACGACATCACATGCGTCCGCCAGTCGCCCGGCGCTCAAGAAATCACCGTCGACTTGCACAGACCCGATCGGCACGCCAAGCGCGCTGAGACTCGCCTTCGCTTGGTTCACCTTGTTGATCACAGTTTGTTCCGACACGCCGTTGGCTAGGTCTTCGTTGCCCACGTATACGGCGACGACAGTGCCGGGGTACGCCTTGATGCCGGCGGCCACGGCGTCGATGTCGGCCTGGATCTTGGCGTCGCCGCTACGGATCCATACACCCGCGGCGATTTGAAGTCCTGCTTTCGCGGCGGCGGCAATCGCGTTCGTGTTGCCCATTTGGGTCTCGTACACACGCACGGCCGAGAACTTGGTCTTGATTTGACGGAAATGGTTGTCGATGTTGCCCACGTCCGCCACGTCAAAGCAGACGCCGCCCGCCGCCGCGTCCACGGATAACACGGACGAAAGGACGACAAGGATCAAGCACACATGCTTGGAGGGGTAGGAGGTGGATGGAGCCATACGAGGAACGGCAGAGGACGAGTGCGGGGGACGCACGTCGTAGAATAATGCCCACACTTCACGGCCGTCACATTGTTTGTGAGTAATTGCATGAGTACGCCAGCAGGAATGGCAAAAACAATGGTGGCAGTTTACAAAGCGTTCTGATTGGTCGGTTGAAGGTGACAAATGTGTGGTACAAATGCCTACGTCATTAAACGTGGTTGTGAATTGTAAAAGCAAACCCGTTAAAGGCGGTTAATAAGAACTCATGAAAGTACGACTATATATCAGCCAATATACTTTCGACATTGGATTAAACAAGAGATGCCTGACGTTTGATTGGCTTATCCCAGATGATAGAATTTATCACCTGGACTACAAGTGATTAAAACTACGCCGTTTCTGATCACAGTACTAGTACCTCTTACTCGAGTAACTTGAAGTTCTGGGTGATAGAATCTCTCACCTGAACGAAACCATACTATAATCAAGTCTATTCTTATGTATACTTGACTTGCGTTTGACTTCACGTCCTATAGGGTTAACAGTAGTACTACGTAGTAATGTTCAAACGTACTAGTAACGTTACTACAAATAACGTGTTCCAGTTGAAGTACTTGTACTCCTGAGAATATAAGGTGATTGGCAGTGGACCACTAGTACTGTAGTACTACTGTAGTATTACTACATAGTACTGTACTATTAATAGGACCACCAACCGAGCAAGTGATGGCATTGGTTTTCTTTCAACCGGTTCTAATGGTACTGGACTTACCTACCTCCGCCGATACAGTACCTATCTCTCCCTACGAAGACATACAAGTCCGGCACATTACGGTCGATACACACGCCAGGGCAAGATGTTGCACGCATGCGTGATATTACTGGCCTTATATCCGATCTTTACTTGATTTGGATTGGATAAAATGATAAAATCTAAAAATAGAATACTGATACCAAATGAGCAACAACAATAGCCATTGTTTCCGAGCACAACGCGATCCATGGCAGACAAGAAGGCGGCGGGGGTCGTGGTCAAATGCGACGAAGTGTCCAAGAACCAGATATGGCGCGAGCATCTCAAGAAGGAGCTGCTCATGGAAGGTCCATCCACACCATTCCAGTTCAACCCCAAAACATGTACTACTACTACATACTACCAACCTGTCGCCGATGACACACCGACTGGCATTAGTGAGTTCCGTGACCCCAAAGCCGACAATGATGAAGCCATCGGACTTTAGCCGGACGGACCCCGTCGGCTCGACCTCGAACGAAGTGGCGGAAAAGGTCAAGCAAAACGTGAAAAAGCCCCAGGAAATCTCGGCCGTGCCCATGACCGAAGCGCAGAAAGTCGGGTACGTCCTTTCTACCTAGAAGATGCAGTGAAATATATCGTCACTCATTAACTGTTAGTTGGGCCCACGACCAAGCGTGGAAGAACGGCCGAGGCGCCGTGAGCAAGCGGTGGTACCGGGGTCGTGGCAGGTACATTATTCTTACTCCAAAGTCTCGTTCAACTCGGACGATTATTCACTTGCTATGTGGGATTAGTACCGACGTGACGGAATTCGCAGAAAACTACTGCACCATGGCCGGGTGCAGTCCCTTTGCAGACAAATCCACTCGCTAACACTTATAATTCATACGTAGTAATACTAATAGTAGTTACTACTCGATATATGACAAACTAGTTGGAATTCGTGTAATCCATCGGGCCAGACGAGACAGACGGAGGGGGAATGTTGATCGAAGCGGATTGGTTCATGAGCGCTTGGAGTTGGGTGGCGCTCGGTGTCTTGACCAGTTGGGGCAGCATGCTCAGCGTCGGCAATGCGTCCGGCTCGACCCCCGACAGCTGGGCCTGGTCATCGAATGCCGCCAGTTGGTTCTTGAGGTCTTCAATGTGCTGCAAAATCCCTCGTCGGTGGCCTACATACCGATATTCGAGTGTTGAGAATATATATATATATATATATAGATTAGACCTTTGTTGACATTCATTTTCAAGTGTTGAGAATATATATATATAGATAGATTGCACCTTTTTTGACATTCATTTCAATGAGATCGCCTTCGTCGATGGTGGCCACGCCGCGGAGCGTGTCGAAGCCGTCCTTTTCAAACGACTCGGTGTATTCGCCCAATTCCAACTGTTTCAACCAGTTGCGCACTGACATGATGTCTATGTACATATGTCGTTGTGCATGTCGTAATCCTGAGGTGGTCGTGATGACAATACCTCGGTTTTGAGACAACGGGCCATTGGGCGACGACCGTTGTTGGTCCCTCGGCTTGAACGCCCCCACGTCGTCGTCGGGCAGGGCGTACTCGGCGTTGCCCTTTTCCCACGCCTAGAAATATATATATATATAATAGTTCAAAACATATATAAAACAAGAATTCACACAACGACAGATATAAAGTAATAATTCACACCAACACGCGACCAAAACAACCCACCTGCAAACGAGACGCGAGCGCGCTGTGCCCTGCTTCAAACGCACACCGCGACGGGGTTTTGTTGGTCTAATCATCATAATGGTCGTCCCATATTAATACTATATATGATATATATATTAATATTATATATATATATGGAGAAAACGCACCAACGTCGGGCGTTGCAGGGCATGGGGGTCCCGGGTGTGCTTGATCAGCCACAAAGCACAGTCCTTATGCCCGCCCAACGCCGCCCAGTGCAACACATTGCGTCCGAACTAACATGTTGTGAGCGTTCCACCATATGACGTTATCATGATACCTTGTCCACGTCGGTCCACAGGTCAAAACTCTCGGCGAGGATGCGAAGCGTCGACAGATGACCCGATCCTGCGGCCCAGTGCATGGCATTTTTCCCATTCTATAAACCAAAAATAGTGTCATAAAGATGTTTGTTTCAACGCACGACACGAATCATACTGAATATTAGTAGTGTATATTCTAAACTGGATAAGGAGAATGAATAAATCGACGACGTAACCAAATGTATTACAGAAGAATTGAACCAATCAGATTGCACGAAACCATTCATCAACATTTGATTAGTGTGCGACTTCAATTAGTGTGATACCAATCACCACGGAACAACATTTACATACAAATTTCAGTACAAAGAATCGATGGATAGATTTGGCAAAGAATCAGCACAAAAGTCAGCCGCATTTTGGGCCAAAGGACAATATACGTATACTATTAATAGTAGTGCAGTCAAAGAAGCAGGCGAATTCTATTCCACCACCAACACAAAAAACAACATGTGTACAACGGTCGACATGATTTAGTGTACACACGCATAGGCCACGACACCAGTTTAAGAATATAGTATGATTGCCGACGCTTATCGAAATATAGTGTGAACATCTAGTACCTTGTCCTTGAGAAAGCGAAGGGGGTACGCGTGGTTGACGTCTGCGAGAATGCGTTTGATCTCGTCGTCGTTGCCGTCTTCAGCGGCGTGGACGAATTTCTACCAGACATATCCATTGATTGCTAAGCAACGATATGGACGTACTTGGGAAATGTCAAACCACGACTTGAGAAACTGCATGCATTTGCTCTTGTGCTTATCTTTGGCCAATTGGTACGCCGTGCGGTTGTCCTAATCGAGGATTACATGAAGATCATATATATATATATATATTACAACACCGTTATGGGAAGATATATATATATATATATATCCAAGAGACAACACTACGACAGTGCCTGCCACTTACGTAGCTCGTGACGTGGATGTCGATGCCGGCCATGCAGAGGTACTGGACCACGTCCTTGCGGCCTTTCGACGCCGCCCAATGCAAGCATGTGCCCCCGTACTACGAGTAACACAAGATGATTCGACGAATTTTCGACTTTTGGCAAAAAAAAGACAAATATTCATTAAAAAATACGAATATTCGCCAAATATTTAAACACGAATCTCGTACCTCGTCGATCGAGTTGATGTCGATGGGCTGCACCCACTCTTCAACCAAGAACTTGACCACGTCCAAATGGCCGTTCAATGCCGCCGCAATGTGCGGGGTGCGTCCAAACTACATGGTCAACATGTGAGAGAAACATTGGAGGAAGGCGGTGTCACCTTGTCCTTGAGATTCAATGGGATGCCGTGCTCTACCAGCGCCAGCACCACTTCCAGATGTCCGTAGAACGCGGCATAATGGAGCGCCGTCTGGCCGCTCTACATCATGAAACGTCGTAGGAGTTGTTACGACAAGGAGGAAGTCCTACGTCGTCGACGGCAGGTTTCATCTCGGGGACGCCGAGGAGCCATTGTACGACTTCCAATTGCCCAGACGCAGCAGCCGCATGCAACGGAGTGCATCCATTCTAGGAAGACCGTGTCAGAAAACGCGTGGGAGGAAAGGGCGACGACGACGACGATATACCTGGTTGCGGTAGTTCACATCGACAAAGATGTCTTGGACCAAGTACACCACTTCCTGCAGCTTCCCTCGATGCGCTTTTCGGATCAAGATGTCGCCTGTCGTGAATCTCATCATGCCCTGCTGCGTTCCTGCCGCCACGATCTCGGTGCCGCCGACAACTAAAAGTTGGCAACGACGTGGTCGTTGCCAAACGATATAAACTGACACAGGTTTTGCCTCCACTTTCATTACAATAACGGAGGAAATTCTGTATTATATTCTAGAGGTTCCGCTTTTATTTCTTCCAAAGCTGTATGCATTTATACAGTATCATCATTTGTCTCAGGACTCCGGCAATCAAAGAGGAAAGAGCAATCAATATGTATAGCGATCTCCCATGGTGCGAGACATTGCTATCCCGCGTAGTCGTCGAAATCCTGCCATGACAACGCCTCCATACTCGGTACTACTCAGTAACTCTCTTCCGTACTGTGTTTGCCTTTACCGCCAAGGTGCCGATCAAATTGTTTCGCTAATACAAACATCAAGTGAAAGTTGCGGCTGACCTTGTGACACGTAAACTTCAACTTTGTCAGAAAGGCGCGCGTTTGTTTCGATCGTCGATCGAAGTGCTCAATCCACGATGCCTTCGACGGCACCATCGATCATGGACCTTCCTCCACTAGTTTGGGACGCGCACTTGGCGCCGCTCCTGTCGCTCTCGGAAGTCATGTCCATCTCGACATTGAACCGATCCTTCCACAAACTCATGCACCATGCCGTGACGTTGTATCACCCTGTGGACATCAACGCGCCCGTGGATCAGCTCGAGGCGATTACAGATGCATGGACGAATCTCAAGGCGATCACGTACAAGCCATTTGTTCGTAGCGACGAACCATACAACAATGAGTCCATCTACCACCTCCCTCACCGACAACAGGTACAGGTCCTTGTATCGTCCATGCCGTAGTTGATCTCCCCTGATCACATCAGCACGACAACATCGACGAACCCGAAGGAGAGATGGATATCCCCGACATTAATCCGCGCATGGAACATGTCATCGCCCAAAGTGTGCCCGCCATCCCATCCAAAGACAAACTGTCGGGCTCTGTGGGCAAGCTCATGCATCGATTGCATTCATTGGACCTCAGTGGCACACATCGACTCGAGTTGAGTCCAGGTACTGATGATCGATATTGTTTCTACTCAACTCCCGCCGTCGCTGCTTCCCGTCTGACATATGAACATAACGTGAAGGCATCCACCACCTCCAGCATTTGAATCTCAGTGGGTCGTCCCATATCCGCGGCCTCGAGCATCTCCACACGCTTCGGTCCGTCGACATGAGTTATTGCCACGACTTGTCGGACGTGACACCCCTTGCCAACGTCGTAAGCCGAATGACGATCCATACTTATCTCAATCTAGTCCACTCCCTGTGTAGGCGACCGTGGACTTGAGCTACTGCCACGCCGTGTCGGACATTTCCCCGCTGCAACATGCCACGGCTGTGTTTCTCAACATGTGCAAGAGCATCAGGTACGTACCATGATATTCATGCAGGCGTTCCATCGTGTTCATATTTGTTCTTTCAGCCAAGTGCATGCGTTGGCGAATGTGCACACTGTGAGTCTCCGCAACTGCTCTGGCATCCGCGACGTATCCGCGCTTGGCCACGTCCACACGCTCATCTTGAGCGGGTGCAAGAACGTCACGGACGTTCGAGCCCTCACCCATGTCCATACATTGCATCTCAGGTGACCTCTTCCATCGTTCCTCGACTTAACGACTTTATATGGGGTTTTAGTGGATTGAACATTCAAGATGTGTCGATGTTGGGCGATTGCGTTGACCTCAACCTGCGAAAATGCCATCGAGTGTCCGATGTGTCTAGCTTAGGTATATATAAATATATATAAATATATATATATATATCTGTCCATATTACTATCATAGAAAGAGATTGAATTCCATGACGTAGGCCGCGTCAAGACGTTGGATTTGAGTGGATGCACGTCGTTGGAGCACGTGTCGGCGTTGCGTGCAGTGCACACCCTCAACCTCTCTTCATGTTGGTGCTATATGATACCATCCTCCTGCTCTCTCATGGTCGTTCTATCGTCGTGATCAGGCAAACGCATTACGGATGTGTCGGCGCTGCTGCATGTCCACCACCTCACGTTGAGCAATTGCGAAGCGCTGGAACATGTGAATGTGCTGGGGAGAGAAGGGTCGTCGATCCAGTATTTGGACGTGTCCAATTGTCGTGGCATCACGTCCATCAGTGCGCTGGGACGCATTCCCGTGCTGAACATCAGTCGATGCCACAACATCACCACGCTCGATGGACTCTCCCACGTGACCAACCTCGACATCAGCTTCTGCCGACAACTGTCGGACTTGTCGCCACTTTACAGTATTCAAGTATACCATCCTCTCACGATAAGGTTGATATATTCACGCATTCGTAGATCCTGAATGCTTACCGGTGTACGCGAATCACGGATGTGTCGCCATTGGCCAATGCCGTGAAATTGAACCTGAGTTGCTGCCCGGGTATTCAAGACGTCGCACCCCTGGCTCGTTGCCGTGACATTGACTTGCGTTTCTGCGATGCCTTGGTCGACGTGTCGCCGCTCCGACACGTCCGCTCGCTCAAGCTCGCGGGTAGAGCGTGCATTCCTTCCTGATCCCTGCTAACACATACTGTATGCATCGTATCGCAGGTTGCCAGCGCATAACTGACGTCAGCGCACTCACCCACGTGCAGCAACTAGACTTGAGCTACTGTCATGGTATCCAGGACGTTGGCGGCCTCGCGCTCGTCCAGTATCTCAGCCTCCGCAACTGCTCCCAAGTTGAAGATGTGTCTGCTCTTGGCCGGATATACAGTTTGAATTTATCCGGATGCGACCTGGTAATTCGCGCGCGAACTTTTTCCCATTTTCGAAGTTGCCGACTGGTGTGCGTAGGTGACGGACGTGTCGGCGCTCGGGACTGTGACCAAGCTCAACCTGAGCGACTGCCAAAACATCCGCGATGTCAGTATGCTACACCACGTGCGGTCGTTGGACTTGCGATTTTGCCATGCCGCTGTAGATGTAGACGATCTCCGACAACGAAGCAGCGGCATCGTCTACACCCAAGGATATCCATCGTCGTCGTAGGGGTACGCTCGTTTCTCGGCTGCGTGGAATTGTACATATATATGCTTTCCTTATTATTGATGGGTCAATTCATCTGCGAGGCCTTCGCTCACAAAGTACTGCTGCACTTTCTGGGCCACGTCTCGACCTTCGTGAATCGCCCACACCACAAGGGACTGGCCACGGCGACAATCACCCGCCGCAAACACTCCTTCAAAATAACAGGAAATTAGAACCAGGACAGCGAAAACGATCTCGACAAGTACCTGGCATCGACGTGGCGTAGTTGTCCGTCCAAATGTTCTTGCGCGTGTCTGTCTGCAGCTGCAACGACTGAGGCAGAGCTTGATCAGGGTGCAAAAATCCCATCGCGAGGATGGCCAAGTCGCACGGGAATGTTTCTTCCGTGCCTGGAATTGGTCCCTTGGTTCCATCCTCCAGTGTTTGCGAGCGCGCTGTCACCTATTCGCCGCCCTCATCAGGACACATGCACATGGGATGGCATGAAGCACACATGCCACGTACAACATGGGTCAGGCGCCCTGCGTCGTCGCCTTCAAAGCGAAGAGTCAAGCGCTCATATTGCCGCGGGTCTTCGCCAAACACAGCGCGCACTTCAGCGTGTCCATAATCTACACCGTACACCTTGGGGTATTGCGGCCACGGATTCGCGGGACTTCGGGCCTCGGGTGGCGCCGTATTGTGTTCCAGATTCACCACGGAACGGCATCGATGGCGCAGCGCCGTTGCGACTACACATACACATAACAATCAACATGCAGAAATATCTCAACTCATGATGGACATACTGCAATCTGTGCCAGTGTCTCCGCCGCCAATAACCACCACATCCTTGCCTTCGGCATTGATCCAATCCTTGTTCCATCGACTCTTGAGCGTCCCCTCCTTACTCGCGAGAAGTCGTTTCTGATTGCTCGTCAGGAATTCCATTGCGAAATGCACCTACATCATGATACCTCGATGAGCAATGTAGGAATGTTCATACATAGGTACGAGGTACATACCCCCGAGAGGTCCTTCCCAGGAACATCGGCAAAGCGCGGGATGGACGAGCCGGTACACAAGACGACAGCATCCATCTACAAATCGTGATCATGTTGGAGTTTGAGCAGAAGGAAGGATCGTACATCGGCGAGGACATCGCGAACGTTCGACCCAACATCCACGTTCGTACGGAACGTGATGCCTTCGTCATGAAGTAGTTGGACGCGACGATCCACGGTTGACTTCTCCAACTAGGTTCGTGCCATTGAGAAGACCATCTGGATGAGCGAAACGAGTAGTACCTTCATGTTAGGGATGCCGTACATCAAGAGGCCACCGATGCGGTCTTCGCGCTCGAATACGGTCACGGTATGGCCCATTTGATTCAGTTCGTCCGCGGCCGCCAACCCTGCGGGGCCAGATCCCACCACGGCCACATTCAAACCCGTACGTTGTACGGGAAGGCGCGGGGTGACCCATCCCTCATCCCAAGCACGGTCGACGATGGCATATTCGATGTTCTTGATTGTCACCGGTTGTTCCACGAGCCCGGCCACGCATGCACCTTCGCACGGAGCAGGGCACACGCGGCCAGTGAATTCTGGAAAGTTGTTGGTTGCACTCAAGCGAAGGTACGCTTCCCGCCATTCGTCTCGGTACACCAGTGCGTTCCATTCCGGGATCAGATTGGCAACGGGACACCCGGACAAATGGCGACTTTGGCAAAATGGGGTACCGCAATCCATGCATCGCCCCGCCTGCGCCTTTCGTTCCGTGGGCGCTCTGTACGTTGTGTTAATCTCGTGCCAATCTTGGATCCGTTCTGTAGGAGGGCGGTAAGCATCGGGCGCGCGTGGAACCTCAATAAAGGACCGCTCCACGCGGCCAGACATGATCTTGGGCACATGCGACTTGGTAGACGTGCTCAACGCCCGCGCCGAAATGCGTTGCATGGTCGGCATAAAGAAAACTGTCCTAGGGATCTGTCAACGTGAAAAGTATCTTTGGACATCGTACAACGTACATAATGTACGTTTGTGTTACAATTTCTCAACTGTAGGCATCGTAGAAACCGTACAATCAGATACATTAGGAATGGTGTTGATTGGGCAAACAATGTCATTTACGTCTATTTTGTTTCTCGAGGATGTAACACTTGGACAATGCTTGCCTTTCTGGTGGCGCGAGGGGAAGCCCCCCCCCACGTTACTTGGGCTTGAATCTCCCATGTATTTGGATGTGTTGGTCATCCATCATATTAAGTGCGTGCTACTGCAGGCGTTTTCATAGATTGTGAACAAGGTTTAGACAATCTATAACAGTTGACGCACCATATATTCTCGTGGCTGTGGAGGATGGACACTTAGAACATCCGATGAACATATTGCTGCTGCTTTGAGGTGTCTGATGCTACTATACAGACTACATGAGGGTGATGATACACGGTCTGTTTGGATTCACGTGTTCCTTGAACGCCAACGCACGCAGACTGTGCCACGTCATGGATTATTCTTGTGGGTTTCACTTGCATTCAGCGGAAATGAAATATAAACCATGTATTGGACGCGGGATTCAAAACAACTCTTAACGCAAGTTGACGTTGACAAGTCCAATGCCGTTCACACTCCATCTCGCCTTCGTTCACAGCCGTCAAGACATCCCAGTCGCATGAAGATATCCAATTTCCAACCTTCCAAGACGATTCCATTGATCCAAGCGGAGCATTGCGCGATCAAGTCATTGTACCACACAAGTTCCTCTGTCTGCGTTTGACGCAAACACTTGGACATGACATCTGATTGGTCGGTTAAAAATCCCTGCGCTCTCATTGGTGCATGGAAACCCATCTCCAAAAGATACTTTGGATTTCCGCGTTTTGGTCCGCATTGTTCAACTCACACCATGCTGCGCGCGTCGCTATTTCGCCATCCCGGGAAGGTCCTTGTCCGCGCACCACATGCATCTTCGTTGTCTTCGTACTCGTACTTTCGCAACCCTCCCAAGCATGGTGGGTCCGTCGTGGGGAAAGGGAACAAGCAATCCCTCCTGTACCAGCGCGACCATGAAAAGGACAGTTGCGGCGTCGGCATTTTGGCGCAGTTGCAGAAGAAACCATCGCGTAAAGTCGTGCTCCAAGCGAATGAAATGCTGGTTCGCATGAGTCATCGCGGTGGATGTGGATGCGATCCCGCTTCAGGGGACGGTGCCGGCATGCTTGTGGGCATGCCCCACATATTCATCCAGCGGTTGGTCGACGAAGGAGCGTTTGGAGGAGCACACACTAGCGTGGCATTGGTGCCTGAACAGTATGCCGTGGGTAACGTCTTTTTTTCCAAGAACTCGGAACACATTGATGCGAGCAAGAAGGCGTTTGACACCATCGCCAAGGACCTGAACTTGACGGTCCTGGGATGGCGCCCCGTTCCGACATCCAACCACGAGCTGGGGCAAACGTCGCTCGCGTCCGAGCCTCACATCGAACAAGTGCTCGTGCTTCCCCCATCTAACCTCTCCAACGACCATTTTGAGAAGGAACTCATGCGGTTCGTAGCTCATGCCTTTCCTCCATATGTACTCTCACGGAATCTGGCCTTTCTGCATATGACCGCCTTTCTCTCAATGCATGGTATCACGGTAGGCTGCGCAAAGTTGCTACGACTGCGAACAAGGAGAGCGAAATGTACGTGTGCTCGTTGTCGAGCCAAACCCTCGTGTACAAAGGACAGCTTACCCCCGGCCAAGTCATGCCGTACTACGCCGATCTCCAGGTACATACCACCGACATTCCATCACGACGTTCCATGTTGTTACGATGTATGTGTCTCTCCAGGCGCACGACTTCAGTTCGCATTTGGCGCTCGTGCATTCTCGCTTTAGCACCAACACGTTTCCATCGTGGGACCGCGCGCAGCCCTATCGCGTGCTGTGCCACAATGGCGAAATCAACACGTTGCGCGGCAACAAGAACTGGATGTTTGCCCGCGGGTCCAAGGCCCACAGCGCGTACTTTGGCCACGCCACATCGTCGCTCTTGCCTGTGTGTTCCGACGACATGAGCGATTCCGGTATATATATATATATTGTTACTCAAAATGTGGACCTTTGTGCTGATTCTTTGCCAAATCCATCGATCGATCGATTTTCGTTGCACTGACTTTTGAATGGTCTAATTGTCGGATATCACACTAATTTTAGTCCCACACTAATTCGATGTTGAATTGGTCCAAATGTGGATTTGATTGGCCAGTTGGTTAGAGTTCTGTGTTTGGATTGGTCAATTGATATATGTCTATCGAATTTGTTATTCTGCACATTCGATTGAGCACCCCCCCCACTCCACTTTCAATCGACTTATATATATATATATGACTTAACAATATATATATATGACTTGACAATATATATATGACTTAACAATATATATATGACTTAACAATATATATATGACTTAACAATATATATATATGACTTGACAATATATATATGACTTAACAATATATATATGACTTAACAATATATATATATGACTTAACAATATATATATATGACTTAACAGTATATATATATGACTTAACAATATATATATATATGACTTAACAATATATATATATAACTTAACAATATATATACTAGTATGACTTAACAATAGATATATAACTTAACAATATATATACTAGTATGACTTAACAATATGTATACTAATATGACTTAACAATATATATATATATATATATTCCTGTACACACCACTTTAAATATGTTTTAATTGTCTTGTCGTCGTCATGATGGGAACAACAGGCAACTTTGACGCGGCGCTGGAACTACTGACCAAAGCGAGTTCGTGCGACCGGTCTCTGCCTGAAGCCATGATGATGATGATCCCCGAAGCTTGGCAGTCGAATGCGACGATGCCTGAATCCAAGAACGCCATGTACCAATACAACGCGTGTATGATGGAGCCATGGGACGGACCGGCGATGGTCGCCTTCACGAACGGCAAGACGGTGGGCGCGTCGCTGGATCGCAATGGATTGCGTCCGAGTCGGTACTACATTACGACCGACGACCACGTGATGCTGTCCAGCGAAGTGGGCGTGATCGAAGGACTCGTGGAAGCGGACGTGGCAACCAAGCACCGATTGGAGCCTGGGAAGATGTTCTTTGTCGACTTTGACCAGGGCCGCGTCATTTCCGACCAAGAAATCAAAGCCACCGTGAGCGGCAGTCGGCCATACGGCGACTGGGTGCAGCACATGGTTCATTTTCAAAACGTTCGTGGTACCAGTTTGAACGATGCCAAACCAGCCAAGAACAACGGCGCGATGATGCCGACCGACATGCCAAGACGGTTAAACTTGTACGGGTTTACGACGGAAACCATGGAAATGCTGTTGGTGCCCATGGGTTTGGAGTACAAGGAAGCGCTCGGATCGATGGGAAACGACGCGCCACTGGCCGTCCTGTCGGAGCAGCCCAAATTGCCCAACGAGTACTTCAAGCAGCTCTTTGCCCAAGTACGTTTTGTATGTGTATTGTAGGGTAATCCTCCTTGGTTATGACAACAACAGTCGTTCCTTATATGTCATCATATTTGAACAGTTTATTTCAATAGTCCAATTGTGTACTTGATGAGAGATATTTTTATTACATACATGGAATAATATGATTATTATATTCACGCTTGATATATTAAACATGGAAAAGATAACAATTTTGTGTGTTCAATGCACCCATGATCTTTAAATTCGTTTTGACTATGAGTTTCCCCATTTGGTTTCAAACGAACTATACATTCTCGACTGGTTTAAAAATATATTTGAAACAAATATATACGTAATTCGATGACATATATATAACTAGGTGACGAATCCGCCAATTGATCCGATCCGAGAAGACCTCGTGATGAGTTTGAGATGTCCCGTCGGACCTGAAGAGAACGTCTTGGATGTGTCCGCCGACCACGCCAAGCGGTACTAAAACCATTGACACAATTGATTCGTGTTGATATATATATATATATATATATTTGTCTGTATAGTTCCATGATGGGGTTTACAATGGGTACATGGCGTAGATTAATCGTGGACCACCCCGTGCTGTCGTTGGAAGACATCCAGACGCTGAAATACGGCATGTCCGATGCCAAGTGGACTGCCAAGACACTCGACGCGACGTTTCCGGCCCACAGTGGCCAAGCAGGGCTCATTCAAGCTCTGGATCGGCTCTGCGAACAGGCCACGACCGCGGTACTCATCGCTTTTAGTTTTGCTATACACCGCCATTTTTGATTCATATTATGTGATGACGATACGCATAATCAATGTATTTCTTGCCATCGATATATATATATGATAGATGGATATCGTACCACTATATATATATGACAACGATACATAGGCGGCGCAAGGCCAAGCCGTGCTTGTGTTTTCTGACCAGGCGGCCGGCCCCGATCGGTTTCCCATTCCGTCGTTGCTAGTGATTGGCGCCGTGCACCAGCATTTACTCCGTACGCAGCAGCGCACGTCCGTGGCGCTGTTTGCTGAATGCGGGGATGCCAAGGAAGTGCACGATTTTGCCACGTTGCTCGGGTTTGGGGCCGACGGCGTGTGTCCGTACATGGCGTACCATGCGTTGGCCCACATGAACAACGAAGGGCTGCTGGAAGCTATCGCCAAGAAATCGGTACGACCGGCTGCTTTTCGTACATGTATATAATCACTTCTACTTTATCGATATGAAACAATACAATGGTAGATGGACACGAAGGAACTGTGGACGAATTACCAGACGGCCGTGGGCAAAGGGCTGCTCAAGGTCATGTCCAAGATGGGCATTTCGACGCTACAATCGTACAAAGGAGCGCAAGTGTTTGAAGCGGTGGGACTCGGACCTGACGTAATTGACCGGTGCTTTTATGGCACAACCTCGCGCCTGCAAGGTATATATCTATATATTATATATATATATATGGGTGAAAACAAGCTATAGCTTGTTGTTTAAGAGTCGTCGTGGTGTTTTTCTATATATATATATATTGTCCTTTTACCCAAAATTTGATTGACTTTTGTGCGGATTCTTTGCCAAATCTATCGATCGATTCTTTGTATTGACTTTTGTATGTAAAGATCGACCCCTGTCACACTAATTTCATTCACACACTAATTCGATGTTGAATTATTCGAAGGGTGGATTTGATTGGCTACTTGATTAGTGCTCTGGGTTTTGATTGGTAGATGGATATTGACTGCCGATTTGGTTCTTCTGCTCATTCGATTGAGCACCCAAACACTCCAAAGATCGAATCGACTTGACAATAATTTATATATATATATATATAGATCGACTTGTTGACGACGTGGTGTGCTGTGAAAACCTTATGATGGTGGATGTATTTTGTAGGCAGCAACATGGAGACGTTGTACGACGACATTGCGAGATTGCACGAGGCAGGGTTTCCCACACATTCGCTGGAGACGCCGTTGGTGCGCAACCCAGGCCAGTACCACGCGCGAGAGAACGGCGAGTTCCACTTCAACACGCCCAGTGCGATCGTGGCATTGCAGACGGCCGCGCGGACGCAGTCTCGGGACGCATACGATCAGTACCGCGATTTGACCAACGCCGCTTCCAAGTACGATTGAATCGAATGAATATGCCAGGTTGTCACCTGGGGGAGAATATAGTGTATATATATATATATATATATATTGGTATGATTGAAACGGTGACACGAACACGTTTTGAGGATAGACGGGTGACGTTGCGAGGATTGCTCGAGTTTCAAACCGTGCCGGAGGAGCGTCGACCAAAGTGGGAACAGATGGAATCGATCCAAGACATTGTCAAACGATTCAACACTGGTATATATATATATATATATTGTTACTCAAAGTGTGGATACTTTTGTGCGGATTCTTTGCCAAAGCATCGATCGATCGATGCGTTGTACTGACTTTTGTATGTAAAAATTCGTCCAGTTTCACATTCATTCAAGCCACACCCTAATTCGATGTTGAGTGGATTTGATTGGCTACTTGATTCGTGATCTGGGGTGTTGATTGGTCGTTTATCGATAGTGTCTGTCGATTTGGTACTTGTTCGTTGGATTGTGCACTTCAATTTCGAATCGACTGGACAATAAACCAATCCATATCAATCGAGACACCTTGACGCTTGGACTGTATATTATTGGGAATATATTTGTTGTTTCGACTCGCGATGGTTTGCGAATATCCCACAATTTTGTTTATATATATATATATAAGGTTGGGTGGATGCTGATATAAATATATATATATATATATAAGGTTGGGTGGATGTTGATATATATATTAGGGGCCATGTCGTTGGGGTCGATTTCACGGGAAACTCACGAAGCGTTGGCGGTGGCCATGAACCAGCTCGGCGGACGATCCAACACGGGCGAAGGCGGTGAAGACCCTGAACGATACATTCCCCAACCGGTATTATCCGTTTACCCAAAATATATATACTGTTGTACGGAAGTATATTTATTTCCCATATCTATCGATCGATGGTTTGTACTGTAAACTTTGTATGGGATACAATGTCCAGTGGTGATGCCCATCACACTAATTAAAGTCTCACACTAATTTGTCCTACATGTTTGGCTAAATGCTTGTTGCCGATGCTTGTGTCGTCGTCGATATATTCAGCATGTGTTGCTCCGTTGTTTGGAGTATAACAATATCATATAACATGGCTGGTCTGGTTGAGTGATATATATATATATATATAATAGTAATATTGATATATGGGATGATTTGGACGACAACAGGACGGCACGCCCAACCCGAAGCGATCGGCCATCAAACAAGTGGCCAGTGGACGTTTTGGGGTGACCATGCACTACCTGTCGAATGCCGACCAGCTACAAATCAAAATGGTACTTATAGGCTATGTATATATATATTAAAGTGTCATGAAATAATAATATATGTATTAGGCGCAAGGGGCCAAACCAGGAGAGGGCGGAGAACTACCAGGCCATAAAGTGTCGCCGTACATTGCAGCCCGTCGCCACACCACTCCAGGAGTCGGCTTGATATCTCCACCGGTACGTACCACTGTCATCGACTGGTGTTTTAATATCGGTGAAATATATTTCCATATACTTAGTATATGATTGATTGTGTAGCCCCATCACGACATTTACTCGATCGAAGACTTGGCGCAGCTCATCCACGACTTGAAAAACTCGAATCCGAGTGCTGAAATCAGCGTCAAACTCGTGTCAGAAGTGGGCGTGGGGGTCGTCGCCGCCGGCGTCGTCAAAGCCAAAGCCGAACACATTACAATTAGTGGCCACGACGGTATGTCGTCTTACATATATGTACATGTTTTGTCATCTTTCAAAAGTTCAGATATTTGCCAAATCTATCGATGTTTTTTGTTGTACTGCATGGTAAACACTGGTCATCACACTAATTGAATTCACACACTAATTAGCTATTGATTGATTGAACGGATGCTGCATTCCAGCAATCGGATTGCCTACATTTTTCTGCCGATTCTTCGTTCCATTGTGTCGATACATTCCGCACGTCGCTCCAATACTTAGTTAACTGTAAACACTACCATATTACATGTATATATCCAACCAACGTCAGTTTTCAGTCTACTTTTCAGATTGGTTATGACACGTTTCATATATATGTATAGGTGGCACGGGGGCTTCGTCCTGGACGGGGGTCAAACACAGCGGTTTGCCATGGGAATTGGGTCTTGCCGAAGCGCAGCAAACGCTCGTACTGAACAACTTGCGGTGGGTTTTTAATATAATGGTATTTTATTAACTTGTTTTTCCTATAGGTCACGCATTAAGCTCCAAACGGATGGCCAGCTCAAGACGGGGCGGGACGTTGTGATTGCGGCGCTGCTGGGCGCGGAAGAGTTTGGGTTTGCCACCGCCCCCCTCATCGCCCTCGGCTGTGTCATGATGCGCAAATGTCACTTGAACACGTGCCCCGTGGGCATTGCCACTCAAGATGAAGAGCTGCGCAAGAAGTTTACGGGCATGCCAGAACACGTGGTCAACTTTTTGTGGCTGTTGGCCCAAGATGTACGACCTCGGCTATATATTTGTATATATATATATATATATCGAAAACTGTAAACGCTGGGGTAGATTCAAGGCATTGTGCGGTCGCTGGGGGCTACCTCTGTGGACGAAATCATTGGCCGTGCCGATTTGCTACAAGTGGACGAGTCTAGTTTGCACCGAAAAACGTACGTTTGTATGGAAATATATATAGTCGTGATATTTGGTGGTTGTAGTCGGCTGTTGGATCTGTCGCCTCTGTTGGTAAATGCGCAAACGTTGAACCCCACGAGCAGCATCCGATACAACCCCCAGGACCAGCAAAACCACGAGTACGTTCACCACACATATATTCATATATATATATATTGTCCTTTTACCCAATATTGGGATGACTTTTGTGCGGATTCTTTGCCAAATCTATCGATCGATTCTTTGTTCGGACTTTTGTATGTAAGAGCATCCAATGTCACACTAATTTCGGTCACACACTAATTCCACGTTGAATCGGTCGAAGAGTGGATTTGATTGGCCACTTGATTCGTGACCTGGGTTTTGATTGGTCGATCGATGTTGTGTGCCGATTTGGTTCTTCTGGCCATTGAGCACCCCCCCGTACTCCACTTTCGAATCGATTTGACAATATATACCTGATATAGGTTGGACTTGGTCTTGGACCAAACGCTACTGGCGCACTGTGTGTCAGCCATTGCCGATGGCAGTCCGGTGCAAGTAGACTTGCCCATTTCCAACGTGGATCGCACGGTGGGGGCGCATATATATATATATCGAAAACTGTAAACGCTGGGGTAGATTCAAGGCATTGTGCGGTCGCTGGGGGCTACCTCTGTGGACGAAATCATTGGCCGTGCCGATTTGCTACAAGTGGACGAGTCTAGTTTGCACCGAAAAACGTACGTTTGTATGGAAATATATATAGTCGTGATATTTGGTGGTTGTAGTCGGCTGTTGGATCTGTCGCCTCTGTTGGTAAATGCGAAAACGTTGAACCCCACGAGCAGCATCCGATACAACCCCCAGGACCAGCAAAACCACGAGTACGTTCACCACACATATATTCATATATATATATTGTCCTTTTACCCAATATTGGGATGACTTTTGTGCGGATTCTTTGCCAAATCTATCGATCGATTCTTTGTTCGGACTTTTGTATGTAAGAGCATCCAATGTCACACTAATTTCGGTCACACACTAATTCCACGTTGAATCGGTCGAAGAGTGGATTTGATTGGCCACTTGATTCGTGACCTGGGTTTTGATTGGTCGATCGATGTTGTGTGCCGATTTGGTTCTTCTGGCCATTGAGCACCCCCCCGTACTCCACTTTCGAATCGATTTGACAATATATACCTGATATAGGTTGGACTTGGTCTTGGACCAAACGCTACTGGCGCACTGTGTGTCAGCCATTGCCGATGGCAGTCCGGTGCAAGTAGACTTGCCCATTTCCAACGTGGATCGCACGGTGGGGGCGCTCTTGTCGCACAAAATCACCAAAGTACACGGCGAGCATGGTACTGTTCATCCCACATATAACCCGATCCATATGGTCCTTTTACCCAACATTGGATTCGCCAAATCTATCGATCGATTCTTTGTACTGAATTTTGTACGTGGTGATTACACTAATTGAAGTATCACACTAATTTGACGTTGTTGACGGTTTCCTGCAATCGGATTGGCTCAATTCTTCTGCCGATGATTCTTGTGTACATTTCTTTGGTTGCAAGTCGTTGTCGATAGTATGTGGCTCCAGTTTAGAATAATACACACATATATATATCTGTCGTTGGTTGCGTCAATTATAAATAATATTGTATGGACTAGGCCTGGCACCCCACACGATCCAACTCAACTTGACGGGGCATGCCGGCCAATCGCTCGGGTTTGGGCTTGTGCGAGGCATTCAGCTTAAAGTAACGGGCGACGCCAACGATTACGTGGGCAAGGCCCTGAGCGGCGGCACGGTGATCGTCACCCCCGAAATCGAGCGCGGGAACGACCAAACAATCGTCGGGAACGCCGTGCTTTATGGCGCAACCAGCGGCCTCGCGTTCTTCCGGGGCAAGGCGGGCGAGCGGTTTGCAGTGCGCAACTCTGGCGTGCACGCCGTGGTCGAAGGCGTGGGGTACATACACTTTGACACGACCTCTGTTGGTTTGTGTTGATATAGTTGTAGGGACCACGGGTGCGAGTACATGACGGGCGGCCGCGTAGTCATCTTGGGACCGACGGGGCGCAACTTTGGCGCGGGCATGTCTGGCGGCATTGCGTACGTGTACGATCCGTCGTCCGAGTTTGGGGCCAAGTGTAATTTGTCCATGGGGAGCCTCGAAGTACTGGACTTTGAAGGCGACGAAGAACTCGTGGTCAAGGATCTGATCCAGCAACACATTCAACACACAAAGTCCCCTTTGGGGGTGTCCATCTTGGCAGACTGGGACCATGCCAAGCACTCGTTTGTGAAACTCATGCCCCACGATTACAAACAAGTGATTGCAGCAAACGTACACATGAACACGACGGCGGAACCCGTGCATGTCAACGCTGGCCACTAACTAGAAGAGGCAATAACGTAGTAACGAATGAGTACTACGTAGTACTACTATCGATAATACCACTACCTAATGTAATCAAACTATGTAATATGTACAGCATCAAGTATCTGCGGTTGGTTGCTGGCCACGGTCTTGACTGATTTGACGTGAGCGGGACAAATGGGTCGAAACAAAATGAGTACTAGTTCTGCTATGTACTGAGTACTAGTACTTGTACTGTAGTACTTACTACATTACGTACTGTAATAGGTACCGGTACGTTTGGTACCTACTTGCTGTTACTGAATGTATGGATGTATGATAGGTACCTTTTTAGTCGACATCGCCAATGCTGGTCCTCGCAGTACGACTCTCTTTACGTCAAGTTGGCAATTATACTACCGTTTGTATGCACTTGCGAACAATGAGTCCGGCTACTAACGTTGTCCTCCCTTGATTATACTGTACGTTTCACGAATCTAAAGTTTTCTGCAAGTACTTCCTACATAGTACGAAGTAACAACTTGTCCTTTCTTAAAGTGGTTAAGTGTAAATGTACATGTATGGACCAGTCTTCACCTCACTGTAGTGACGGGACGGACGCCAGGAAACTTTCTGACCTTTTCTTTAACATGCATTGCCACTTTGTGCTTGTCCCCGCCGCGGCCATGAGTCCCTTTCTGGTTACCTTGTTAATCCCTCGTAGCCTTGACACGATACAATCGTCAGCCCCGTTGATAGCCCCATCCTATTAGTATATAACCGCCGGGTGATACTGTAATACAACTGTCAAGTGGTTTTGCAGACGGCATAACATCATGTTAGATCAACTGGCAAACCAAACATCCAAACGTGTTCCCACATGGTTGATTTGTTGCACTAATCACCTAGTATGCACACCATATCCAACCATGGCAACATGTCACCACTGGATAGTTTGTACTAGTAGTACTAGTATTATTATGGAGTACTAGGAAGTGTACTACAGTAATCGCTTGGTGTGTTGTTGCTCGTCCGGCATCAAGGCGTGGACTGTCATCCTGCGTGTCGCGTGCTCGGACAAGTACTAATTGGGAGGCCGCCTCCGCTCATCTTCCCAGTCTTTCTTTGTGCTGTACTATTACAGTAGTACTGTAGTAGGTATGTACTAGTAGTACACAGTACACAGCACTCATCCATTTGCACGGTCCGTTGTCCTGACCCCCTCCTTCCTAGTATCACGACTTCTTATCCCCTGCTGCTGCTGTGTACATGAGGCCAGCGCATGGCGCTTCCATCGTCGTCGCTCGCTCGCATATCTGCCCCACGCAGGCAGACTTGATGTCTTTGAACGTCGTTTGGAATTCGGATTTATCGGGAAACTCGGTATATATATATCCGTTTTCAGGTCCGGAATGATCCTAAATAGGATGAATGTTACAACGCGGCCGAGCGTACATACACCAAACCACGCCGCGTTCATTTGTTAACTCATCACGTCGACCTCGTCCATCTCGAGCGTTGTCGCGCCGTCAAGGAAGGCCTGGTACTGTAGCTCCGAACGTCGTAGTACTGTACTAGCGTTACTACCAGTGGACCCACATCACCGTCCCCATCAGCAGCTCCACCAGACGCCACACATCAACACACAACCATGATGACCGACTCCATCATGAGGCGCGCCAAGGACGAGCGCGAGCGCATCCTGCAGCAACATCAACTCCTCCTCCCCGACAAGTACGAGCCGCTCAAATCTAGACCAGCATGCCACATGTGCACCAAGACCTTTGGCACGTTCCGGCGGCGCGTCCACTGCCAGCTCGTACGTTTCGTCGCCGTTTATCGGTTCTCTCCATGGCGTGCGCAATCTAATGACATATGTAGTGCGGACATGTCGTGTGCAAAAGCTGCACACTCGAGTACATCGCTGATGTGGCGGGAAAGATCCTGGACACGCGCGTGTGTACTCTGTGCGACGCCAAGCTCGACGCCGACCACCGCCAACGCACGAGCTCCCGCGCGATCGCCGGCGCGGTGCTCAACCTCGCGTCCAAGCCTCGCCCAAGTCCCATGATGACTCGATCCACGTCCGAAGGACACACGCGCGTGTCGCATCATCGGACATCGCCTGCGTCCACTCGCCCCAAACAACCGTCGACTTCAACCGATGGCGACGTTTCGAAAATGTCCACGCCCTACTTCTACGCGCTCGACTTCAACTGGTCGCATGCGTGGCCGAAACCTCCGTTCATTCCCCACGACATGGAGCGGGTCAAGTCGTTAACGAACCTGCACGTGCGGCGGCACGACTTCATGCTCAGCGCGGTCACGTTCGCGTGTGAAGTGTTCGACTCGCCCATCGGCGGCGTCAGCTTCCTGGACGAGCACCAGCAGTGGTTCGCATGCTCCCAAGGCCTCGCACAAGAGTTCATTCCTCGGATGGCATCCATCTGCGCGCACACGATCGCGCTCGCGACTCCCATGACGGTGCTCAACCTGCGGCAGGACATTCGGTTTCGACAAAACCCGCTTGTCACGGGGCCAAAATTGGGGTTTTACGCCGGGGCGCCGATTTTGTCCCCAGAGGGACACGCCATTGGTACGGTGTTTGTGATGGATATGGCGCCCCGGGGCGCGTGCGATTTGACAAAACTCGCAGTGTTCGCGCAAGTGGTGTCGGCCAAGCTCGCCGACGCCGCCAGTCCGGACCTGACGCTGCTCCGCACTGAGAGCTCGTCCTCCACGACGTCCCAGATACAGTCACCCACGGAGTCCACGACGTCGCTCACGTGCCAGTCGAATCATCCCGCAGGTCGCGTGCTGGCGGCGTCGGAAGTGATGCGTCCGACCGATTGGGTGCCGTCGGCCCACCGCGTCTTTTGTCAAGTCTGCCATAACCGGTTTTCTTTGTTTTTACGAAAACGCCATTGCCGCGTCTGTGGCGATGTCGTGTGCAAGAACTGCATCACGCACACCCCCGTGGAAGGCTTGACAGAACCGTCGGCCGCCAAGATGCGGGAGGTAGTCGTGTGCTTGGGATGTGTGCACAAGCCCCGGAGTCGGTCGGCGTCGCGGCAGAAGGGAGGAAGTCGGACGGCTCCCGCGACGACGATGGAGACCGACGACGACGAAGAATGTGTCAGTGGTGCGGGCTCCGCGGAAGTAGATGTGCCGACGCTAGGACGAAACCAGTCCTTTGACCTGGATGAATGTGGTGCGGCGTTCACGACCCACAGCCTCCGCGCGCCTCTTACCGCGGGTGGCGACAAGGGAGGTATCGTCGGGACGAACGCGACCGACATGCAGGCACCGCCTCAACCCAAGCAAGTCGACTATACACCCACGGAAGTCCACTCGATGCTCCTGCGACTGCTTCATCAATCCAACGACATCCAGTCCCAACTCCATGCCACCCAGCATGCAGTTGCAGCGGGTACCCTTCGGCCGTAACTGTAATGTAACCGTCAAAGTACGCTCACCTAATGTTTAAAGCATTTAAAATACTGAACGTGTGAGTCCTTTTAATTGTATTTTGCTCAAAATCCATACAATTATCTTATCGAATTGGATTGAGGCAATTAAAATTGCACTGAAATGATATTTTAAATCATTTGAAACTATGAAACGTTTCAAATGACGGCGGTTACACAACCACGAGGCGGTCCTCTCATTCGTGATCCGAACGATACATGCGCGTGTTTGTGAGCAACTTGTCATCGGCCCTTGGCGCGGAGATCGCCAAGCAGATCAAGGACTGCGAAGTCGTCGGTGCCATCGAGCACCTCAAGCAGACCCAGTCGACCAAGAAGCGGCTGCTCGAGAACCGATCGCCCGAGCTCGTCGAGACGGAGTCCTCGGCCGTGGACCCCAACGACGCGTTCGTGGAGAACCCTGTGGTCGTATACTCGGACAAGCACAACGTCGGGTTGCTCCTGAAACGATGCGACGTCGCCATTTACTCCATCCTGGACGACCCCGACGGCGTCGTGGAAGCGTTGAAGACGTTCGACGACGGCAACAGTGGTGACAAGTTGTTCATCGCCATCTCCAGCGTGCTCACGTGGGCCAAGACGCCCGTGCCAGCGCCGCGCCCTGAAGACTGGAACGGACACCGCGAAGACACGTTCAAGACCCGCAAACCCGCGCGCAAGTATGCCGAATACAAGGCCGTGGAGACGCAGGTACTGAGCGCGCGGCGGGAAGGCCTCACGACGCTGGTTATCGCGCCCGGACTCATCTACGGCGGCGCCCAGTCCAGTCTCCACGCCATCCTCCGGTCTGTAGAACATCTCAATGCATGTGATTGAAGGTGGACATTCTGCTTGTAGAAATGCATGGTTACACCCTGAAGAAGACGTGGTGGTGCCCAGTCTCTCCAACGGCAAAGGCGCAAACGTTCTGCCCATGATCAGCGTCTACGATCTCGCCCGCGTCGTCGCCAAGGCGGCCGTGGCGGCGCCATCGACGTCCTACTTGATCGCCGTCGACAAGAGCCACACGTCCCTTCGTGATGTACGAGATCGGAATTCCTGAAGTGATTTTTTGGAAGTCGTTTTTTTCAATTGTCTCTGCGCTAATTTGACTTGTTTGTTGTATGTAATTTTATACATTTCTGTAAATGTATTTTCCATAAAGTGACATCCACCATATTACATGCGCAGGTTTGCAGTGCGATCAGCAAGACGCTAGGGAGCGGCGGGGTGCGCGACGTGGACGCGGCGGAAGCGGAGGAGATGCTCGTGCTCGAGAAGAGCATGGCGCATCTGCAGCTGGACCTGCGCTTCGACACGAGCGGGGGAGCCATGGACGCTCTCGAGATCGAGTGGACGCATGAGCTCGGGCTGGTCGCCAACATTGCGCGCGTGGCAGACGACTACATCAAGTGCATGGACCTACGCCCGCTGCGCGCGGTGGTGCTGGGTCCGCCACAGGTGGGCAAGTCACACCTGTCGGCGTTCCTCGCCAAGACGTACTACCTCCCGCACCTGACGCCGTCGTCCGTGGCCGCCGACCTTCTCACGACCGCCAACCTCGACGACCACCTCGTTGGGTTGCGCGAAGAGGTCAAGAAGTTCCGACTCAACCTCAAGGACCTTCCCGAAGCGCTTCTCACGGAGCTCATCCGGTGGAAGCTCACGTCGCCCGTGTGCCGCAACCAGGGGTACGTCCTCGACGGGTTGCCTGTGTCGGTGGAGCAGGCCAGGGCACTCTACTTCGTCGCACCCTCCGCCGCTTCTAGCGATGACGAATCCAAGCATCCGGACGATGGGAACACCCCGGACGAAGAGGGCAAGCAACGCGATGAATCAGACGACCACCAGAAGCCGCCGCCGCCATCCGCCAACTTGAACGCCCCGAACCGCGTGGTGGTGCTGGACGCGGTGCGGTCGCTGCTCGAGCATCGGGCGCAGGCGCTGAGTCAGGAAGACGCCGACAAGTCTGGCAACACAGACATTGAGTTCACTCGCCGGTACGAAGTCTATATATCTATCTATCGTCTAAACGCCTCCGAGTTTTGTAATATGGTATATATCTAAATGTGGTTTATATAATATGTTCAGCCTATTTATCATTCGTATATATATATATATATATATATTAGCGTATTGAATTTTATCGATGTGTCCTACTGTATTTCTTCATAACTGTTATGTATATAAATATATATATAATATATATATAAATATATATATAAATATATGTATATATTCCTAGCAGATTGGTTCATGTGTTGAGAAGCTTGGACCACTTGTTTCCACGTTGTAGAATATGATGGTTCGTTTGGATCCAGTGTGGAGAATCGTATATATTGTTTTTATTACTTCAAAGTAATATATATATATATATATATATAGGTACGACCTATTCAAACGGGAAACCAACCCAGCCAACCAGTCAGGTCTGGTGGCATATTTCGAGCGCGACCAGGCGGTGGAAGTGCTCGAGCTCGAGTTGGACTCTGAGGAAATGTACACGAGCAAGAAGCATTTTGTGGACCCGATCGCAAAGTACATGGAACAAGGCGGGAAACCCTACAACTTCCACCCGACCCCCGACGAAGTGGATGCCGCGAAAAAGGAACTCGACGCCCAGCTGGTATTATGGTCATTCTTTCTGAAAAAATATATATATTTGGATACCTTTTGTGAATCATCGCCGCCACATCGATCGATATATATTATTCCGAAGTCCTTTTGTATGCATTGAAATCACAAGTGTCACACTAATTCGACGTGGATGATGTGGCTCATGGACAAGTTGGATGATATAATGTTGCCTATCAACGAGGGTTCATGTTGTAGGCGGCCGAGGCGGAGGCCGAGCTCAAGCGGCAGGCAGATGCGATGGAGAAGGACTTGATGGACAAACAGTCGCGGGCCATGAGTGAAAAGGCGCGACTGGAGATCATCCAGAGGGAAGAGATGGACATTCTCGAGGCCCGGTCAAAGCCTCTGCGGGCGTACCTGATGGAGACGGTGATCCCCGTCTTGACTGAAGGCATGCTCGAAGTGGTCAAAGTCCAGCCAGATGACCCTATCGACTACCTTGCCGACTTTCTCTTTCGAAAGGGCCAGCACTATGTCGGATAGAAATGGATAAATATACTATATATATATATATATAGACTTGTACTACTATTCGATTGTATGGCCAATGGGCAGATGATGTTTGTTGCTGTGCTTTGTGTCTGTATGATTGCACTGACGTGGCACGACGACAGAGTGCCACGTCAGTTGTGAAGGCTACAAGTAGGCGAAAAGAATGAATATGTGTCCCTACGATAACTACTCTCCATGCCACGACATCGATGGTGGTTCATCTGTATTGGTCTAAGGTCACCAAATGTCGTTGATCAAGAGCTCGCCGCCGTCTTGGACGCCAAAGTACCCCAACTCGCCGCCATCGTCGTCCAGTGCGATCGGCATCGCCTATCAACATACATGACGATTATTCTCCATTTTCAAATAAATAATATATTTCTCCAATACTATATTTCTCCTTTGTACCTTTTTGGACGCCCGGAAAGACAGCTGGTGCTCCGCCGGCCGCAGTCCGTACTTCTTCTCCACCACAGCCTTCACTTGGGCCACGGTCATGCTACACACATATACAGTAAATAACTATAAAGTATAGCTCGAACCAACAACACAATGAGCAACTAGACAATCGATCGACGAATCAAAACCCAGAACACTAATTCACTGGCCAATCACATTCCCTCTTCAACCATTCAGCATCGAATTAGTCTATGACCTACATTAGTGTGAAAGTATTCACTTTTTACATACAAAAGTCAGTGCAAACCATCAATCGTTGGATGGATTTGGCGAATCAGCACAAAATATGGCTGAAAGGACTATATACATATATATAATATATATATGAATATACCTCAGAGGGAGCGACTTGACCATCGAGTCCATGGTCGTGGCATTCATGCTCATCACGACAAACGTGACTTTGGCTAAACTTTTGGCCAACGCCGCCGGTCCTCCACCCGAACCAGTGGTGCCCAGGCCAGTCGTCGCCGCTTCGTGCGCTGCCTACACATTAAAACACACATATATATATCGTTTTTTGAAAATATATATATTCGTACGTGGATGTCAGGGTACAGAGCTTGGAGCTGGGCCAAGCGGGGATGGGTCAACTGGATGACCTTGTCCGATCCAGCGGGCAAACTCGATTGTTCGTGCAAAATACGCCGCAAATACATTTGCTCGGCGTCTTGGCGTTCCTACAACCATCATCAACGCATACAGTATATATATATATATATATATATATATATATAAGTCCATGTCAAGAATGTATGTCGTGGTGTGCAAACCAAACAAAAATCAAACTCTCGACTCGTTCGACGATCAACACTGGGTATTGTTGTGTTTCTTTTCAGAGCTTGAGCGACAATGCCAAATAATTTGAGCCAATCGGATTGTAGGAAACCATCATCAACAACATCGAATTAGTGTATGAATTTAATTAGTGTGAATGACGTCGCCACAGGACAATTCGATACATACTACTACATAGTACACAAAACCGATCGATAGATTTGGCGAATTAGCACTTAAGTCCAATTTTAGATAAAAGGACAATACCAAATAGTAAAATAGTACGTACTTTGGGACGAATGTCGCTCGAGTTGAACACTTGGAGCGCGGCGCAGCGGGCCACCACGAGCTACAACGAGCAAGAGAATCTTGTTAGTGACAACAAACAGTGCAATTCATATCAAGAAAGCAGTAGAATTATATCAAATCGAAACTGGAGCCGCCAAAGTCGAAAATCGACTGTCTGAACGACGTGCATGCATTAAAGAACCGCCCCAGCCAATCAAAATCACGTTCTGTCGAGAATTTCTGCCAATCCAAACACTGAATCCACCTCCAGTCTTTGTCTAGTAGTAGAGTTTGTACAAGCTTGAATTGCATCAAATGGATTCAGAAATCCACATTTGCGTGTCAACAGCACATTAACAACCACCACGAAAACAAATGTTGTTTTTGAAGCGATATTGCCAAAACTGGGGTTATATATACGATCTATAACCGAGAGAGATATATACATAGAAAACGCCGACGTACCATGCGCGCTTCGGCGGCGCCGACGTTGGTCAAGAGGGGGTTCTTGGTCAGTCGCAGCGCCTCGAGCGACGGAAACGCATTTAAAGCGTCTACACTCGACCATGCGACAATGCTACCATCAACAAAAATTAATATATATATATATACTAGTATATTGTTGTGTTTATTCCTAACTGGAGTGATATGGAGAATGAATAATCGATTTACAACCAAATAAATGTATTGCAGAAGAATTGAGCCAATACAAAGTCAAATTAGTGTGTGATTTCAATTAGTGTGATACCCAATATCACGACAGGACCTCGTTTTACATACAAACTTCAGTACAAAGAATCGATCGATAGATTTTTTGGCAAAGAATCCGCACAAAAGTCGAATTTTTGGGTAAAAGGACAATATATATATATATATACCTTTTTCACGTCAATCACGGCATTCAAATGTATATGTTGTACTTTAATACTACCCAATATGGAGCAACCGCATGCATGCACACCACACCACCTTGAGCGCCCGTCAAAACACCAGCAAAACAAACTCAATAAAAAATATGAAAGGACGTACGCGTTGTCAGACAGAGACAGCGACGAGAGGGCGGCAAACGACCGAGATGACGCAGATGGAGGGTCCACTTGTACGAGGCGGTTGCCGTTAAGCGACAGCGTGTGCAGCCGCGGCCACGACCCGATGGACGCCGTGAGACTCGACCAATCCGAGAGCTCGTTGTGCGATAGATCCAGCACTTCCACCGCCGACGAACACGACAAGGGCGAAGCCGCGTCCAGTTGCTATAAGAGACGACGGATAAGATGTATTATATTTTTATAAAAATATAATAAAGTAATAATAGAAATAAAAGTTAAGAATATTAAACTTAAAAAAATAATAAAGAATAATAAAACCAGTTTGAATTTAAAGTATAGATGAGATGGGGAGCATTGACGGGGTTTGTATGTATGAATAATACCATGGCCTGGTTGGTGATGGCGTTGGATGCGGCATGGAGTTGACGGAGAGCGGGGAAATGATCGCGGCAGATGCGAAGGAGGTCGACCCAGGACGATGTGTGCGTTTGGTTCATGACGAGGGTGTGCACGGTGGGGAACACGACGCGTGGTGCGTCGACGTCGACGTCGTACGAAAGGATGTTGCCGCTCAGGGTCAAGTGTTCAAGGAGAGGCAATTCCGCCGATAGTTTGAGCACCTTTTGTGTAGATGAAGACATGAACATGTGGAATGTAGCATCATCACGAAAGAAGCATGTACCTCGCTCCAGGAAGCAAGCAGGTTGAAACCCAAGTTGAGCTCGACGATGTTGGGTGCCACGCGAAAAAGCTCGCCGGTGGTGCCAATGTGCGCAACTTGGCTGCCCTGCAACATGAAAAACCCAGATGCATCATGACGCCAATTGGAATGTAGAGATAGGGACGTTTGGGCATGGTTCGCAGAAAGGCGTGTGTAACTACCTCCGCAGACACCTTGCCAATGACCCCAAGGTCTTGCTTCTCCCTGTCGACAGGTATCATTAGTTCATGCATTTATTCGAGCATGCATACTGAATCTTGTGTACGCCGACAAGCTGGATCGGTTTGGAGTTACCGCTGGCGGTGCCAACGTGGCCGGCGGCGCGAGTGTCGAGTGCTTCGCTCTGCATGTATCGTTCGTGCAAGGCATCCACGATGCCAGTGCCCAAACTGACCTTCTCCGGAAGGACAAACGATCCACTGGTGGGGTGGGCAGCCTGAAAGTACCTCACACCGCCCGATTCGCCATTGTGTTTGCCGCGGCTGGGGTCATCCCATTCCACTCCTGCAGGGCATTATGGATCAAATCACCACCACCATGCCCTTCCTCATGACGTTCGCATACCCCAGTAGACCGTCGTCGCATTCTTCGAATGGATCGGACCCTCGTAGCGGACGCTTCCGCGGAAACCTTCTGCGTCTTGGACCCTCTTGTTCATGTCCTGTCGTGTAGTATGTATGGGTTGATCGATAATCACAAAATGATCTTTTCCAGATTATCCGGATGCAAAAACGCGCGAGATTCGGCATTTTCGATTTTGCTTCCATGTGAGTGGAGGGGATGGATCTTCCTCGATCCAAGAAGGTACGAAGGTTATGGTCGATGACGGAGACAGTAATGTTATGGCGCTGCATCGAGATGTCGGTTGCGAGGTAAACGACTGGAGCATGCTCTTGTGTACGGATTGATGCTGGCCGTGTATGCTGAACTTGAATGGGGAATCCTCGTCGAAGCATGTGCGTGTATTCGCATAGAGAAGGTCATTCTCCCTTGTTCGTTACACAGTAAGCACCTAGCACATTTTACTGTCCTCATGGCGTCCTCGAAGCACTCCTCGGGCCATCTGCATCGTCAGCTAGCTTAAGAAGACAAATTACAGTGAGTACGACGATTGGCGACTGAATGTATCCACGGCAACAAACGATAGGAAATATTGACGAGGTAGACACCTAACTCGTCATTTGCGTGGATGCCGAATGCTCGAAGCCAAGCCCAAGAAGACGAATACATGAGATCATTTCTCGTCAATAGGGTCAAAGCCGCTGTTTAGGACGGTCTTGAGCAATTCGTTCGCTTCGAGGAGCTGGTTCGCACGGTCCAATGTCTCTTCATCTTTCCGAACAGAGAAAAGGAGGCAGTCGACGTCCAATTTCCCGCGGATCGCAGAGATTTCCATGGCCTTTTTCGTCTGCAGACACATCATGAACCATAAATACAACACGTAGAATTATGACGTACCATTGAGCGGATGTATTCGACGGCAATCTCTTCCATCAACTCGACTGTGTCCGTGTCGGGCTCCCATACATCGCCAAACCCGTGCATCATGTGTTTAACTACTCCGAGGAATGCCATCAGGAACATCATCATCATACGCGTATGTCCACGTACTGCTTTCGGTCATTTCACCACTGACAAGCGGCTTCATCGCTGCAATACCCGATAGATCTCTCGTAGATCCACTCGAATGCAATCGGCGCAGGGGCGACGCACGGGCACCGGACCGAGCATCCTGTCGAGGATACCTCGGCGAACTCTGTCCGCCAGAGGTTGGCGTGCCAGATCGCGCACCCTCGTCTCCCTTTCGCTTCTTGCCGCGGCCTTCCGCTGCAGGCTTTTTCGTTGCCTTCTTCCCCGACCGCGGACTCTCCATCGGTCACGAACGAATTTGTGTTTTCACACTATTAATAGTACTAGTAGTAAGGACGTGGCCCCATACTAGTATTACTACTTGAAGTTTGTACAATAAAGAAATTAAAAAATTACAATACTTCGACGTGTATAAAAACGAAAGAGCCGTCCTGGTTTTTTAATTGATAGTATTACTATGGGCTCAAATAGTCAAAATCGTGAAAAATCGTCCATATAATTGGGCTTTTTGGGTGGATACTTATTACCGTATGCATGCAGAAAACCGACGCCGTGAGGTGCGCAGTCATCCTTCCATTGAAGCTTCGCCAAGAATAGAACGCTATGGACGTTACAAAGCAAGTTCGCTTCGACGAAACATTCGCCGTGGTTGGAAGCGTCGTCACTACCCCAGACGACGGCATGGGCAACAAGCCAGGCACAGCCGGATCTTCGTCGTCCGCGAGGGAAGAAGGCGTGGCGGCGATAGGCCACCACCACTCCCATGGAGGACATGCAGTTCCCCCGCCCATCATCACCGAGATCAGCGTCCAGCCCAACCCGCACAAAGTGTCGTCGTCGTTGGACCTCAAGTACGACCATGAGCGACGATGTCGTTGTATCTCATGGGCGACGACGACGACGTAGGTTGATCAACGCGTTGAAGGAGCTCAAGGTGCGCAAGGAGAATGGCGTTGGCGGCCACGACAAGCACGATCCGTTCACCAAGATCCTGCTCAAGGGCCCGTCGCTCAAGCAAGCGTTTGACAGCGTGCGCAGTACCTTTGACGCATTCGACAAGCTCAAACAAGGTCCAGCACCACACCGTCGATCGTGGACATACATGCACACGTTCCTTGCATCTGTTATCATCACATGTGTGTGCGTGTCATGTAGGCTCAATTAGTTTTAACGACATGGAGGAAGCGTTGAATCGACTGGGCGGGAACTTTACCAAGGACGAAATCAACGATGCGTTCACGGAAGCCGACATGTCCGAGAGTGGCCGGCTCACATTCAAGGAATTCCTCGTATGTCTGGCCATTGGATTCGTTTTGCATGTACGACCTCGAACACGTGTCCAATGGCCACGAATGCCCATCACATGACCCGCTCGGTATGTAGCGCATCCCGGCCCTGGACGACCGCAGCGAAGGCGGCCAGCCGCGACTGAGCATCTTCTACGCCCCATTGTACGATGTGCCAGATGTCCTCAACTAGAAGCATTCATGATGCTTGCTGCATTGGTAGGAAGGGCTCGGGGAAGGACGGTCAGCCCAAGGCACTATTGTTTGGCGATGTAAGCGAGAATTAGTGACCTATCCATAGTGACATCTATATAGGGCAACAAGCTGCGGCAGGCGTTTCACTTGGCCGTGGATGTATTTTTGTGGTTTGACATGGACGGTGACGGACTCATTGAAAAGTACGAACGTGTCCAGATGTCCCTTGTTTATATGTGGCCATTTAGAAGTTCCTGGCCATTTAGAATTCATATGTGTGTGTGGTTGGTATTGGATATATATATATATATAATATATACACACATCTATATATATATATATGGGGTAGATATTGAGAATACCTGCGAGTCGAGGCCATTTGGAATGTATACAAGTGTATGTGTGTCGAAGCCATTTGGATGATCATATATATATATATATATGTATATATGGAAAATAGGAACGAAATGCTCAGTCGACTGCACGAGTCCATGCATGAACATTCACCGACCAAGAAAACGTCCAAGCAACGGTCGCTTGCCAAAGGTACATATATATATATATATATATATATGCACGATCCGTTCTGTACGGATATATATAATTGTACATATCCTTGTCGAATACTAGTTTTTCTTGCATCATGCAAGTGTGACTACATAATATACATATATATATGCACGATACGTTCTATACGGATACATATAGTTACATATTTATCCATGTAGAATATGTAGAATATATTCGTGTTGGTTTCATGAAGCATGTATCATATTATATATTGACAAGTATTAGTTTATATATTGAGTGAAAATAGCAGGTGAAAACGTGTTAATAGGGGACGTGGAGGCGATGATCAACTGCCCAGCCAACACATTTATCACGCAGCGCCGGTTCAACGAGATGGACTGGGACCACGACGGCAGCATCACATTCAAGGCACGACATTCTCTGTACAAATGTCGTTGTGATCGTACGATATGTAGGAATTTCTCATGGCGTTCGAGTCGTGGGTGGGCGTGAACGATGACGATGACGACATTGGTGACGACAGATCTGGTGGTGACGACACACACGCCGTGACTGCAAAATGAGTCCACCGCCTCTAGTATCTCGTTTCGATAACAAGCAAAAACTAATCGACGGATTGATTCAAACTGTTACTACTTAGTACTACTACTAGTACTAGTAGTAGTACTTGTTGGTTGGAGCTGAAATTCCTTAGTATATACTACCGGTAGTACTGGCAAGAAGACGTAACTAGTAATATGTAGTTAATCGCCTACTAGTATATTTCGGTGGGTGCTAAAGTGGAGATGACAGTGCCGATGCTGTAGTCACTCGCTCCGTGCAATGTCGACGGTATACTACTGTACTACTAAATAGTAGTAGTAATACTTGCTAGTCGTTGTTCGATGGAGCTGAAATACCTTAGTACATACTACCGGTAGTACTGGCAAGAAGACGAGTGTGTTGTACTACGTAACTAGTAATATGTAGTTAATCGCCTACTAGTATATCTGGTAAAGTGGAGATGACAGTGCCGATGCTGTAGTCGCTCGCTCCGTGCAATGTCACGGCGGCCACTTGGACGGTGTACGATGCGTCCTGGACCAACTTGTCCAGCCACAACGTGGTGGGATGCGGTCCCACGAGCTGCAGCGTCGTCGTCAATGGTTCATTCGACAACAGCAGCGTAACTTTGATTTTGTAGCCCGAGATGGGCAGCGATTCCGACGGTTTGGACGCCGGCGGTCGCCTATTCGAGTCGTCTCGATTGGACAAATCTCGTATATATATATATATATACCATGAGATTTGAACCCGAGAGGTTGAGGGCACTGTGGCGGCTACCACCGGCGCCAACGGGACCGACGGTTCTGCAAGCCAAAACCATTTGAACTGGTTGTTCGAGTGTCAAATATGGAGGAAGGTGGCGTACTGTCGTTGGGCGTGTGACTTCGAAACACGACGAGCATGTCGAGGGAACACGCGACGTCCACGGCACTAAAGTGGTGCTATATATATACAATATATATATATATATATATATACATCCCCATGTAAATAACACAAAAGAGCGCCACAGGTTGTCGATTGGTACTATATAAATATATATATATAACACGTTACCTCGGATTCGCGCAAGCGAGCATTCGCGCCACCCTTGTAGTACGCCATATATATATAATATATATATATACAAAATCAATATGTTTTGTTTAACAGTGTAAATGAAAAAAGAAAAAAAAAGTATTTCTCGTTGGTAGTTTTCATGGACAAGTAAAGCCAACAAACTAGTACTACTAGTAAGTAGTACATATACTAGATTTTAGTTAGAAGGCGAGTTTGGGTGTACAGTTATGTACTACCTGGAGAAGGAACTTGACGACGTGATGTCGATCTTGTTGTGAGGCATAAAACAACGGAGTGCACCCCATGGCGTTGGTGGCATCCACTTTGGCCCGTGCGTCGTGGAGCTATCATACATGTATGCATATAGTCCAATCAATCCACGTTTCCTAAACTAAATGGCCACACCATTCGACTGGAAAAGGACAACTTTCGTATTGTTTGAAAGTAGTTTGTACTAGTAGTTAGTATACAAATCCCCAAGCAAATGACACAAGATATATAGAGGTCGTTGAATAGATCGACTAAACGTTGCATATTTATTTATATGCGATACCAAAAACTGACACAGGTCGAGGTGGCCTTGGTACGCAGCATAGTGCAGCGGAGTGTTCAAATCCTACTTGAGTTTGCAGTTCAAGATGATAGTTCGGGTCACACCGCGAATGTACCCCAAACTCGGTCGTGTCCTTGGCATGCACGATCTCTCTGTCTGCTTCCACGAGTCGCGTGACCACATCCAAGTGGCCATGCCAGCATGCGGTGTGGATGTCGACGTGGAACCGCTTCTGCCCGTGCTCCTTGAGTCGCGCCAACGCCGTCTCCAACTGGCCGAGGCGCCCATCGCCGTCCAAGTCGTCGGATGCGCTGGTCCACCACTTTTCGAATTCGTCTTGATCCACGACGCCGTCGCCGTCCTTGTCCAATACCCGCAGTGCCTCTTGGAGCTCCACGGACGACATGACTCCGCCGAGACTCGTGATGAGATCCGACAGTTCGTTCGCATCGATGCGGCCGCTGCCGTCTTCGTCAAACGCTCTAAAGGCTGCGCGGATGGTTTCCCGTTGTGACGCAGCGTTCATGGTCGCCGCTGCGTTGTCGTCGGATGCGTGCGAAACGTTCATCACAAACACTTGTTGAAACCGTCGTAGCGAGTACATTTCCAAAATGCAGCCAATGGAATGTCTCCAGCGTGAATGATTTTAGCCAATCCAAAGAATTGATACGTTTTCGAGAGGCACGGAGGAGCATTTTATTATTGGTTTAAAATTGCCAGAATGGGTCTAAATGTTGTTTTCAATCGAAATAAAATAACTGGAACCCATTCGTGAACGTTCGGGTGGCGATATCTGCTTCCGCAACACGTCACTTTGTATCGCCGCCACACACATCATGGTACACACACTTGATGCCGCCTCGTCCTCTGGACACAAGGCTGATCGTGATGTGATGTGGCATATAGAGCGGTGGAGGACAGAACGGATCCAACCCCAGCGTGAAGGCCATCTTCGTGCTGGACGTGGAAGGCACGCGGCTGTGTGCCAAGTACTACGACCGCGTGGCATATCCTTCGCTGAAGGAACAGACTGCCCTGGAGAAGAAGATCTGGAGCAAGACCAAGTCGATGAACGCACGGCAAGAAGCTGAGATCATTCTGCTGGACAACGTCGTGTCGGTGTTCCGCTCCCACAGCGAAAACACCATGTACGTCGTCGGCGCGGCGCACGAGGTAAAGCCGTCCATCATCCCCATGCTGGTTTCCATCATGGATCGTAGAACGAGTTGATTCTCCTGAACGTGCTGGACGGGGCGTTTGAGGCCGTGAGCAACATGCTCAAAGGCCACCTCGACCGCCATTCCATCCTCGACAACCTCGAGCTCGTGCTCCTCACGTTCGACGAAGTGCTGGACGGCGGCGTCATCTTCGAGACTGACACCCAGTCCATCACGAACCGTGTGCTCATGCGGGTGCGTCCACCCATCCCCATCCCCATCCTCATGCTTGTCCGTAGGGCATCGACAACGACGTGCCGCTGACAGAACTCACGTTCGGCCAAGCGTTCCTCAGTGTGCGAGAACAATGGTCCAAATCCTTCCGCAGCGGCTAGCCGCCTGCTTCTACTATTAGTAATACTATTGCTTACTACCCCGACTTTCAGACCCGACTGGAACTTCCATAGTATAGATAGACTTCATGTGTGGAAGTGGGCTCCACATACTAGTTACACAGACACCAACAAGTCCTTGTCCATGTACTGTCATGGACGATATCCCAGTCCAGATGGCGACGTCGATGCGATGGTTTGCTCGCGGATAGCGCGACGTTAGTGATGCACTGTGTTAACCGTGAGCAAGGGGGGGGGTCATCAAGCACATACCAGACGCGAGCGACGACGACACCACCTTCCCCAGTGACGAGTTCCTCGTCAACATGAAGCATGCGATCCAACCGACTGAGGACATATCAATCCATACCCCAGCCCGTTCGGACTCACCCTGGATACCATGGGTCTCGTAATTTCGTTTCTTTTATTATTAAAAGTACTTCAAATTTCATCAACTATACTTTATTAAAAAATTTTGTTTTTCTTTTGCCTTCATAAAAAAATTTATCTTAAACTGGTTTTTTACGTTATCTATATCTCTATAGTATATCTCAACGACATATAAATACAATCGTGATACTGTATGTATCGACATACAGTATCACGATTGTATTTATATGTCGTGGTGGGACAAGACTCGAAGACTCGTTGTGATAGCGCGTCAATCCCTAGATCTTTGAATCCAGTCAAGAGGAAATACTTGATTCCTATTCCGGAGCAACGTTAATGTACTTACTATTTTACTATTAATGTACTACTGTAGTACATACACTACAGTGCTCCCTACAGTGCTCCCGTGGATCTAAATCAATCCGATGGACCAAAGTCATAGTAAATAGCGATTAACTTATCAGTAATAAACCCGATTATACTTGCGTGGACGGGGGCGGTGTCGTCGTGGAGAAATTGTGCGGAGGAGGGGCGGAAGTTCCATCGCATCGATTAATTCGGATGGCAGCAGCATTAGATGTGGTGTCGACATCAACATGCGGGCCCCGCCGTCTGTCGCATTCTGGTCGGCTGTGGTGGCGCTGATCAACACATGTACACAAGATGATGACTTTGAACATCTCGCCAACGGTGACTCGGTCGTTGGGGCTGATTTCCAGCATTGCTAACTCCTCGGTGACGGCGGGAGTGGCGGGCCGCCAAACGAGGACGAGCCCAAGAAATATCTCGATACTGAAGCTCACAAGGCGTAGTACAAGACCTAGCCGAGTATCAGCTACACTTGTCGATAGCAGCAATCGAGAATACATAGACATTATCAAGACGTACATTTGCCCAGAACCATCCAGACGACGTCTGCATGGCTGGTCTGGTCCGGGATGGGTTTGAACAGCATGTGGAGCGGCGTCGCGTCCCCGTTGAAAGTTGACATATCAGCCGACGTCTTGGCACACACGAGGGCGATGCATACTAGCGATACTGGGCTCGTCTCCGCCGCCACAAACCCACGGAAGTGGTGGTCGAGGGCGACCATGTAGACTACTCCGAGGGCATAGAGGCCTGCGATAAGAAACATGAGATCCATTCAGACTAGTGAGTCGGGTACAGTACCTACGACGCCTTGGGTAGACATTGCGAGCACACAGAGCGCCACAAACGGCCAGACGTTGTCGAACCATTGACGCAAGTTGTTGAGCACTTCGTCGGCTTCGGTCGCGGCGGCATTGGTTCGTCGTGGGACTCGCTCGGATGTGATTGCAGCAGAAACGGCTGCAGACATGGGACCTCCATGGCAACGATGCTGCGTCGCCGCGGCCACGCCGGTGTCATAGATCGGTACGCTGTACATTGTGCGCTCGGTTGTGGGTGCGATAGGACTCATTTCTCGATTTGATTTGCATTCGTCGCTCAACCGACATCCTTCTGCGATGCGGTGATTCGTGATTTTATCTAGTTCACAGCCAATCACAATTGTCATGTGGGTCAAAGCCAGTACATGATTGGCTAAAATCAAATTCTCTGATTTTGAGTTTAGACAGTTGACAGGTGTGATTACCTGTAACATTTAATATTAGTGTTGAGAACGGTGAAGCAACAAGTAAACCATAAATGTAGCATGACCGCACATCCTGTAGCAGTACACATCGGTACAGGAGGCTGCGGGACATGATCCACTTGTCCACCCTCAAGGATACTAGTATGGCAGTACTCTATTCCTCATCTCTGCTAAACTCAATGTTAGTGTTCAGCCTGAGATATACGTATAGTAGCAACATAGAACCACTTTCACGAAAGTCGCAAGCCGATGGCCATCCAATTGCTTGCTTGGCAACTTTCCCAGTCGCCAGGTCGAACGCAATTATGGGATCCCGGATTTCGTGACCTTTCGAGCTTTTGTACAGTAACAAACGGTACAGTTTACAGTGTACTCCTGTGGCATACACTAGTTGGTTCGTTCATCCTATGAATAGTTAGTTACTGTAGTCCTCTTGTTAGTGTTTCCAACAATGTACCTACTATTAGATCTCTATTGGTACTAATACGTAATACTACTAACGTTATTAATAGTTGGAAAGTCTTGAATGCTTCCCGTTCTTCTGTAGCTAGCTAGGTACAGTATTGGAAAGCCATCTACTACTACTACTACTACTACTACTACTACTAGTCGACCTCAAGATATAAGTTTATTTGTCGTGTGGTGCTTGGAGCGTGGGAGTACTCCGCACGTACGTCACATCGCCTAGCGCCGTCACAATCCATCCAGCCTTGGCCGTAGTAGTACTACTACTAGTACTACTAGTATAATTCCGCCCGCCTGCCTTCTTTTTCTTGGCCGAAGATGCATTTCCGTCGTCCAAGATACCCAAGCTAGACCACATCCGCCGGTTTGCCGTCGCCGTGAGCAGCTGCCGCTTGGCCGCGACCGCCTCGGGATCCCACGCGGTGAGCGGCGCGTACACGCCCGACAGGGAGGACGACGTCACCCGCAACGCCCCCCCGCCAGGAAGCGTCGGCGCGTCGTCAGGCGGCAACTTGCCAGGAGTGGAACCATTCGACTCTACAAGTACTTTTATATAGTGCCATCGGTTGACCAATCATAATCCAAAACTCGAACCAACGTAGCCAATCAAAAACTCACTCAAAACTGAAATTAGTGTGATGGGCGACACTTTTTTATATACAAAAGTCAGTACAACAAATCGATCGCCGACGGATTTGGCGAATCAACACCAAATGTCCTCCTCCAAGATCGTTGGCAGATAGGATAATTAATATATAAACATATATATATAAATATATATATCCTTCGACATATATTTATATGTACAGCAACACTCATGTACACATATGTATGATACATTTATTCATAAATATACATATATATATAGACAACCATCAATGCTTTCAGTCCTGTAATAAATACATCGTCATCAGTGCATAATAGAACATTCCCGTGTATCCGTCATCACAGCTGTCGAATCCAAGCCCACATGTCCAAAGTAGTATATGCAAACATAGCACTAGTATTTGCATCACATTGTACATATATATATACAACAATACCAACTAACGTGCCTACATATTATAATATTTATTCAAAACTGGAGCGACGTGCCAGATGTATCGACACAACCACATGTCCAGTGGAATCGACAGAAAAATTTAGCCAATCAAATTGCACGAAAGCAGCCTCCGTTCAACCAATCAACAGCTAAAACAGTGTGTGAATTCAATTAGTGTAAATGGCATCCCATCTCTTCTTTTTTTACATGCTAATGTCCGCATAAACCACACATCGATGGATTTCACAAATATTATAACCGAAAAACTTGTCCAATTCATTCACTAAAACGACAATATACATATTGTCGATTTGATAGTACAAATTTGGGGAGGGGGTGCAATCGAATCGCGCAAACCGATCCACAATCGATCTGATTGGTTGAATTTCATTGAGAAATGGGTTTTGATTGGCTAATAATTTTGAGCTCATCTGAAGTAGCCAATCAAATCGATTTAAATTCCAACGAGAAACCACAACACAATGAAATTTCACTCGAAAGCACAATACCTCCATGTCCATCTAAAGCCACCGCCAGTCCCGTCATTTTGCCGCCGTCATCCACCACTGCCGCATCCTTCACGACTCCTCCTTCCATGAGATTGGTCATTCCGTCCGGAGTGTTCGCAGACGACGAGTCGGGCGGCGGCGCGTCCAGATCATTGCGCCGGAAATCTGGACGCTGGCCGTACGTGTGCCCGGCGGGGGTGCACTGGCACACGTTGTGGCACGCGCAGTGGCTAAAGTGGCACTTGGGGCCGCGCTGGCACACGCCTTTGTTTTGAAAGTCGTAGCACACGCCTTGACCGGGGGGACCGCCGCCGCCGCCGCTCTTCTTCCACTTGTCCATCTCGTCCGGCGCCAGGTTCGGCGGCGGCTGCGACGACAGCGTCGGCCCGGACGACGACGATGGCGCTATCGCCGCGACGGACGAAGACGGTTTCAAAGACGGATGATGGTCCGATGTAAAGTACAGCTCGATCTCGTCGCCGCGAATCGGGTCGTGTACTAAAGCTTTTTCCAGCGCTGCCAGATGGCCACGTTCGGTAGGTCGTCCAATGTCCTTGCGCACCCGCAACAGTTTCCACCCGCCTATATATATATATATGTATGTTGCCAGATGGCCATTTGGAGTAGGTAGAGAGGTCGTACAAGTGTACCTTTGCGATACCCGACCCCGTGCAGGTCGTGGTGAAAGTTGGCATGGCCACTGCCGTCGTTCTTGTCGTCTGATGGGATAAACGTGGGCGTGTCAGGATCGTACAAACACTCGACGATCCGATGGGACACTTTTTTGTCCGAGCAAAAGTGGTCGTACACATCTAGTAGTTGGTAAATTATTAGTATATATACCTATATATATATATATATATATATATTGTCACGTCGATTCGTTGAAATATTGGAATGGGGTGCTCAATTGAATGAGCAGCAGACAATCCATCGACCAATCAAAACCCAAAAGACGAATCAAGTAGCCAATCAAATTAGTTTCGACCAATTCAACACTGAATTAGTGTGTGATTGCAATTAGTGTGATACTGGACGATATTTCATACTTCAAGGACAAAGAATCGATCGATAAATTTGGAGAATTAGCTGCTCAAACGTCCAAATATAGGGTAAAAGGACAATATATATATATAATTCCACAGTTTATTCACAGCACGCAAAGAACAACTAACTACGTACAATACCTAGTAGGACGCAACAACTAAACACTTGGACCAAGTACTAGATACATCAACAACGCTAACAAGAGGACTAACTTGAATAGACTAACTAGAGACCAACTAGATAAGAACTAACAACTAATGACCAACTAATGACCAACTAATGACCAACTAACGTTACCTGGGGGAAACGTGATCCAGTCGTAAAAGACACTCATGCCTTTGTCAAACACGTTCAACTTGAACACAGGTTTCTTGGGCCTACGCAAAGAACATTCGAATATTTTATATATACTATATATATTTCTATATATATATATATTATATATACGATACTGTACGTACATGCCGCGCCAGTCGACGCCGAGCTGAAAGAAGGCCGTGGTGGTCGATGGAAACGTCCAGTAGTACACGCCTTTGCTATGTCCAGGCGCATACGGCAGCGACATGGGAATGAACACAAGGCCTACATTTCAATATATAAATATATATATATATTTCGAAATAATAGTTTGATATATACCAGAGTGCTGGACGGCTGTGTTGGTGGGCGTGGGAGTGAGTTGTCGAATGGAGCTGGTCATCTTGTTGAGCGGTCGATTGGGCGGAAAGAGGAGCGAGAACTGGCTCGGCGGATGGCCTTTAGGTAGGGGAATCTTGAGAAGCGGACTGATCACCGAGTTTTGAATCGTCTAGATAAAGATGGATATGAGGATGTGGAAGGATATGGAGATGGGGATGGACCTTGAGCCGGTCTTCGAGCTTGAGAGACATGACCGACGCGCCGTTCATGGCGAGGATGTCCGAGATGACAAAGCACAACTTGTCCTGGTTCAGCACCAACGTGCCGTCGAGAATGGTCCACATGTGCTGGCTCAGTTCGTTGTCACCATTCGTCATGGACTGCGGGCGGTCTTGTTGCCGCAACGGCGTAAACAGCCAAGTCTCGCGGATCTCGTAGTTGTGCGAGATGAGGTAGCATCGCCCTGTCACGAGAAGTGCCAAGTACCTACAACCAACATAGCATTCACCACATGCAGTCGCTGCATGAGCCGTACCGGATGCCAGTCCACATGGACCCCACGAGATACCCGAGCTCGACGATCTGCTTGCGGTTGGACCTCAGCATGGGCATGCTCGTCGACATGGGGGCGAGTTCCCGCGAGTTCCATCCCAGAAGCGCATTCACTCGGTCCTGCACGGCGTTCCGCTGCTGGGGGTTCAGCAGCAGCCCCACTTCTTCCGGGATCGGCGTCGGGATGGCGGCTGTACTCATTTTGTGCGATCACAAGTCTGTCAAATTTAATACAACGAAACACAACCTGTCATATATTATACATGAGCCCAGAAGCGCATTCGGAGATTCGCCAGGGCACCCAACGACCATGCAGGAGAGCTACCAGAAGCACCAGCGCTACATCCTCCGCCGCTTCCCGCCCTTCCTAGATGACGCCATGATTGGGAACAACGAAAAGTTGCGCTTGTTGTTCATTGTGCTCTGGTCCATGCTCATCGCATTGCCGACAGTACTCGCTGCGTACACTTGCGACTACTTTGTCAAGGAACCGCTATTCTACTTCAGTGTGCTTATGGTGCTATTCGTCTTCGCGCGCGCTCTGGTACGACAAATTGCACGACGTGTGCGATGGGCACATACTGACTCACATGGAGCGTCATCTGTATATATTCTCACGTGGAGTATCAACAACGTAGCATCGGTATTGCGTGCGATGGCCGGAAGGACATGCAAAACGATGGAGCTACTGGGCCGAGGTACGTGTAACGTACATGTATGCATACACGGCGGAATTCTACAGATAGATGCGAGGTTTACGGTTGATGATGGCTCGTAGATTGAACTCGCGACGGCGCCGTACAAGTTAAAGATCTTGGGCTATTACCATCGCAAAATCGACCACTTCCTGGGGCAGTTCCCCAAAGGCACGACGGACGCGCAGATCCATCGACACTACAACATTCGGACGGGCGTCACAGCGCTGCTGTTCTCCGCCGCGTTCGTCGTCTCCACTGTAGGTCCCCGCTACTGTACGTTGCCAATCTCAATGTCGTCACACGCCTTAGGTGCTTCTCGCGTACACGGATGGACAAGACTACTCCCAGGTGTTGATCCTGTACATCTTTAGCGTGGCCTCCGTGTGCGTGTTGTTCTACCTTGGGAAGGTCCATTGCATAGAACTCCCGCAAGTGATTGTGTTGCGTCATCGACCAGAGGTACGTCTTTTCCCGTCGTGCGTGCCTAGTTTCTCACGCAGGCTTTTGCCATGTAGTTCGCATCGGAAGTGTTATTCAGCGACATGCATGATGAGAAGATTCCCTTTGCCCAGCCAGTGTCTGACTACCGCACATCATCCCGATGATAATGCCGTCAACAAATTTGAAAATGGCGGCGATCTTATTGGGTTGACGGTTACAGAAACACTTGATTGGCTAATAATAAAATTGAAACCTGAATTTGATTGGTCGAAATAAAGCCGTCCTTGGAAGACATGAGGCGTTTCTATTGGTCAGACATTTATAGAGCTGTTTCGATTGGTCAAAATAAACAACACCATCGACAACAACACCGCGCGCACTTGCAATGGACGCCTGCCGCCAAATTGCACGGCTCCGCGAGGACTGGGTGCGGCAATGCGAAGGACACCTGAGTGCCGTGATGCGGACCCTGCCGAGGTAAACATGCGCATCTCGTGAGGAACATCGAGGACATCTATGAGCTGGGATGTGTGGTGTCCAGGGCAATGCCGAAAGACGAGCAAGACGAGTTCGCGATGACCCAGTTCTTGTTTGCAGACATACAAGTGTCTTGTACACCGTCACTCCCTCCAGACCTACACAACATGCACCGCGTCGTGCTTCAAGGCCGGTACTTTTTGCAGGTACATGCACGCGGCTCATTCGTGGGAACGACGGCGATGGATCCATCTTCGACCATTTGCTGACTTCCATCAATTGTGTAGATTGTGGATGCATCAAACATTGCCGCGGGGCACGAGCAGCGGCAAGAAGACACTTCGAACCGCATGCTCAAGCTGTGTTTGACCGACGGGGCGTCATTAGCTTATGCGATCGAGTACCTCGTCGCCTATGTCCAACGTTGACCGAGTCATGTAGACACAAGCCGCTTCGTCAATTGAGCGCCAAGACGCCGCGCGGTACAAAGGTAATGCTCCTTCCCCTCTCTCCTCATCCACATTGCTTGACATCATTCCACCCACACCTACAGATCATCGTCGAAAACGTCGAGGTGCGGCATGGCCTTCTCATGCTCACGTCTGTGGTCGTGCTCGGCGCCAGCGGCAACGACGCTTTGGAGTCCATGGGCAGCAGCACTCTATCCACCACCATCCCCACATCCTCGACTACGCATCGTCCCGAGTACCCTGTCTCACCTTCCATCTCGTTCACTCACATTCCGTAGGCAGCGCAGTACCCTACCATCGTCGGGTTTAGCAGTAGTAGTAGCAAGAGCACCTACTGCCGGCGCTCCTGTCATTCAACCACCGTCAGTTCCATTGCCCATAACCCCCGCCGCCGCACCGCCGCAAGAGCCGTGGGACGACGCGTCTCTGTCAGACGAAGAACGCGCGACCGACCCCACCGTCCGCCACCTCTTCTACGGGTCCCCATCCAGTCCTACTAGTAGTACTACTATTAGTACTACTAGACCCCCCACCAAACGTACTCCAGTCGTCCATATTGGTCGTGTCGACAGCACCATTCCAAGCGCAGTGGGGGGCGATCCTTCCAAGCCATTTACGTACCTCTCGCATACTGTCGGCCATGTGCCATCCACTTGGCCTACTCGACGGCGGGTGATCAAAGGCTTTGTCAAGTCAGTTGTGTCGTTTGAGTTTCAAACTGGCGAGTACCACCTCAAAGTGTACGTGGAGGACGCCACCCGATCCATCTTGGTGTCCGTCGAGTCCAAGGTACAACACTCACACATGTTACTGTACCGTACACTTTACTGTACTGTACACTAAGTGATGTTTACAGTTTGTAGAGTCCCTCATGGGCGTGTCCTGCGCAACATTTGTCCAAGCGATGCAGGCGGACGTCCCGCGCGGCATGCACTGGGTCGCCACCATGCAGCACAAGCTGTCAGTGTTGGAAGGGCTATTCACCATCGAATATGCCCACTCTACTACTAGTAGTACTACTAGTACTATTACTCAAGCAGCATCCCCTGCTCGTCTGGTATGCCATCTCCATATATCTGTTTCTTTACATCTTTTTTTTATATTTTTGTCTTGACTAGCCAACGCTTGTGACTTGCCAAGACGCTACAAGTACCACGACACGGCTGCTGCTAGCTCGATTGACCATGGCTTCATCTTAAATCCCAGAGTGTGTCCGTAATACAAAATGACCCTTAACGCTATACAGACGGTTCGCTTTTGGACGGATTTGGGACGACGTTACGACTGTTTTGTTTGTGGGGGTGGTGCTTCTGGTGTGGTAAAGATTTTGGCTGCGTCCAGTTCCTGCATGAGTCGAGTGTACAATTCGTCGGCGTTGAACGCCAGCTGCTTGTTGGCTTGGCGACGGCGGTACGAAATCACAATCTGCAGCATGAACGCATTCTCTTCGTCGTACTCGAGCTAGTACCCCACATGTGTCAACATCGATATATATATATATATATATATATACGAACCAGCCAATATATATAGACACGGCATAATATATATACAATATAGGAGAGATATACATTTGTACCTGAACCGTGGGGACGGCGCCGCCCCATTCCTTTTTAAACAGTTCGTGCCACATGACTTTGGCCACTTTGACATTACCGTCGTACACGTGGGATTCGTCCTATCACAACAACAAAATATATATACATTATATATTATATATTCAGACACCAATATATATATATATAACACTCCAACTAAAGTTACTTTCCACATCACCTCCATTCCTCATAGTATAGCATCATCGTCCCTCATATCAATATTCTGATGTACACATCCAAACTCGTCCAAATATATCAACTCGATGTGATCGTACCGATATATTTTTGGTCCGGATATACGTGGCCAGGTTCTTCATATCAATTGGCACTTGCCGTGTGAGTCGGATGGTCACAACCCCTTGAGATCGGTAGATGAACGTCTTGAGCACGTACACAAGTCCCCCAGCCAACGCCGCCCAAAACAGCAAACTCAGGATAAACCTAGTATATCTCCATTTATATATATATATATATCGTCAATATCCTGACAGCCAAATATTATTGCGAGTTGACACCAACAGACGATACCACACAAGAGTCCATGCACGCAAACATCCATCCAAACATATGTACAGCAAACGAAATGTGTATAAATATGTATATATATATATAGTCAACAAACCTGTCACTTTATGTAAATCAATCTATATATCAATCCCTGTTATGTATATATATAAATATATATATATATATATCGTCCAAACCAAGTCACTTTTTTGTGTAATACACACACACATAAGGGTCCCTTTACGTCAACGCATATACATATATATCTCGTTGATGTAAATAATTAAATACATAGTATCCATCGTCCAAGCAGCCTGTATGCAATATATATATATATATATATATATATATATATATATACTCTATCCGACGAATATGAAAGTATAGAGTGTTACCACAAGCCGGGGCTGTCTAGCACGAGGGGGTTGAGGAAGGCTTTGGCCCAGTTTTGATTGAGAAGGGACCAGTCGCCAGTGAGTTGGTGCAGGATTTGAAAGGCGAGAGACCCAGACAAGACGACTTGAATCAGCTGCAAAGTGGCGGCCGACCGCTCGTTGATGGCCTGGAGCTCGCAGAGGCTTCTGGTTTGGAATCGGATGGCCTCTTGCTGCTTGTAGATGCGTTCTTCGCTGAAGATGGAGCTCATCTCATTCAACACGACCAACTCGTGCCTTGCGCCATCCATTTTCTTCCCCAAGTCTTTCACTCGGCGCTTCAATTGCGAACTCAAACTCTACCACCAAACATATACATCACCCATACACACATATGAATAATCACAAATCAATATATATATATATATATATATATTATACATGACCCTTGTATATATCAGCTCACTCCACCAAGAGTTCCACCTATATTCAAATACATAATATATATATGTGGATACTCCATTCGCTCCAGGTTTCAATCCCCCCAAATATCGAAAATTATAACGTGGCGAGTGATATATACCTATGGATGTAAACAAACGACCACCACCACCACTCGTACAGCCATACGATCACGAGGGCCAAGACCACGTCTTTAAAAAGCAATATATCATTTTATATATAACAGCGATTATATTTTTTAAATATTTGTAAAAATATTAAATATCAAACCAAAAGTACCACCACTCACTCGTATAGCCATACGATCACGAGAGCCAAGACCACGTCTTTCAAAATATCATAACTAAACGTCTACACCAAAGAACGATACACGACCCAAGGCTCAAGTATACAACATAAAATACAGAGAAATACCACATACACGGGTCGATATATATATATATAGGATATCCATAGAATATTTATATATAGGATATCCATTGAATATAGATATATTACCCCCAGCTGCAGTCGTTCGTACAAGCTGCGTCCGGCCTGCTCGGGCGGTTCGGGGGGGATTTCCGCCTCGTCCAACGACTCTCTTAGGAACCCGAGGGTTTCTTCAAGCAGAATCACTTCCTTGGAGAGCACGGCAAGGCGGCGGCGGATATCGGCGAGGCGGTTCGGGTCTCGTTCAGCCACCTCAATCATACCCCTGACGGTCTTCATGTCGTCGACGACAATGAATAGCCGCGCGAAGAAGTTTTGCGTGAATAGGTTCATGCTTTCGTACTCCAGGAACGAGCAGAGGAGGGGCTCGTGGTGGCGCGAGTTGGGGCCGGCGATGAGCAGTCCGAACGCCCCAAAGATGAGCGTGTCGTGCTCGGATATGTCAAATGCGGCGCGGGTATCGCCGATCACTTGCTTGAGCTCGTTCTCGTACTCGCCCTTGTCCATGTACTCTTCGGCTGTCAAGTGCGGCGTGATCTCGTTGGCGATGATCAGGTTGATCTTGTCTCGGTTCGAGTCTTGGTTCATAAACACTAGACCCAGGAGACTGCGCTGGTATGCACTTAGAACAGAGTCGACGATCTGCGACGAGTCTTTCTGCACGTCCACGAGAAGCCGCGAGAGATGATCCAGGGAAATGTTGTCCTTAATGCGATCCATGATGGCTTCGACCTACTTGATACAATCATACACACACATGAGAAAGAGATAGAGTGGCTGGCTATACGGAAACGATCATATATATATATACATCCCAATATCACGAATGAGAGAGAGACTACGGGAGAGAGATGGTGGAGGATATATGGCACACCACATGAAATAGACATCGTGAATATATATATATAGTTGTTTACAAGTCAATGGAATCACAAAAGCAGCTATTTTTTAATATTGAAAACATGTAAATTGTTCAACCTTGGCGTAGTGCAAATGTACGACACATATACGGTAGACAGATGTATCCCCGTACGACTGTATAGGGAGTTAGTATTGTATATACATAAGCGACAAGTATAAGTAGTGTATATACATGAGCGAAGAGTTAGTATGATATAAGGCCAAGAAGGACAAGAGAAGACAAAGTATCACAGCATATAAATTCAAAAAATCCATGATATGAATTAAAATATATATCCAGTCTACAGTCCAGCAAATAGGAAAATATATTACGATCAGATTAGTGTATGTATATATTATATAGCATCTCGAGTGTGACTGTACACATTCTAGAGAGTGTGTGGAAAGGGTAATAATAATAAAAGAGTAACAATAATAGGGGATTCTACTAGGTTTATACCTGCATCCCGTAAAAGCACGAGCCAGTAGCTGTGAGGGAGCACCCGAATGTTTCGACTTGGACGACACCGGGGGCTTCGGGGTAGTGGATGTCAGCTTCAAAGTTCACGTGATTGGTCAGGGCAAAGTCCAGGATATTCACCGACGTCAGGCCTGGCTCCACCGCGATCTGCGTCCCCGTCGAGTTGGTGTCCACCAACGACGTAAAGAACCCGCCCTATTGCATATATATATATTAATATCTATGGATATCTGCACTGGACTGGCTAGGTACGCATCGCCACGTTAAATACAAGGTATATTATATATATATATCAAGAATGCTCTCACACCCGTACGAGGCAATTTTGCAACCTGCATATTCAAATCAAGCAGCAAATACCACCGCAACTCTCTTCTCCTGTCTTGTGCTACTACACTTGCTGCTGCTACTGGTCTTCTGCACCACAATATTCCCAATATTCGACTTATAGTACAAATCTAGGCTACTAGCCTAAATATTATTTCTCGCTCCTCTATACTTTCGGGCTACACATCATACATATACATATTGTCTTGAAATGATTCGAACCTGGAATGTCTCAAGAGAATATCATCGATTAAAGAACCTCCTGAGCCAATCAAATAACGTTCTGTCGAATATATTCTGCCAATCCAAACTCTTGATTCAATCGCATGGGGAAAAAAACCACATATATACTAACCTTTGTATAGTTTTTTGTACAAGATTAAATGAGATCAAATGGAATTGAATCCTATTTGAATCACTCCCCAAATAGTCCATACTATTTGGGTGAAATACACAACATATATATATATATACTCGTATGTCAACCATACATACCTGGACACGTTCCGTGGACCCGAGGTTGCAGTTGAGCTGCACAAGCTGGTTGGCACCAAATGGAATGAACTCGGATACGATCAGAGACACAGAATTGAGTGAGATGATTTCGTCCAGCTGGTCCTTGATGGTCGAGTCGCTCAGTCCGCACTCGTGCGCGCGGTGGGCGTTGCTGAGGGTCGGTCGGCCACCACGTCGCAGACACTGGGGCACGTACGCACTCGACACGTACGACACGGTTTCAGTCTCTGTCACAGACGACACGCGGCGGTACCCGCTGTCTGCGTCCACGAGCCAGTACTCGTGCCCGTCCCAGTCGACTCGAAGGAGGTTGCGCGTGCCTGGCGCGTACGCCTACCCATGTATATATAATATATATATATATATTTCATACATATACACATGTGTAATAAATCCACATTCAATATATTACACGAACGTTGGGTTGCTTGAATTGCTCAAGTATACTACTACATGTAACGTTTAGGAATGAATTCACGTCGTAGCAACACACGGAATATTAACATATTACACCAATCAACATCGTTGGACACTTGACATATGTATATATATATATATATATATATATATATATATGTATATGTATATATATATGTATATATATATATATTGTCAAATCGATTCGAAACTGCTGGAGCCCTCGGCAGAATCCAATGACTTGAGAGAATAGATTAAAGAACAGTCTGATCCAATCAAAATCACGTCATGGCAAATTTCTGCCAATCCAAACGTTTGACCTCAAAAACCCACATATATACTACTCGTTGTATAGTATAGTGTGTACAAGATTAAATAGGATCAAATAGATTCGCAATTTGGCGAAATGACTGTCAAGTTCAAATTTGGGTGAAATGCACAATATATATATATATAATATATATATAAATCCACCGTGAAGCATCATCTATCATAACCAAACCGACCGATATATATAATACCACTGGACAAAACAACAGATATTTATGATATCATATAGGATTGCTTATCACCATATCTCGAAGCAGCACTCTTTCGTCAGGATGTCATAAGACTACGAAAGCCTCATATCCCCTTCCAAGGACACACGAACGATGCAATGACAATGAGGAGGATAATGCCATCATTGTTAAGAGAACTGAACGAGGAGGTATTGTTACCATGTCGTGGATGGGGCTCTTGTCGGCCTTTCCCAGCTTTGCCACGAGTTCCTGGCCTTTCTCCGAGATTTGGTAGCACGTGACGGGCTGGTACGTCTTGGACGCGAGCTTTAACCCGTTGAGCAGCTCTTCTTCGCGGAGAAAGTCCAGATCCGACTTGCCTTCCTGGGAAATATTAAAGTACTTGCGCTTGTTCTCGATCAGTTCCGACGCCGGCGCGTAGTCGTAGTCGACGGCTTGGGACACGATCGCTTCGTAGAGCAACACCAGCAACGCCGGCTTCCGAATCCACTCTTCCTTGTCCGTTGACAAGATGGCGGGTTTCGTGTACAGCGAGATGAGGTACAGCAACCGATTCTGGTTCTCAGTCAAACCCTACCGAGACAATACGTAGTACGTGAAGGGGCAATAAGGAAAGAGATCGGCGATGGATGAGCGCATCATGGAGGCGATAATGGCGGGAAGTCCTCCCTTACCGTGTCTTCTTCGTTCGTGTCGCTCTCGTCATCGTCGTCTTCGTCTTGGGCTTCCACGGCGGCAAGTTCTGCCTTTGCGGCCTCTTCATCCGGAGCCTCAGTCGACGCACCAGCAGCCTTCTTGTCGACGACAAAGAACACAACAGATCAGGGATGTGATGTCATATGCGACGCAGGTTGGTATTGCAACATGAGAATCGGTGGACGCACCTCGGACGTCTTTGCTGCCGACGCTGCCTTCGAAGTGCTTGGCATCGGAAGGACGTGGCGTAGAGCGTTACTCGATTGCCTTTTGTGTGTCTTGGCAGTTACACAAGGGAACAGGCGGAAAGTTATAATAAATTGTTATAACAATATAGCATATTTTAATTAGAATTCGAACGTTTATACTACAGTAGTTTGTAGGATTACAGTATACTCCTGGAGTACTATGTTCATTGTTATAACAAAGTTCCACGGACGCTTTAGGCGACGAAAGGCATGAGGGTGGCGCGGCCGAGGCGGGCGGTGAAGGAACCTTTGTTCGCGTCAGTGATGTGGAACTCGAGCTCGATCTCTTGGAACGCGGCAACATAGTTGCATTGGACGAAGCCCAGCCTAAGAAGGCATCACGGCAACACATCACGAAAGTCGAGGAGTAAGAAGTCGTACTTGCGAAAGAGGCCCAAGGAAGGTTCGTTGGTTTCGTTGATCTTGCAGTAGAACCGATGGACATGCAGATGGGTGACAGCATACGACATCATGAGCAGCACGGCTTCGCGGCCGACGCCTTTACCACGATACCTGGCTTCCGCCACCATGATGTCGATCTCGCAATTCGCTGTGTCTTCGTCGTCGTTGAAGAACAGATTCACATCACCAGCCATCTCGTCTTCCGTTTCAGTATCGGTTGTGGCAAACACGATGAACGTCGCCTTGGTCGGATCCTCTCGCCATGTGACCTGCATCTGTTGCTCTTCCTCGAGGGATAGCGGCTCCGACGCTGTCATCTCAAGCAGGAACGGGTCCTTCATCCAATCGTGGTACTTGAGGACATGATGCGCCGCGTACGGTACCAGGCGTACGAGGTCTCCCTGGATCTTCATGTCCAATCGCATGTTCGACCGTGATGGCGCGCGCGCAATTCCACCTTGATATGTTATCCGTATAAAAGCCAACATTATCCGTATGATTGCAATTCTCTACAATCTATCTGTACATGCATCCAAGCAGTCCACATGCGGCGGCCACGCAGACACCACCAGCGGAATGTGTCCAAAGAAGAAGCGGGGCGTTTGATTGTAGAAGAAGGAGGGCGGAAGATGTGCTGCTAGTTGTCGTCGAACATGGATGGGTGCAACCCCATACAGTGCTCTTCGTCGTTGTCACCAAGCATCCTCGATTGATCAAGCGTTTCCGAGGTACATCCTTTGTGATGTCACGTGATTGGGATGGCAATGCATGTAACCATGATCATGTGCATCGTGCAGGTGGGATTCCCAACTCATTGCGTCGAGCGTGGTGGGTGTCGATGGCAACGTCGACCCATGCAGGTGACATGATGTCGCTGCTAAACCACCACACCCCGAGCATTCTGCCCTTTCTTGGCACCACGGGTCTGGACGGAATCATCTTGCGCGACCTGGACCGCACGTTTCCATCTGAACCTCTGTTCGCAACGGGTCAAGGTCCCGCCCTTCTCGCGAATGTGCTCAAGGCCGTGTCCGTGCACGTGCCCGACGTCGGGTATTGCCAAGGCATGAACTTCATCGCCGCCAAGCTCTTGTTGCTATGGACATGTCCTTCCATCAACGATACACCTCCATCCTCCTCCAAGTCTTCGTCATCCGTGGATCAAGATGCTTTCCACGTCCTGTCCTTTGTTGTCCGCCGCCACGCCGCGCTATGGTCCCCAGGCATGGCAGGGTACGTATGTCCTTCATATACAGTATGTATTCGTCGTTCAATTTTTTAAATATATATATATATATTTGTAATTTCATTGTAAAGAAATATTATATATATATATACAAAAGTGATTTATTTATATCTATTTTTAAAATATTTTACAACTAATTCGTCCAAAATATCAGGTTGCGCAAGTGCATCTATGCCTTGCATAAACTCATATCCGTTCACTTGCCTCGCTTGCACGGTCACCTCCACCGCATTGGGATGCACCCTGGGTACTTTGCCACGCAGGTATATATATATATATATATATATCAATAATATATCTATCAATGGGCATTTTTCACCAGTTATATCGGTCCATATTCTCAACAATATGCATATATTGCGTGATTGGTCTCTTGCGTGGTAGTGGCTAGCGACGCTATTTGCCCGCGCCTTGCCGCTGCCGACGTTTGCACATGTATGGGACCGCTTCCTTGTGGACGGCATGAAGATGCTGCTTCGCGTGGCGCTGCTGCTCTTGTCTTGGATGGAGCCATCTCTTCTCCATGCCTCCGACATGCATGAAGCCAGCATGCTTCTCTCTCGGCCGCCCAAACTTGCACCATCATCATCGAACGGCGGGTGTGTGCGCTCGGCCATGTCGTTCAAGGTCACCAGGTCGACGCTAATCCAGTTGGAGGATCAGCGCCAGTCCGAGTTGGTAGCTCGGTGGATATCAACACATCCTCTTACTATGGCATCAAGACGAATGAAACATGATGACGACGACGACGATGACGCCGTGTTCTACCCAGAAGTGGACAATCCATGGATTACGAACAAGCCTAGCCTCGATATGGACCAGTTGTGCCGCGATGTGGTCGGGTTGGATGCCGCGGTCGCGTCGGATGTCGCCGTGTTTCGACGGAAAATCGAACAAGTGCATCGCGCGGCGGACGCAGCCGTCGTCGCCTACATGTGTGCCGCGGCCATGTTTACAGAAGCCAGTTACGATTTGGAGGAGATGGTTGACCTATCATTGGAAAATGAACAAGATATAGACGACGAAGATGGGTTGCCGCGACTTCCGTGGTATCGACGGGTGTTTGCATGCGTGGATTCGACGATAATGGGCGCAAGAGACCGTAGTGGGAGATCGTTCCGTCATGTCCAGCTTGACGAGTCCAACGAGTTACACCAGAGTCGTTGGAGAAGGACCAGAGGGATGGCCGAGTATGCGAGGCGGCGGCGGCAGTTGATGGAAGCGCAAGTGGACATGGATGAACTGCATGCGTTCAAGACCAAAGTAACCGAACAGTTCTTGACCGTGCTGGACAAGAGCGAGCGGGAAAAGACGGCCGTGCTGCGACGCCATCTCGGGGACGACACGAGTATGATGTAGTCTGTACTAGTTTGTACTGTACTACCGTATGTGGCGTTGATCTGCACGATGAAATATATAGTAGTAGAACCTGAATAATATCATAAGAATAAGTCGTATACGATGAAATATAGTACGGGAGTAGAACCTGAATAATATCATAAGAATAAGTAGTAGTATACTATTATTCACGCCCAAATTGGTTTGTATTGAAAAATGTATGCTCCTATGAAGTAGTATACATATACCTCAGAAATTTCTGTAAATATTGGCAAATTCACAGCGTTGTTTTGCTAAATTATTGAAGAATTTCGACTCAGTTTTTTTGCCTTTCCCGCCCCAATTTGAGTGCCGCAGTCAAGAAGCATGGTGGCGCGCGTTCTCCCGTCTCGTCGCAGCTCCAACAAGGAACCAAAGGAGGTATTGACGCCGATGATGTCCCGTATCCTTCTCATGGCGTTCCTAGTTTCTCCAAGACACCATGGTCCGTACGTTGACGGCGCTCCAAAAGAAGGACGTATTCGACTTGTTCTCGCATCCCGTCGACACTCGCGCAGTACGTTCTTCCCATCATCCAGAGTATATGCCTTATGTCGCTATGGGGACAGGTACCAGACTACCTGGACAAAATCTCCACGCCCATGGACTTTTCCACCATTCAAGAGGTACACATACTTCAAGCATCGATCATCTCTCGGACGACCACATCTGTAGAAACTCTCGCGCCGGGAGTATGCGTCCTTCGACGAATTCAAGATCGACATTGTCGTTGTGTTCAACAACGCGCAGAACTACAACATGGAGCACACGGTGTACTTCCGCCAGGCGACCACACTCGCGCAGGTGGCCAACGTGCTGTTCCTGGACGCCGACATGGCGTTGGCCGCACACAAGCGGCAGCACCGCGCTTCCTCATCGACCTCCGCGGTGAAATCGACATATCAAATGGACCACCGCGACCATGTGCGTCATCAACATGATGATGTGGATGCTTCGACTACCCCGGACACGGAAATGGAGATGCATCCACCAACGTTCGACCTCGGCATCTTCGTTCCTCCTCCACCACCCGCAGAATCGTCCGAACCCATCCATCATCAAGACGACGACGACTACTTGGCCGACAGCGAAGACGAAGCGGAGGTCGTCGAAGAAGCGTTCCGTGACGTGGTACGTCCTTGATCTTGTTGCATGCGTCATGACTACTTATGTTGAGCTTACAATCGTCGGTATGGATGTAGTGTACACAGGACTTGGACGGGTACCACACGGACGACAGCTATGTCTTTGATGGTACGAAGAACATGAAGAATCACTAGTACTTTCGCACTTCAGTAACGAATTGATTCCTCCCCTTGTAGCGATCATCCATGACCCCCACCCAGACACACCGCCACCGCCTATGATCCTTCCTCAGCAACAACCTGCTGATCTACATGATGAGAACGTGTCCGACATCGACTCGGATGACGACTCGTCGCTCAGCGGTATGCATGTCCATTGTTCCCTTCTACGTTCACACTCGTTTTGTCAATCGTATCCAGATGGGATTGAGTTCATGCACGACTATCATGCTTCACCAGCTCCTCCTACCTTATCGACTGGTCGTGTTGCTGTTCATGTGACGACAGCACCGCCGACTCTCCCGCCGCCTTCCAACCTCGACAAGGAAAACGTCGTCTCAACCACAAAGGAGGTACAGCCTACTCCCGTCCTTCCTCCATGTGTTTCCGATGACATTTCATGATGTTAGACCCGCCGTCAGGATACGTCGTCGGCGTGGATCCCTCGCAAGCGACTCGGCATGGACATGAACCACACCATGTCGCAACCTGCAAAGCGTCCTGCTGCTTCCTCTTCCAAGAAGACACCGTACAAGAGCATCTTTGGCCTGCCACAGCCGCCGCCTCGAGCGCGGCAAGCGCTCATGGACACGTTCGTCGTGCATCCTGCTGCAGAATGACAAAGCTCGTTGTTTTGGCGCGCTTTTGAAACGACTATTTAATTTAATATCTTGTAATTTGTATCGAACTCGTTTCCGACCACAATTTAAAAAGTACGCGGGAAAGGTATGCGGTTATCCGGATAATTTTGTCCCAGCGACTCGAAGGGTGCACAGTGTGGAATTGGCGGCATTTGACACAAGCGACGCAGCATCATGGCCTACGTGACCCTCACCAACATCACCGTGCTGGACAACCCCACGGCATTCACCAACCCGTTCCAGTTCGAAGTAACGTTCGAATGCGCGCATCCGCTAGAAGACGACTTGGAATGGAAGATCACATACGTCGGCAGCGCCGAGGACGAAAGCCGGGACCAAGTGCTGGAAGAAGTGCTTGTGGGGCCAGTCCCTGTAGGTACCAACAAGTTTGTGTTCCAGTCTGAGCCCCCGGACTCGTCGATCATCCCCGAAGAAGACAAGGTCGGCGTCACGGTCGTGCTAGTCACGTGTTCATACAAGTCGCGCGAGTTTGTCCGCGTGGGGTACTACGTGAACAACGACTACACAGATCCATTCTTGCTAGAAAACCCGCCCGCCATCGTCGACATCCACAAGTTGCAGCGCAACATTTTGGCAGACAAACCACGTGTCACGCGGTTCCCCATTGACTGGGCGCCTGGCGCCACAGGTGCACCCGCCACAGCCGAGTTCGACGAAAACATGAACGCGTCCGACCTGAACGAGATGGACATGCTCAACGAAGAAGAGTTAATAAAGGCAGCCGCGCAACTGGACAGCCTCCATCCGGACATTGTGATCGAGCCTGAAGTGGACGACGACGACGGGATGGACGAAGGCGAAGAAGACATCGACATGGACGTCAACGAAGAAGGCGACGATGACGACGACGACGTGGACTCGGGCATCGAGTTCGAAGAAGACTTATAAATTTATCGACTTAATTGTACCCCATATCATCCCCATCCTTGTCCTCGTCATGACGCATCCCATCAAAGCAGCGCAAAAACAATTAATACAATTTGTGCCATACTATCAAAACTAATCGATATGTATTGTAATATCAACCACAATATATTCCATATTTGATATTTATTTGTTTAAATAAGCGATTGTATGCTTCAGAGCTCCATTTGATATTTATTTGACATTTGATATTTATTTGACATTTGATATTTATTTGATTATATCAGCGATTGTATGCCTCAGAGCTCCATTTGATATTTATTTTACCGTTACGGTATTAAACTATTTTGCCGCGATTCGAGAAAAATCCCGTGACATTCACACTAATTCCAGTTTATCAACCCTTTTATCGAAGGCGGTAGGACAGCGTTTCGTCGAGGGTGGACGCGCCGTCGAAATGCACCGAGATGTCAATGTCAAGGTCGCGGGGATTCGTCGCATTAGGCGCGCACGTGAGGGTGCCCTCGATGACGTCGCCAGGGAAGCATGTGAGCGCATGAGACAGGTAGAACACGGTCTGCTTCCAGTGGGTGTACTTGGCGCGAGGTCCCGTCGAGAACGAGATGGGCTTGTGGCAGTGGGTGAAGGCACAGTCGAAGTACGCGACAAACGCGTGGCAGAAGTCTTGCCGCGCCACCACAAGTGAGAACGGCGACGAGAACGCCAGGTCTTCTTTCGTCACAGTCGCCAAGTCGATGTCCTAAGGGCGTATAAACGAAGGTCAAGTGGTGATGGGGGGAGTAGTGGAGAGGAGGTGGAGTATATAGTACGAGGATGGGCGTGGCATTGGACATGATCGCATCGCCGTCGACCGTGTCCACCAACGGCTCGAGCATCGCGATCTTCTTGATGCAGCTCATGTCGAACCCGTACACGTTGTCCCAGACTACAACATGATCCATCACGAACGAGAAGGAAGGCGAGTATTTGCCATACAGTCGATCTTTTCAGATTTGTATTGGCCGTCTTCGATGGCGGCTAGAAACAGCACGGCTTTGTCGGGGAACAGCAGACCGCCGGGAGCGAGCCACTTGTCGCGGGCGTACAGGACCGTGTCGAGCATTGACTCGTAGAGAAGGAAATACCCCATCCACTCGGAGATGATGATGTCGACATGGGGCACCGGCAGCTCCATCTCCTCGACCTTGGCTTTGATCAGCGTGATGCGGTCGCTGAACCCGTTGTCCGCGATGATCTGCTTTGCTTGCGTGATGATACCCGAGCAGTCTACACCATAGACATGCGCGGCCCCTGCTTTCGCGGCAAACATGCTCAGGATGCCGGTGCCGCACCCGACGTCGAGGACGATCTTGCCCTTGAACAGGTGCGCGTTCTGCATGATCGCGTTCATGTACGTCTTGGTGCGCACCGAGTCCTTGAGCATCTCTTCGTGGATGCCAAAGTGCGAGTACGAGTCAAAATAGTAGTCCTTGCTGGTCATGCCCTCCACGGACGTCGTGGTTGCCGCGGCGGCGGCCGCTTGCTTCTTCTCTCGATTCTCAGGCATGTTTTTTAAAATACAGATCTCCAACCAATCGCCAACCCTTCAACAAGCGATACTGAAGCCAAGATAAAATTTGTGTACCCGCCCATGGGTGGATATTAGAACCTTCGACGGCGCGCGCTTTTGTGGCCGACCATTGACCCGCTTCTGTAAGATCGCGGAAGGCGCGGCGAAACAGACACGCCTGCGGGGCGACGGACCACAGACGTCCCTCACATGCTTGATGCGCGATGACCTTCACGCATGGGGACCTACCTACCTGCATCATCCGAACCACACTCCATCGGAAATGGTGGGGCTCGGAGAAGCAGCACACATACCAGGTGCCTACCGGTAGTCATGCCAACAGGCAGTCCTGGGTGTATTTGTATTGCATGTTTCCTTAGCTACTTGTGCGTTCGACGAAGACCTATGCCGTGATCTTACCAGCGTCCTGGCAATCCCACAATTCTTTCCTGTGTTCCTTGTTGGAAGCCTGTCTGCTGTGATTCGGGACATTCAAGGTGAAGCAACATCCAAGCGGGGGGCAGGAGCGACGAGTGATTCTCCAGTGCGTAGGGTGCATTGGATTATGGTTTTATCGTCCACAGCCTCCGAGGCCTAAACCCAACTTTCAAAGCAGTAATGACACCGCTTACAAGGCACCGCGGTTGCCCGTCTTCTTGCCGCCCTTGGGGCCAGCGTTCTTGATGACTTGCTTCTTTTGGCCAGCAGGGGCCGCGACCTTCTTGGTCTTGGCTTGGTCCTTGGCTTCCCTGTGATGCAATCACCATATATATCAGCACACGTAGTCATCAAATCCATGACGAGGTGGCGTACTTCAAGGCAGCATCACGGGCCGCAGCGCGGAGTTGGGGCTTTTGGTTGCGCTTCTTCTTGAGCTCGTCCACGGAGACACCGACGATGGCACGTTGGATCTTGGTGGTCTTGCGAGCGCGGCGACGGGTAGATTCTTCCACCTGTAGTACACACGCAACTCGCATCAGCATGTTCCGCCACCACATGGGGCAAAGGGGAGGCACGTACACGAAGTTTCTTGTTCATGCGGCGCCAGCTCAGGGTCCAGTGGATCTTGGCGGGCTTCTTGCGTTGCAAGAAGAGAGACTTGCACTTGGAGTTCAACAACGTGTACGCGTTGCCGTCCTTGCGGACAAGACGGATGCCGTGGCCGGGGTAGATGCGGCTTTCGCTGAACGCGCAGGTTTCGGTCCTAGAGATCATCACCACCGCCCCCCGTCAATAACTCATCCAGACACGCATCAACGTAGCGGCCATCATCGTACTTGATCACCATGATTTAGTCTTGAGGTAGCTGTGGAATTAAAGCCAAATACTCAATATATGCACGGCGGCCAAGTCGCCAAACACCAGTCTTTTCGGGGCAGCTTTTGGTTGGCTCTGGTCGAGGAGGGGAAAATCAACCAATCCGAGGCCAGGAAATCAAACTACTTGGGGATTGTATTGATCTTGCAATTCGAAATAATACACCACCCTCGAAAAAGGTTTGGTGAGGACTTGAGGTTTACAACACTAAATTAAGGTCTCCCAATTAGTGTGAGCCTGCATTATCGCTATTTCTAATAATCGCCGAGGTTGGCAAAGTAGCTCAGGTACAGGAACAAGCCGACGAACACCAGCAAGTACATGTACCACGAAGGTGGCAGGCCGGAAATGACGAACACAGAGTAGTCGGCAGATGCAGACATGAGCGACAAGTCGTCGATAAAGTCCAGCGGGTCGCGGGTAGCGTCCCTACACACATCAATCAGCCTCATCCAGCAAGTATGAATCGTAGGTAGTACGCGGCAAAAGGAAAGAACGCAAGGCCCGTGGACGGCAAAAAGTGTGCGGCGAAGGTCTTGAGGTGGGCCAATGTATCGACGCGGTGGATAAGCACTTGTCCGTCGCTGGACCCAGTTGCAACGTACTTGGCACTACATGCATCCATCCGTGAATGTCCTCAATCTACAGAGACGAGTCCACCAACCTCACGGCTAAGGAGCACACGATGGTGTCTTTGACTGCAATGGATGTCAGTTCCTCGATCGTGCCCTTCCCTTGATCGTCCACGACACAAGACCACTTGGTCAAGTACGACGACCCCCGCGCCGGCGTCTGCACGGTCACGATTTCGTCGTCGTCATCGTCGTCCTTCTTTGACGCATGCAGAGGAAATCGCCGCGGCACAAACGCGCATCCTCGGTAGATGAAATTGCCCTTGTTGGTAGGTTTGTCGGGCTTTTGGACGTCCAATTCCCCCGCCAACCCCAACGTCGCCGCCTTCTTCCATGTCGACTCGACGCGAGTCCACACAATGCACTGTCCATCCTTGGCACAGGATACCACCTGCACCACAGACGAAAATCAAAAATAGAAAGAAAAATGAGAAAAAAAGATCCCAAAAAGTATCCAATAAAAACACTCGAATCGTTCCATTTTCCATTTTTCGACAATTTGAAACGTACTTTGGTGCCAGAAGCATGCCACGACAGACCGTTGATGCATCCGTTGTGGCCGTTCAGGAGGACGGGAGCGGACACTTTGAACGATTTGCGGTACTTGTTGTCCACGTCGACCTCCGACTTGGATGGGGGAATCGTGAGGGTCCACAGACGGACCACGCCATCTTCACCACCAGTAGCGATGGTCCCGCCATCTGGACTGAACTTGACTGCGTTCTACACAGGACGACGTCAGTGTGTGATGGAGAAACGTTAGACAGTACCTGGTAGCTATCAGTGGCTGCAAAGTCCGTTTGGAACGCGACCACGAAACTCGCTGTGGGTGTAGCGCCGCTTGTGACGCGATAAATGGCCGTCTTACTCCCCATGGTCAGCGCAATCAGACCTCCCTAGATATGTACATACAGTATAGGTCACGTTGTCATGTGAAGGACACCAGTTCGTGTACCTTGCTACCGATGGCAACGCCAGACACCAAATCATCCACAGTGTCAATGATGAGATACGGAGCTAACGACGGCGGTGCTCTGGACGTCAGCTTTGGAGGCGGCACGCGAGCCAACGTCTACACGAACCACGTGACGGATCTCATACGCAGGATGATAGATCGAACCACACAGTTCTTGATTCCGGACTTCACCGCACCGCCACCTCCCGCGATAGCAACAAACGGCTTTCCTTGTGCATCTCGTTTCCAGTCGATGCCGAAGATGGGGTACTTGATGCTATGTATCTTGCCTTGCACCTGCATGATGATTCTCTCTCGACGTCGCCTTTGCAAATATGTGTCTTTACACTGTACCAATAAACAACAGGTGATCGTTTACAGAATGAATGTCGTTTTGGACTTTTGCGTTTTTTATCCGGATAAACTGTAAGATCGGATAGACTACCGGTTATTTGATTACATACCGGGTATATACCGAATAATTCAATTAACGTTATATCGAAACGTCACATGTTGTTTTGAACAGGGCATGCGGATGCAGAGTCGAATTGCTACATGCCAAGCAAAGGTCGAAGTCGAAGCACGTTCTACGCATGAAGGCCATGAAGCGATGTCGTAGGGGGCCATATGTACGTACCCACAGGAGAACCGTGCACCGGCAATGTCTGACCCACATTCGTCGCTGCATCCCATCCGTCAGCAACGAAAGAACGGGTCGAATGGAACTGACAGGAAGTTACCAGTGAAAAGAGTCGATCGAAGGAGGGGCGCCTTCTTCTGTCGCCACATCGTCCAGGTGGCATCCATCAAAGCAGTAGCGATTCGGGGGATGGACGTGCATCGGCGATGACAGCACCGACGCGTTTCCGTCCAGGGCAGCCATGAAATACTCCACAATCACATCGCACGGTCCGAGGCATTCAATGTCAAAGCCCCGGAACCCTAGCTTTCCCTTGGGTGTCACCGATTCCATGTTGATCAAGACTTGCGGAACCGCGTTCAAGTACACGGGGATGTCCGCCACAGGCGACACTTGCAACGACGTTCCCATCACGAGCACCAAGTCTGCCTACATACATACCATCATCCGTGATCGATAATCGTACATGCCAGGTTGCCGTACTTGAGTTCGATCGACGGGAAGGGCATGCCGCGTGGCATCGTGCAAGGCTTCGCCAAAGAACGTAATGTCTGGCTTGAGAATCCCATCGTTGCATTGCGGACATTTTGGAATGTGGTCCTTGGAACCTTTGCAGCGTTGCAGTGCAGTGGTCGTGTCCAGTGCATAGCTACAAATAAAATATTTATATATATATATTTCTTAAATAAATATATTAGTTTTGTTAAAAAAATATATCTTTTTTTCTTCCAAAAAAAATCAATTTATTTTAGAATCTAGAAAAAAAAAAAAGATGCATCTCGTCAAACCAATGTATTGACCATGATATTGAAGACAGCGAGTACCCGCAGGACATGCAAGAAGAGGTGGTAAGCGTGCCATGGCATTGAATGACATTGGTGACGCCCGCAGCGGCCTCGAGTCCGTCGACGTTCTGCGAGTACACGCGAAGCAGTTGATGCTGGTCTTGCAAGCGCCGCAGGAACCGATGGGTCAACGAAGGCGTGAACGACTTGCCTAGGAAGAGATGGTTCACGTAGAGTAATGGAGGATGAACATAGATGTACCATTGAAGAACGCGGCGGCAAATCGATAGAACGGGATGGGATTCGACCGGAAAAAGTCCATGTCGAAGAGCGATTCGGGGTCGGGTAGCTGGACATGAATGAGGAGGTAGAATAACAGAGAGATAACATGTGTGCCTTACATCAAGCGCCATGTCTTTCACCATGGCATATATCCCATCCTTTGATCGGAAATCTGGAATTCCACACGACACACTGATCCCTGCACCTACGACGACCACGATGCGTTTGGCTTCCTTTAACGCTTGCACAGCATTGTCGAGCGACGTGAGTTGAGGACGAGGTAGCGCTTCCTTGGCGTCCGATGCGATGCACTACACATATCCATTGTGGGCGTTAAAGTTACTTTGAACCTACGAGTGTCGGCTTACAGCGCAGCATCGATGGGACGGTGCGGTTGGGGTCAACTTTATGGCACATGACATGTGGAACCTGCATCAAGGTTCGTATGAGAGCTCAAACACGCAATGACACATGATCACCTCACCTATTTGGACAGGTTGAGCATGTATAGAGCTTGCTGGCTGTCTGGGATGCTGCTGCGCACAGGTAACAGCCTGAAGCTTTCTTCTTGGCCTGCTTCTTGCCGAGCTTCTCATCATCATCTCCATCCATGTCTGGAACTGCTTGGCCCGTGTGTAGGACGGCGTAGTTCACGTCCTTTCGCTTCGCTCCACGAGCATGTTGCGCGCGCAGGCTCATGTTGCTGTGTAGTATTCGATGTTACAGGTTCCTGAATCGAGAATGTTGTTTGAAAGTATTCGATTGCACAGGTATTATTTGACAATGTTGATCCCGTCACTGGGGGAAAAACCTTTCAAAAATGAATGCTTGCCGGTTGTAATACTACTGTAATTATACTTCCGACGCCACATTTATACAGTACAGTACTACTGTACTTTACGCCACCAAGGGAAATTATCCTTTCGACGCCACATTTATACTTTACGCCACCAAGGGAAAGGACATGGCCACGAGCAACCCCGTCGAGCGACTTCCCGACCCGAACCTCAAGGTGCGTGATGGTGTGCATGCATGTAGTTGCCATCGTGGACGATGATGATGAAGTGACGAGTGTTCTCATGATGCGTGAATGGATAGGTGACCTTCAGCCCGCATCCGACGACGTCGCGCGGCAGTCCCACCGTGCTAGGCGTGCACCCCAAGGAACCCAAAATCGTGTACTGCACCGGAAAACTCGTGGTCGTGCGTGACTTGGTGAACCCCGTCGAGTGCTTCCTGTACAAGGGCCACAACGACGCTACGACGGTTGCGAAATTTTCCCCCAATGGGTACTGGGTCGCGTCCGCCGATATCGCCGGCCGAGTCCGCGTTTGGTATGATGACTATCCTCTCTGTGTATGATGCACTCACGCATGAGTTAGGTCGTACGATAACCCCGAGCATACCCTCAAAGTAGAAGTGCCCGTTTTCGCTGGCGAAGTGAAGGACTTGCAATGGGACCCCGACAGCAAGCGCATCGTTGCCGTGGGAGATGGCCGCACCGTGTCGTCACGGGTAACTATATGTCCTTTGCTGTGTTTTGAACTATTGTGATGCTGATGGGCCATGCCGTGTGTAGGTGTTTATGTGGGATACTGGCAACAGCATTGGTGAAATCGTCGGCCACACGAAGCGCATCATGAGCGTGGACTACAAGCCGACTCGTCCGTTCCGCATCTTGACGGCGTCAGAGGACTCGACCGTCCGTGCGTTCGAAGGCCCGCCATTCAAGTTCAAGCACTCGATTCCTGCGCACTCGAACTTTGCCAACTGCGTCCGCTATTCGCCCGACGGCGTCCATGCCGTGAGTGTCGGCTCCGACAAGGGCATGGTGCTATACGACGCCAAGACGAGCGAAAAGCTCGCGTCGTTCCCCGTCGTACGTTCGTTCCATCTCTCCACCTCTGTTCGTAACACGGTTGCGTAACGTAGGAGCACACCGTGTCCATCTACTCGGTGGCGTGGAGTCCCGACAGCAAGCAACTCTTGACCGCGTCCGGCGACAAGACGGTCAAGCTGTGGGACGTGGCGTCCTTGTCGGTGGTGACCACGTTCACGTTTGGCTCCGGTGCGATCGAAGACATGCAAGTGTCGGTCGTATGGGTTGGCGACTTTCTCGTGTCCTTGTCGCTCTCTGGCGACCTCAACTACCTCGACTTGTCCCACCCGGACAAGCCACTTCGGTACGTTGTCCTTGATTGCATGCTCCTTCCATCTAAGATGTCCATGTAGAGTGGTGCAAGGCCATCAAGTGAGCCTCCAAGCGCTCGCTGTAGACACGGACACGGGCGCGCTCGTCACGGGAAGCTACGACGGCGCCGTCGTGTCGTGGCACGCGTCCATCGGGCGTCGGTTCACGGGCGCCGCCCACACGGCCAAGGTCACGTCCATCGACGTACATCGCGGCATCGTGGCCAGCGGCGGATGGGACGACGTCGTGCGCTTTGGGTCGCTCGTTGACGCTTCGTACTCTGGCAGCGTCGGCCTCAACGGCGCCCAGCCGTCGGACGTGGCGCTCGCGACGCACGCGCCGTCCGGCACCGTGTTGTGTGTGGTGGCGACCAACAAAGGCGTCAAGTTGCTCGTGAACGGCGCGCTCGCGTTCGAAACGTCCGCCACGGCCGCATGGACCCCCACGAGCGTGGCGATTACGTCGTCTGGGGTATTGTCCTTTTATGAATTCAACATATTGTGGACTTTTGTTTCTTTGCCAAATCTATCGATCGATTCGTTGTACTGACTGTTGTATGTAAAACAAAGTGGTCCTGTGGTGTTTGAAATCACACGAATTGAAGTCACACACTAATTCGATGTCGACGAATTAGTGTAATTCTCCATGTCGCTCATGTTTAGAATATATGTGCAACCCACTTGGCCGGCCAGCGTTTGATTTTGTTTTTTTTATTGTTTTTTGATCGTTTGTCTCGCTCTTGGGTTAATATATCTTGTGTTTTTCCGCATATATAGGAACAAGTGGCGGTGGGCGGTGACGAAGACCGTCGTGTGCATTTGTTTGACGTGGTGGGGAATGGAGACGAGTGGTCGTTGGTGGAGCGAGACGGCGCCGCGTTTGCGCACAACGGGTCGGTCACCAGTCTCGAATATTCGCCGGATGGGACCCTGCTGGCGGCGGGCGATGCCGCGCGGGAGGTGCGCGTATGGGACGTAGCCCAAGGCATCCCCCGCGTAGGGGGCCAGTGGGTCCACCACACTACGCGCGTGACGAGCGTCGCGTGGAACCCCAGCGGCACCCACGTGGCGTCGGGCGCGTCGGACGAGCACATTTTCGTGTGGAACGTGCAGCAACCGTCCAACCGCCACAAGTTTGAAAACGCCCACCGCGACGGCGTCATGGCCGTCAAGTTTGTCGCCGACGACCAGCTCGTGTCGGTTGGAAACGATGCCGCCGTGCATACGTGGCAAGTGCCCTCGGTGTAGAGATAGATGTACACGTTCGTCCTGACGAGTGTACACTAGTCGAGATTGATTGCCCGAAGAAGAATCAAAACATTGCTTTTCTTAGTGTTGATTGAGAAGTGTTAAGGGACGAACTGGACGTCGCGCAAGCGTTGCAGGATCGCACGTTCGACGTACGCGCCGAGTTCCATATCGTCCTCGGGCAAGTTACAGCTCACAAACACTTGCTTGCCAGTACGCAGCACAAGGCGCTGGGCCATTTGCTGCTCGGTGTCGTCGGCCCCGCCACCAAGTAATGACGATGCTAGGGGCAATGGATCGTACCGAGTCTTCACCGCCGTGGACATTGACCTACGAAGCAGGTGATATCGCGTGGAAGCGCATCGCTACATGTAAGGACGTACCCCATACACACGGGCGTTTCGTCCAGCCCCACCCACACAAAGCACGCATGAGCAAGCAACCAAATCTACATGTCGAAGCTAAGCAAGGGACAGCCTGTGTCATCGAGACAAGTGTGTTGCCTACCTGGACACTGAAGTGCTGATCCACAAACTCGCCCTTGAACTCAATGATCTGCGTGCTGGGTTTGCTTGACACAGCCAGGTTCTCCATCTGCGATTCCACGCCCGCCGCCGCCATGCTTAGGAGTTGAATTTTGATATTCTGGATGTTCCTCGAGTACTACATAGTACTACGTAAAATCCAAGGATTTGATTGGATGAAACACAAATATATTACTTTCCAATTCTAAGGCATTACTTCGAAGTACTTTTATTAAGCAGGTTTTATTGGTTGATTAAATGTATCTAATGGCGAATCACATAACGACATCACAAAATATATTTTAACCAATCCAATCGAGGAAACCTGGTTCCATGATATTTCCCGTTTTAGCATCGATCGTACCGATGGACATTTCTGCCGCGAATGTCCGCGCTCAATGGGGTGGGGGTGGCAGTGGTAGCTCGCTGCAGGGAAGCAACTTAACAAAATCACTCTCAGATGCAACGTCCTCGTTCTCGTCATGGGGACACTCCTTGATGAAGAACATCCCAACGGCGTTGACGCCATCGTCCTCCGATGCTGAAACCGCCTCGCTGACAGCTGATGACGACACGGATTTGGAACATGGCGCGTCGCCGTCCGCCTCGTCGGTAGGAATGCTTTCCTTATGGAGCAATATCAAGAGCAAGAGCCAGACGGCCTTGTCTCCCGCCCAACTCGACAACGTCAAGTCGTATCCCCAACGCTTCCGGTCGTTTGTGCTGCTTCTGCTCCTCGCCGGACTCTTCTTCGGCATGGCGTCGCTGTTTCTGCCGCTCCTGCTGCTTCGACCGTCCAAATTCGCCCTCAGTTTTTCCTTTGGCAGCATCTCATGCTTGTCAGCGGTCGCGGCTTTGCGTGGATGGAAGTCCTACTGCACATCGCTGCTGCAAGCCGAGCACATCCTGCTCACGACGCTGTATCTCATCTCCCTTGGCGCCACGCTATACTCGTGTCTGGTCATGGGGAGCTACCTGTACGTGCTTGTCAGCGCGGGGGTGCAGTTGGTGACGTTGGGATACTTCCTCGTGTCGGCGTTTCCTGGCGGGGTTGCCGCGTTCAACAGTAAGCGACTCGTGATTTTCGTTCCATGCAGATAGATCGATTGCTCATGTGTATCGTGTTGTAGCGCTTGGAAAGGTCCTCATGAAGACAGCAAAGGGCATCTCGAAAGCATGTGCCAAGTTGATGCAATCGACGTGAAATTTAAGATGATTAATAATGCAGTAGTTAACGTTACTTTAGATTTAAAGCAACGTTACTTTAGATTTGCAATAAGAATTTTTATACTGACACTACAAATGACAGTACTATTCATTTGTAACATTGTATTTTTTATCGTATAACGTATGAACATTTATAATACATTTCGACAGTATGTACTACTTCGATGTAGTACTACTACGTAATACTTGTATAATACTATTAATAGTAGTACGAAGTTACTACAGTCGAAGGTAAGTTTTGTTTTAGAACCAACATGTTTTTGAGGTAAAATTTAGACAAAATGTCGTAAAATAATGTTGTCGAAAACAGGTGCATTTTCGAGAAGCGTTGTTTGACGATGAACGGTGGCGGCGGCGGGGTGCGTGGGACTGACCCGACCGAGGATCATGCGCACGAATACTCACGATGCACTTGTGTTATGATGTAGAGATCCATGGAGCAGATGCAAGCAGAGCAGATGCGCAAGAAGTACGTGAAGGCCGCCTCGTTGCATCATTTCAACGCTCCTGTTGTCGATCACGCATGCTGCCACCTTTGTGTAGGGAAAACGACGAGATGAAGAAGCAAATCATCTCCAGCATCATGACGCCCGAGGCCAAAGAGCGTTGTACGTAGTCGTGACCTCGCTCAACCCCTTCCCTCATGTAATGTTTAGTGTCGCGCATTGCGATTGTCAAGCCCGACAAGGCGGCGGCACTGGAAGACACGATCATCCAGATGGCACAGCGCGGTCAACTGCCTGGTCAGATCGATGAAGCCAAGTTCATCGAGTTGTTGAGTCGCACGGGCGCCGCGGAGGATCAACAGCGCACCAAGGTCACGATCCAGCGAAGGACCTATTTTTCGGACGAGGAAGACGCCGACGACGACGACGACTTTTAGATGTTTCTTAATGCGATAACTTCCTTTTTAACCCCGTTTGTAAATGTACAGCGTAGCAGGCCCCCAGCTCTCCTGCATCTTGCACTTGGACACGAGCGCGACCGCGGCGACAGCATCTTGGGTGTCCAGCACGAGCGGCTTGGTGGCGGTGACGACGACGCCGCCCTTCTTGACCGTCGCGATCGCATGCTTGGACACGGCAAGCATGAGTCGCTCGTCAAAACACGTCGAGTTGCAAAAGATAAAGTCGGCGCTCGGCCAGTCCATGGCCGTTGCATCTCCGTGGTGGATAACGATCCGCGTCCGCTTTTTGAGCGCGGACAGCTTGGCGTCCTTCTTCTCGCGATGCCACGTCGTCGCGACATCCGCCGCCACTTGCGCGAGTCCGTCGAGGATCTCGACCCCAACGCACTCGTCAAAGTCGTGCAGTAGCGCCGCGGCAAACACGGGGCGGCCGCTGCCGCATCCGATGTCGAGGAACACCCCGCCCGGCTTGGTCAACACGTCATGATGTTTCTACATGGTGATGATGACGGAAGAATATGGAAAATGGAAGGCGAGAATGAATGTGTACGAGAATGGACGTGAATACGGTGCGAAAGTGGCGAAAGTCGATCTCGCCGTACACTAGAGTTGACGACAGGTACCCGTTGGTGCGCCGCTCGTCCTGCCGACGACTGGCATGAGATGCAGGAAGAGAGACGAATATGTGATGGATGTGTACCCGGGAGATCTGCTTGGCGACTTGCATGGGGTACTCCTTGTACAACATGTCGAAGAAGCGCTGCATCGGGTCGTCCTCGCTGTCGCCGCCATTGTCACTCGGGTCATTCAGCGTTAACATGGACACCCCAAGCGTAGACTCGTCTTCGTCGTCAGACGACGCATCGTCATCAATGCCGTCAGTATCCTTTGGAACAGGGCTCTCCATGCTAGTTGTGATATGTTCGTGTGATTCGCGCAGTGTGGCTGCGAGTTGTTTGGAAGTTGAGCCACCCCAAGCTCCAACCCTCCATTGTCGAAGGTAGTGTTACCAGCAGGTGAAACCGCCGACATGTGCATGTATTGCTGGTACTGTAGGCAGATAAATAGGTCCCATCTTACTCTCCACGGAGCTCCACGGACGCGTCCTCCATACCCAGTGCCATTACACCCTGCTGTATGCCGCCGCCAGATATGTATGTATGTACCTCACGGCCGCTCGTGGTGTGATGGTGACCTTGGGTCCATTATCCGGATGAATTTGACTATCCGGGCAACGACGTTGGATTGTAGTTTAATACATCTGAATACGAACTCCAAGTGTAATATAAAAAAAGGTCGGTGCTGACGTCATCGGCAAAGTGGCGATTTTTCTTGTTTGAATTGCCCCAATTAGCAAATCGCATTTTCCCAGCGCAATCAATGGCTGACATCGAAGTTGACACGTCCGTGCAAGTTGCCGCGGCACCGGCGGCGCCTGTCAAGGTGGCGGTTGCCTTCGTGCCCAAGCCCGACAAGGCTGCTCATGAAGCCGAATTGGCTGCCTTGGAAGTGTTGAAGAAGAAGGCCCAAGACCGCACGAACGCCATCCGCGCCGAACTGGACGCGATTCAATCGGGACGGTCGGGGTTCTCGGAAAAGATCGCGGAAGCCAAGGTGTTGTACCTTGAACTGAAGGAGAAGAAGGAACATGCGTACACAAGCAAGACCCAGCTCAAGGTGAACTTGGACAAGGCGATCGCCGCCAAGACCGCGCACCGCGAGTCGCAAAAGTCCGTGCGCGACCAGGTGAGCTACAAGAGCGTGGAAGACGTAGACAAGCGCATCGCCGAGTTGCAGCACGATCAGAACACGAAGAGCATGTCGCTGACGGCGGAGAAGAACCTTCTCAAGGAGATCGAAAACCTCAAGGCGGCCAAGAAGGTGCTTGCCAAGGCGTCCGCCGACAAAGACAACGGCGCCAAGTTCGACGTGTCCATCGACGACATCCGCGCCGCCATGAAGGCCAAGAGCGAGGAAATCACCGCCGTGACGGAAGCGTTCAACGCGCAAAAGGCCATCTTGGACGCATTGCGAGACGAAAGCAACGCCGGCGGCCGCGGCGACTACCCCAAGCTCATCGAAGAACGCAAGGCACTCAAGCTCGAAATCGACGACATCTTCACGCAGATCAAGGCCCGTCGCCAGAAGTTCAAGGAGGACAACGACGCGTACTTCCAGGGCATCCGCGCCAAGCGCGAAGCGCAAAAGGCCGCGCGCGAAGCCGAAGAAGCCGCCATCAAAGCCGAGTTTGACGCCAAATTGGCCGCGTACGAAACCGAACTGGCCAAGATTCACCCGTTCCAGGACGAACAGGACTTGTGCCACTCGCTGGTCGTGTACCTGGAGAAGACGTACAGCAAGGACCTCCATGCTGCCGCCACCGCCACATCCTCGACATCCGCCGAGTCCAAGGTCGTGTCGTTGGAATTGGACGGTCTGCAGCCGCTCAAGCGCGCGGACGAGGAGTTTTTCGTCGGCAAGAAAGGCAAGGGCAAGAAGTTTGCGAACGCCGCTAGTACTACTAATAGTAAGAAGGACACCAAGGTGGTACTTCCCCTAGCACAACTGCAGTCGTTCTCGACGGTGGGCCTGACCCCGCCCGCGGTCGTGTCGGCCGTCGCGGCTTCGATCGCCGCCATCAAGGCCAAGAAGGAATGGTTTGCCGCCCAAACCGACCGGCAACATGCCAAACCGGCGGCAGCGGCGGCGCCCACGAAGGAACAGGCGGCCGCGTCCCCCGCCAAGAAGAACGCCAAGTTCAACGCCGCTGACCAAGGCGCGTTCCCGTCGCTGTCTGGCAATGCTGCCACCGTCGCCCCCGAAGCGACGTGGGACCGCCTCGCGCCGTCGGCGCCGGCCGTGTCGTACGAGTACAACTACGAAGATGCGCCAGTCGACGGAGAAGAATAACGTGGGAATGACGACATAAGCAAGCAGCACCCACGTTGTTTGGTTGGTAGGAACGCACTACAGACAGTAGGACGAGAAGCAGAATGAAGGAGGACGCAAGTAGTTGGGATATATAACTAGCATATATGACCACTGGGCAACATGTCATTTCGTCAGACGCAGGATGCATACATACATAGGGTCCGTGAGACAACGTTGCGCACACTTCCTGCAACAAACGATGTCACAGATCCACAGAAACCTGATGAAATAATAATACTATCGAGTAGTATTATAGTACTTTACACTGTCAGTAGCTTTGATACGATTGCACCATGCAGATTCGTGGTGAACTTGTTTCGAAATCTGAACGTTGTGTACTCCGTACAAAGCTCCATACATACATTATTAATAGCGCATCAATTACCTTGTATTTATCTACTAACGTTAGGTAAAGGTCAAATATATGCTATGAATAGTACTCCTATTAGTTTACACTTCGAAACTAGGCCGAGGTAGCACACTGAGGTCGCGCACGGAGGCTCGGGCTGCTTGGAGCAGTTGTCAAGTAGCTTGTGATGGCATCAATGATTCGTCCAAACGTCGACTTCGGTGCAGGGGTCTCGTTGTAGCTTGGCGGGGTCGTGTATGTCGTATACACGTCCGGCATGTTATGCTCCCCTGCAAGCTTAATGTCATGTGAAATAGCAGGTGAGCCGTCAAAAACTTCTTCCACTTTAGAAATGGCCGACAATGACAGACCAGCGTCCGCCGCAGCATCCGAAGGAGAGGCACCGGCGTCCACTGACGCAGCGACATCCGCCACTTGTTCAGGCGAGGCACCCGCATCGGCGGCCGCCGCAGCAGCCACGTCGGCAGCGGGCGCGTGGTTGTCGGCCGAGTCTTCCACTTGGGCCTCCACAGCAGCAGAGGCGGCAGACGACAAACCCGCATCCGCAGCAGCGTCCGAAGGAGACTCGCCAGCATCCACAGCAGTCACAATGTCCGCCACTTGTTCGGCAGACGCTCCCGCGTCAATGGCAGCAGCGGCAGCCACGTCGGCCGGGGCCGCCACGTTGTCCGACGACGACGAGACTTGGTCCACGATGTCGGCCACGGCAGCCGTGTCCAAACCGGCGTCGGCAGCGGCAGCCGCAGCAGACGACCCAGCGTCCACCGATTCGGCCACGTCCGCGGCTTGAGACGCAGTCGCTCCGTTGTCGAGGGCGGCGGCGGCAGCGACGTCAGCAGGGTCAGACACCTTTTCGGCAGAGTCGATCACTTCGCTGACAATGTCGGCCACGGCGGCAGGCTCCAGGCCGGCTTCGGTGGCGGCAACCGCAGCGGAGTCACCGTTGTCCACGGCGGTCGCGATTTCCAACGCTTGGCTCGACGACGCACCGCTTTCGATGGCAGCCGCCGCGGCCACATCGGCGGGGTCCGCGATGTTCTCCGAGGCGGACGTCACTTGGTCGATCACTTCGGCCGTTTGGGCGTCCGACAGACCAACGTCCAACGCAGCCGAGGCAGCAGACGCACCGTTGTTAACGGCATCCTTGATTTCGTCCACTTGGGCATCGGTGGCACCAACGTCCGCGGCGGCGTCAGCAGCCACTTCGCCTTGCGAGGGGATGTCTTCGGACACAGTCACCACTTCCGTGATCACTTCGGCCGCTTGCGAGTTGGTCAAACCGGCATCAATGGACGCGGACGCAGCCGAGGCGCCTTCGTTGTCGATGGCGTCGGCAATGTCGTCCGCTTGGTGCTCCGTGGCGCCGGCGTCCACGGCAGCCGCCGCAGCAACTTCACCTTCGGAGTCTGCTTGAGTGCTTGTAGCTTCGTTGTCTTGGGTGCTGGTTGCAACATCGTACGCTCTTGATTGATAATTGTCTTTAGCAGCAGCAAGAGCTACTTCGGCTTGAGATACGGAGAGCCCTTGTTCTTTCAATGACGTAATAATTTGATCGTCAGAGCTTCCGCTTTGGATGGCAGTCGTGATGTCGGCTTCAGTACTGGTGGAAGCTTCGTATTGGGAGACAAGTGGCGAGTCGTCGGCCGCAGGGGCTGCGTCGTCTTGGGCACGTGCAGCCACGAAGAGAAGGCCAATCAGTGCGACTTTGGAGAGTTTCATAGTTTACGACAAAGATTGAACGGGGACGCGAACACAACAGACTACAATCGAGGAGCTGCAAATCGCAAGATGAGACTGGAGAAAGGGAGGGCGTTGTTGTTGTTCGAGGCAAAGTTTCGCATCAAGGGTTGACAGATTGACATGCCTCCAACTTTGCATGGAAGAATGGAACAAGCGTTTCAACGCCGAACAATTGGTGTTGCAACCACAAGGGTAAGAACGACAACAAAGCGAGCGACCGCAATCGCATCCAAGTATGAAGGTGTCAGTCACCCTTATAGTTACAGTAGCACTCTTTAGTTAACATTGGGAGAAGTTGCGAATTAACGTTAGTTACGACTAGTGTAAGCTAGCTTGTAATGTACCTTGGCATAAACTAAGAACCACATGAGCCAAGCTTGATAACTACTAGTACAGGTAGATATGTCGGGCGGGGAAAAAGCCACGGAGTGTAGACTTGTGCGATCGGCGGACAGTAATGTGACCAGACGGGGTACGTGTAGGGGCTGCACCCTCGGAGGACGCGGTTGGGACTTTATCCAGAATGTGACAGAGGGGGGATTGTTTGGTAACGGTATTAAGGTTAACCATTGATATTGGCCAGAATTCGCTCAGGTTGCAGCGTTGTTTAGCAAATATGTGATTGTAAAAAGCTACAAAAAGGGCCACGCAAAAATGGGTCTGAAATCGCCCTTACTGGTACAGCAGCTTCCTGATTTCCTGACTCCATGTAGATCACTCGGAAGAACAAATCAATGATAAATACCAATACACTAGTAACGCTAACGTTACTGTAGATTGCCAGCAAGAAGTCCAAAGCCAAAGAAATCTTGATGTAAAACCCTGATTGGGGATAATCATTTCATGTACTTGGCGGTTACGGCAGTTACGTGCCCGAGGATCCTGCAGTGAAAATTGCACGCGTCATATCGTTGGAGGTATGCGAATACTTCCTGCGCATGACGGAGTCGCCATAGCAATTTATGCCATGGCGTTGTTCCTAGTGCTGACACTTGCCATATTCCCGTCGACTGTCCATGGCGAGCGATACCCGAGCGTGACGGCGGCATGCTCCAGTGCGTCGACTCGTGCCGCGTCCGAGTGTTCCGTGCCGTCGACGCCGTTGACTGTGTGGACCCCTCCATCCCCCTCAGGTCTCTTGTACTGGGCTACCCTCGTCGGCGACTGGACATGGTCGCTCCTCAACCACACGCGCGGCCTCTCGGACGACTGGTACCGCAATGCGCTGCGCAGTTTGGTCGTGGCCAAATGCGTGCACGACTTGCCGTCCTCGTCACGATGTGTGTCAGTCGACAGCGACGTCGCCGCCAATGCCTCGTGCGTTCGCCTACTCGACCCTGGCAATTGCTACGACCAAGCCCTCTGCGAACGCGTCGAGTCTTGCCGCTGGATGCCTCCATCTGCCTCCTCCACAGCCTCCCGCGGCATGTACTTTACCGATGCCGAAGGAGACGCTGCCACGCTGTGGGCCACAGAGACGTACCCGACCTCCGTCGCGCCATACGCGCTCCTCGGCCTTGTCTTGGCCGCCGTCGTCCTCATCTCCATCCTCGTGTTTGTCGTCATGCGCTTTGGCTGCGACAGGTGCTACGGCACCACCCCCCTCCGCAAGGGCTACACCACCGTGGACCGATGGCTGCCCATCTCCGCCGTCGTCGTGTCCACCGGGATGCTGGTGGGCCTGGGGCTCCTCGTGTTCCTCCTTAGCCCCGCCTACCTCCGCGGCATCAACCAGACGCTGGACACGATCCAAGCAACTGCCACGTCCGTCCTGCAGATCCAGATCGACCTCTCCCGTCCGTTAGCCGACCTCACCGCGTCCGTCCGGTTAGCTCTCATCGATTCGGCGTCTACATCTTTGTTAGCCCACCCCGACCGCATGCTACCCAACGTCTCCCAAGCAGCTCATACATTTATCAATCAGTATGCTCCTTCTACAGTCGGAGGCTTTCCCTCTTATGCGTGCCAGCCGCACAATTCGTCTGCTGCTGCACTTCCACCCTATGCATCTGCCTCCAACATGCCGTGTATTCCATGCCCCGATGCCGTCTGCGCCGACGCCCCCCGTCAACTCGATGCGATTCTGATGCCTCTGATTGCTGCATCAGACGAAGTGCAATCATTGGCCCAGTGGACATTCAATCAAGTCGATGTCGCAGATGCGGATGGGGCGGACGAAGCGCTAGCGGCGCTGTCGGCGCTCGGGTCGGCCGCGGCCATGTTTGCCGCCTCCACGTACCCCCGCCTCCAATACATTCTCGGTCACATCCAACTCGGCGGGTTCGGCGCTGTGCTCGCCATGTTCGTTGTCGCCATGACGTCATCCGTGTTGGCGCTGATGGGGATCGTGCACGGCCTGCGGTCGCCCACAAGCGGCTGTCTGTACGTGCTCCATGTGAGTTGGATCCTCGCGGTCGTATTTGCCGTCGTCGGGTTCGCAGCGTCCGGGGTCCTGCTCGCCGCGTCGGTCGTCGGCAACGACATGTGCATGTACCTGACGGTGGTGCTACAAAATCCCGACCCGTTTCTCCCTCGGCCCGCCGCCGCCCTTGTCCGGAGCTGTTCTACTCCACTGACTACGACTGCAGCAGACGACGTGGCACGCGCGCTCGTCGGGCTCCACTTAGATCACATCACAAGACTCGGGTGTGTGCTGCACACGGGCCTGCTCGCGTCGAATGCGTCCGTTCACAACAGCCTCGCCCAAACTAACGCGGCGGCGCAACGCTACGCTGACCAACTCACCACGAACTCCCAGGCCACGGCGTTTGCAAACGACGGGCTGATGCGATTCCTTGTGGCACAGGCCGGGACAGCTGCAGGGGTCACGTGGAATTCCACCACCTTCATGGAGCCGTGGAAGGTGGATGGACTCGGCAACGCCACACAGCCATGCAGCAGCACTTCATCGCACCCCGCACTGTGCTACATGTACGCCCGATGCAAAGGTGGATCTTATGCAGAATTGTGATGAATGCTGCTGATTGGTGGATTCTACATTATTTATTTAGGGGACACCAAGTGCTTTGATAAATACGAAACGGCATATGCGTACAGAGTCGCACATGACGAGGTCCAGGCCGTGGCGGTCGAGATGCAGCAGGCGTACAACGCCACCACCCCTGAGGAGCACACCCTGATGCATCAAGTGCGGGTGTTGGAAGCCGCGCTGCGGGTCGACTCCACGACTCAACTCAACCAGCTCCGGCAAGGGCCTCTCGGCGACGTCGCGCGCCGCGGCCGAGGCCTCCAATGCGTGTCCAGTGTCTCTTGCGGCTTTGTGCGCACCAACACGGCCAAGCTGCAGCACTACTTTTGTAAGGACACGCTTCGGTTCACCGTGCTCGCGGCTGTGGCGCTGTTCATCGCGAGTGGGTTCTACCTGTCGTTGGCGTTGGCGACACTCATGCTGCAGAAACGACTGCAAGGACGCGTGAAGATGATGTGGTGGAAGCGCCGCAGTGTGGTCGCGCGGCAGAACAAACTCAACAAACAGCGACGACGACTGGGGGTGTCGACGTCCATCTCGTCGTCCGACCCGCCAGCAGCGGGCCCTCCACCACGCCCCGTTCGACCCAGCGGCCTCGTCATGATGGCACCACCGCCAATGGATGCGCATGTTCCGTAGGCCAAGACGTTCTAAATGAACCATAATTACACAGCCAGCCGTTTGACCATCGTCGCACATCGTCGTCGCACACAGAGTAGTGGCAAATGGATACTGTACAGTACTAACTCTCGCTCCTGTCCCGAGGATCCGTTTGAGAAATGAAGCCGCCTTTAGGGCACGAACCACGTCGCATACGTACGCTGCGACACCGGAATGGTGGCAATAGCTTGCTTCTATAACAACACCATGCTTGGAGCTGTAGTACTACTACTTTAACGTTACTATAAACTGTTAAAAAGCTCGTCAGATGTGAGAATGTTGGTCACGACATCCAAATATTGAGATTTTTGTCTTTACTATTGTCGATTTGATACAAATTTGGGGAGCCGATCCACAATCGATCTGATTGGTTGAATTTCATTGAGAAGGTTTTGATTGGCTAATAATTTTGAGCTCATCTGAAGTAGCCAATCAAATCGATTTAAATTCCAACGAGAAACCACGACATTTCACTCGAAAGCACAATACTCAACTCAAATACATCACGTATAGTAGTACTGTTTTGAGAGTTTTGTACACCAAATATGAGTTAGTAAATACTGTAGTACCCCACATTTGAGTCCTAACGGAACTACGCTAATTCACGATTGTTCAATAATACTTTCGTAGTACATTCTTCAACGACTGTCGTCGAGTCACTTGGACATGTATAATCATTTCTATATTATTCTAATTCGAGTGTGCTTTGTTTAAAGCGATGCGGCCGCGAGTTGCCGCCTTAGGTCTTGGATGATGGCGTCCTACGTGATATACACATGGTACGTATATGGGGCCTTCCATGGGAGAATAGAACGGAGGTTTATATGTACTTACTTGGTGGGCCACTAGCGCCTGGTTGGCCTCCAGTTGTTGGCGTAGCGAGTGCACTTCTTCGTGCCGTTCATCCGTGTTCAATGGAAACGTGGCTGTCAAGTACGCACTGGTCGTGTGCATGCTCCACCTGTCGGCGGCGATGGGGGCCACGAGCCCCTTGATCATGACGGCAACCTCTGGATACACCGCAGTTACGTGCGCGGGCAACTCGCACGGATGCCGTCGTACTCCTATCGATGACGACACCATATGTGGGTTGTATTTCTTCGAAATTGGTGCGATATTTATATATATATACAAGGAATATTCGACACAACCAAAGAAGGATACTAATCGGCACAACTACTATTTAGATAATCAGATCAACGTCAAATTAGTGTATGAATTCAATCAGTGTGATTGATGATACCCATCACCACGACCTTTTTCCATACAAAAGTCAGTACAAAGAATCGATCAATCAATCGATTTGTGGCAAAGTATCAGCCCCAAAGTCAACCAAACATTGGGTAAAGGCCACAATATGATATAAAGTATGTACAAACGAATAAAAATGTAGACTGTTGTGTATAGAATTATAGAGGTCGTCTCCATATCCCTCTCGTTACGTACGGGTCAACGCGTCGGCGCGTTCCATCCGCGTTTGAAACGGCGCAAACAGCTCCAGCAAGATAATGCCCAAGCTACGCCCACAGGTTATTAGACCACGTGTTATGGTATTCTAACCAACATGGAGAATGAATAAATCGACTTTAATGTATTGCAGAAGTATCGGCAGAAAAGGTTTTAGCCAATCCGATTGCAGGAAACAAAATCATCACCTTCTAATTCGTGTATATAACTTCAATTAGTGTGATACCAATCACCATCGACGAACACCTTTTTACATAGACAAACTTCAGTAGTACAACCAACCCAGCAATAGAATTGGCGATTCAGCGCAAAAAGTCCACACATTTGGGGTCAAAGATAGACTAAAGGGGTGTTATTCGAACCTGAACGAGTCCACCTTGACATCGTAGTCGCGACCGGCCACCTGTTCCGGACTCGCATATGCCATGGTGCCGATGCCCCGAGTATGCCGCGGATCGTCGTCGTCGGCTCCTTCTTCTGCAAAGGTGGGGCGTTTATCCGTAGGATGCGGCTCGTCATGTGGACGCCTCATGATCCCGTCGTCCGCGAGTAGGAGCAGCTTGGACAAGCCAAAGTCGCCGATTTTCAACGACCCGTCGCGCGCCAGAAACACGTTGCTCGGCTTCAAATCGCTACATGATTTGGGTCATAAAGTGTGACAGGGTATTCATGCTTGAATACCGATGGACGATGCCGTTGGCGTGGACATGCAGCAACCCGTCAACGAGTTGGCGAAACAGTGTCACATTTTCGTGCACGTTCACGGCGCGCTGGAGGCGGTTGCGCTCGTCGATCCAATCCTACGCTCTATCGTTTCAGACACAGTTCATCCGTGGACCATTGCAAATCGTCCATAAACCATTGCAAACCATCCATAGACCATTGCAAACGATCAGTCGCCAAATTCATGTTGACCGTTTTAAAGCAATCCGTAGACCAATTCAAAAACCAAGCGATCGACCATTGCAAACACCATCCATGGACCATTGCAAATATATGCGGACTAGTTTTCAAACCATGAGTTGATCGTGTTTCAAACAACCCCCGCAGCCATTTCAAACAATACATCGACCATTTTACACCAGGATGAACAGGTTGTCTGTCGTACTTGCAAGGTGGATTGTTCGCAGAGAAACATTTGGATGTACAGCGTCACTTGGTACGTGAATGCAGGCCCGCCGCTTGAAGTGTGGAGGCCACCATCGCCGCCACCATCGCCGCCACCATCACCGCCGCCGTCCATCCCGAGGCGCGGCAGTTGCCTCTTGGTCGTACGACCAACACCATGGGCATGCTTTGGCTTGAGCGATGGATGGGAAATATTCCAGTGGCGCTTCAAGTGGAACGCCCAGTCGAATCCGTTGGCTTTGGGCTGCACACCCATGGGAGGGGGGGGTTGGGGCACCAACTTGAGCTGCATGTGACGATGGTCCAACGACATGCGACGGGCGCTTCTCTGTGACGAAGAAGTCGACACGTTGTCACATGATTGGCGGTGGTCGTTCGGGTCGTACATGGGCAAGTCGCTAAAACTACACACCAACACCCAACCCATTTAGTGTATGACCGAAATTAGTGTGACGATTTCAAGGATTTGGCGAATAATGCACAAGAACACGTACTTGCTTTGCTGGGACGCGACGTTGCTGTGGTCGAATTCAAGCGACGACGTTTCCGAATACTCGGCAAAGGACCGCGTCTGCGACGTGGTGGAGCGCCACGACAGGCTGTCGTCGGAGGGGTTGCTCTGGAGGTCCACAAACCGTCGGATGTCTTCAATCAGGTGGCGATTCTCGCGTTTGGCTTCGATGGACGACAGCGACACGCCATGACTGGACATGTGGACATGCGCATCTGGTGCCGCCGCCGCGGACGCCGATGGACCCATGGGGATCCACGTCGGTTCGAGCCATGCGCCGTAGTACCGGTTCACGTTTGGGTGGTCGCACCGCGCCAAGCAATGTACTTCCCGAAGCACGCTTTGAACCAAGGGAGATTGGTACCCCTTGTTGAGAAAGTGCACTTGTTTGATGGCGTAGCACAGCCCGTCCTAGATCAACGTGAGACGCAGAAAGGACACGATGGAACGATCGTCGTACGAGCTTGTGGCGGGCTTTGAACACGTGGCCAAAACCCCCTCGGCCGAGAAGACACAGCTCGTCAAAGTCCCGCGCGTACCGGGACATGTTGAGCGTCTGCGGAATGAGGTGGAGGCCGCGTGGGTCGGCGTCCCATGGCTCGAGAAAGTCGTGTCGTGGTGACGAAGATGCCGCCAATGGAGACGTGGGAAGGAGACCCAAGTCGGCGAGGAACGCGATCGAGTCGATAATGCCGAGACGATGGAGGCGCAGGACGTTGGCCACAAATGTCTTGGGCGTCGCGTCGTAAACGGTGCATACCCGTGCCAGCAACACGATGATCGTCACCTGCTTCTCGCACAGAACGGGGATGCTGTCTGTGTCGGGTGTAGTCGTCTCATCTGGTTCGAAGCGGTCAAAGGTAGCTGCCGCTTGAGCCGGGATATGGTCGAGTTTGAACTCATGCACGTCATGGCGCGCAGGACGCAGATGCCTCTCCACGGGACTTCCTCTTGGGTTGCTAGTGGGCATGGTGGTTCCATGGTCAGAGGTCGATGGGTCAAAGGAGCCGCGGAACACGGGCGATCGACGCAGATTCTCTGCATAATCCATTACCAGCCTGACACGTCGTCCTTCCCCGCTTCGTCGGTACACGTAGCGCCGGCGCAAGTTTGATGCATTCGCAATTCGATTCCGGATAATTCGGTCCAACATCCGTATTAACTCCTTCGATGCCAAAGTTTTGACCAATCATACCGCACAAGTCGTAGAAAGGCACTTGTGCAACCTTGTGACAAGGCGGGTCGATGCTCCCTTGTGGCTTGGCCGGCGGCAAAGGAGCCGCCCCGCCATGACATCCTTCCTATGTGTGTATGTGTGATGGATGTAATTCTACGGTACGTGCACTTTCGCATCGTGATGTCGTTGACGTTAATGGTGATGTGCAATACTTGCAGTACGACGATGAAAGTGACGTGGCAGGGGGAGATTGGCGACTAGGCACTGAACACTCCACCACTCGTGACGGCGCCTTCATGGAGGGAAACGCAGCCTCAACAGCAGTGCCTCGACGAGATGGAAGCCGAGCGTTGGGAATGAGCGACGTGGCGCACGGACGCCCCCTCGCTCGACGCCCTGTTGCGCGGTGTAACGATGCGCTCCATTGAAATCATGTTTCAGACGCTCAACGGAATCTTATTGGCCAATGAAATTATGGATCGAGATCCCCTACCCCGCCTTCTTGCCACCCATGTACGTTAGTGACATTATGATGGAAGATTCCCTCGTCATTAAATAGAAACGTTTAATGCTGGCTGTAGAGAAGTTCATTGCATCATTTGTTCTTGATACCATGTATTTAATTTGATCCGAAAAGGATAAGTAATGATTACAGTGCAACGGAATTGGCACGCATGTCGTTAAACCAAGGTGACTAACGAGGGGCTAAATGTGATAATGCATGTGTATTGACAGAACTAGCACGAAATGCGGACGTCCGTAAATCAAGGGAGATTCGGCATTCCGTCGCCCAGGTTTTATGGACATTTAGTGACCAAATGTTGTTAAACACCGAATCTTTCGAAAAAAAAACATGGCCACAGCTTTGACCTGTTTCCAAAGGAAAGCGACTACGTCAGGCACTTTTCGATTTGCCGTCAAACCCCAAACCGAATTCAAGATGGCCGATGATGATGTCCAAGCTCTTGTCGTAGACAACGGTTCCGGTATGTGCAAAGCCGGTTTCGCCGGTGATGACGCTCCCCGCGCCGTCTTCCCTTCCATCGTGGGTCGCCCCAAGCACCCCGGTATCATGGTGGGCATGGACCAAAAGGACGCCTATGTGGGTGACGAAGCTCAATCCAAGCGTGGTGTGTTGACCTTGAAGTACCCCATTGAACACGGTATCGTGACCAACTGGGACGACATGGAGAAGATCTGGCACCACACTTTCTACAACGAATTGCGCGTCGCCCCCGAAGAACATCCTGTGTTGTTAACGGAAGCTCCTTTGAACCCCAAGGCCAACCGTGAACGCATGACCCAAATCATGTTCGAAACGTTCAACGTGCCCGCCATGTACGTCAACATCCAAGCCGTGCTGTCCTTGTACGCGTCTGGTCGTACCACCGGTTGCGTGTTGGACTCTGGTGATGGTGTGTCCCACACCGTGCCCATCTACGAAGGTTACGCTCTCCCCCACGCCATTGTCCGCTTGGATTTGGCTGGTCGCGACTTGACCGACTACATGATGAAGATCTTGACCGAACGTGGTTACTCCTTCACCACCACGGCCGAACGCGAAATCGTGCGCGACATCAAGGAAAAGTTGACCTACATCGCCCTTGACTTCGACCAAGAAATGAAGACTGCCGCCGAGTCGTCGGGCCTCGAAAAGTCCTACGAATTGCCCGATGGTAACGTGATTGTCATCGGCAACGAACGTTTCCGTACCCCCGAAGTGTTGTTCCAGCCTTCCTTGATCGGTAAGGAAGCGGCCGGTATCCACGACTGCACCTTCTCCACCATCATGAAGTGCGACGTCGATATCCGCAAGGACTTGTACTGCAACATTGTGTTGTCGGGTGGTACCACCATGTACCCCGGTATCTCGGAGCGTATGACCAAGGAATTGACCGCCTTGGCGCCTTCCACCATGAAGATCAAGGTCGTCGCTCCCCCTGAGCGCAAGTACTCCGTCTGGATCGGTGGTTCCATCCTGTCGTCGCTGTCCACGTTCCAACAGATGTGGATCTCCAAGGCCGAATACGATGAAAGTGGACCGTCCATTGTGCACCGAAAGTGCTTTTAAATGCACACTCGGCGAGATTGCATCGGCAGCGATCGTGTTTGCAGCTCATGTGGCAGTCGCTTTGAGGCTTGAGTGCTTTGGCTAGTGCCCCGCGGGCTTAAATGTGCCTGATGTCGATTTAATTCGTAGGAACTAAACATCAATTCTGAATAAAGTATACGTAGTTATCTAGTTTCTCGGATGTCCTTCGCCTATGCAGCTCAAGCATTCGCATTTATTTCTCCATGTCGTTTGCGTCGCTGGCATCATTTTCGGTCCATTGCAAAAGTCGACAAAGTATTGCTACAAATCTTAATATTATTTTGCAATGATAATCGATGACTGTGTTTTAGTATTGCCGGCGACGTTTTATGTTTCCATGATGGTTTGGATAGTATATTTCCAACAGGCGTCAAAAGTGATAAATATTTATGTTATTTAATCAAATGTGCTGCTATTAATACTCTGGAGTATATATATTATTATTTAATCAGATAGATTTGATTGGATTCTGAACAACGTTTTTATCCAATAAAATCTACGAGCGATTTTTACCGCGAAACTCAGCGCCATAATTTTCTCGGCACGAAACACAAGAATGCAGTGGGAGAGCAACGATGGAGGGTACATGGAAGGTAGCGGCGGCTACATGGAGTCCCAGAATACCCCACAGAAGCAAGGTGGCGGGAATTCCCGGGAGAACCAAACACTCACCCCTCTGACTGTGCGCCAATTGGTAACGGCGGTCGCGAGTGGCGACGACAACCCCCTTGTGGACGGCAAGGAACTGAACAACGTCCACCTCGTGGGCCTCTTGACGGAAGTGGTGCACAACTCGACCACCATCACATTCGTGATCAACGACGGCACGGCCACGTTTGCGTCGCGATATTTCTTACAAGGCGAAGACGATCCGTATCAGCAGCAACTGCTAGAGACGTTGCAGGACGGGATTTACGTGTCTGCTGTCGGCAACCTGCGGTCGTTCGGTGGCAAGACAAGCTTATCCTGTCATACGGTGACCCCTGTTGAGAACTTTAACCAGATCACGCACCACTTCCTCGACTGTATCTACACACACCTCCGCAACACCAAGGTACGATTGATTTCATTGCAACTCATGCTGATGGTTGTGTTCGTGTAGGGTCCTCTTGGTGGTGGAGGAGGTGCAGCGGCGGGAACGCAAGGCTTCACCGACACCTCGAGTCATTTCGGTGGTGGGTTCAACGCGTTTGGCGGGCAAGCGGCGTCCACAGGCGGTCAGCAAAACTACAACTTTGGCGCGTCGGACTCTGGGTTCTCAGACCCCGCGCAGCAGGCGATTCTCGATATCCTGGGCGCGAGTTCGCTGGACATGGGTCTGTCGGTGGACCAGATCAAGCAGAACCTCCACGGGCGCGTCACCGACGCCCAACTTCGCGACGCGTTGAACTACCTCACGAACGAAGGGCACATTTACTCGACCATTGACGAAAACCATTTCAAACGCACCGCGTAATACTATTACACGAATGCCATTTAAAAAGAAAAAAGAAAAATCGAATTTTGTTTTTCCATGTTGTTCTTCAAACTGTGTCGCAAGTTCAAGCTAACATGGCGCGGCAAGGACGCGCAGGCGGAACGCCCGCGGCGCGATGTCCAAGCACGATTGCTTGGCTTTGTTGGTCGCATGCACGTTGGCGCCATGTTCCACGAGCATTGCCGCGATGCCTTCATGGCCTTCAAGGAGTGCAATGTGCAATGGCGAGTTGCCTGTGTTGACATAATTGACATGGGGTATAGGTACATCATATTATTGTCAAGTCGATTCGAAATATTGGAGGGCTCAATGAACAGAAGAACCAAATCGACAGACATTCGATATATACGACCAATCAAAACCCACAACACGAACCAAGTGGCCAATCAAATCCACTCTTGGACCAAGGCAACATCAAATTAGTGTGTGGCTTTAATTAGTGTGAAACTGGACGCTTATTACATACAAAAGTCAATACAAAGAATCGACCGATCGATAGATTTGGCAAAGAATCCGAAAGTCAGCCAAATTTTGGGCCAAAGGACTGACGAAAGATCAACTGTACCATGAACGTCTTGGGTAGAGAGGGACGCGCCATGATCCAGCAAGAGATGGACGATCTCTACAGGGGAACGAACGGTGGTGGGAGGGGATGATGGTTTGAAGTTGGAAGCGCACCTGGTGACGGCCGACCACCCAATGCTTTCGTCAGCGGAGTCGCGCCAGATCGGTCCTAACGACATGTGAAACACATTAGACTAATGTATGCAACAACATCATGCACGTACCGCATGATTAATGTTGCTTGTCGAGTCCACAACAAGTTCAGCGATTTCTTGTCGGCCTAGTGAGAAGGAATGAGATGACGAGGACGGTATGGCAGACAATCCTACATACCTTTGTGGTAATGGAGTGCGATTTGACCGTTTTCGTTGGCCAAGTTGGCATTCGCCCCCCTAGACGTACGGGAATAATGATGAGGAATGGAGAACTTTGTGTGGGATGTGAAGGAGAACGTACTTGCTGAGCAAATGACTTACAACATCAACGTGCCCTGCCGACGTGGCACTCATCAACGCTGTCCAGCCAGAGTCATCTTGACGGTCGAGCTGTGTGATCTCTGCCAGGTATTCCACGACGTCAATATACCCCGACGACGCCGCCCAGTGGAGCGCCGTTCGCTCGTCCTCGTCTACCGCATTCGGATTGTGCCCACTAGCAATGAGCTTCTTCACTTCCTACTCGTTTCGTTATGACACACATATCGCTATCGTTATCCATCATCCGACGGTAACGTTACCGCAAGATCACCTGAGCGCGCCGCGATGCCCAAGGATGACATGAACTTGTCCAAACGCGAGGTAAGTATCCGGATATAATACCCATCGTATATCCGGATATCCACCAGAGATAGGGCGGTCGTCGCCGATCTTATCCTGAAAGAACAAAAAGCAAGGAACGACGTCATGGCGAAGGCAGTCATCTCGTCGGTATGAAGATGGATGCACGTACCCCCAAGATGTCAACGAATGTGTCTGTGGTAGATCTTGCAATCTCAGCTGGGCAGATACGTCGATGGGTTGGCCCCAGAATCGTTGCAAGTGGGGTTGTGGAGCGGCGAACTACTGCTGACGAATTTGAAGCTCAAGCCGAACGCACTCGCAGAACTGAACCTGCCCATCCAAGTGATTCAGGGGAGCATCGCGAAGGTGCATGTGCTCGTCCCGTGGAACCAGTTGGGATCGGCGAGCGTTCAAATCACCCTGGAAGGCATCTATGGGGTCGCCGTACCCAACAACGAGGTAGGTATTTTTTCCAAAACCCAACCCAAAAAGTCGCGAAAGCTGAATATCTGGGAGATTCAATATAAATATCGCCTGCCCTTTCTGCGTGATTTCACATTCGACGTAGTTGCCGACACCCGAGGAAGTGTTGGTGGGGATACGAAATCGGCTGGAACGGGCCGAGTTGCTTCGGCAGCACCAACGTCACTCGACCAACTGCGAGCACGCAGGAGCGCCGAAAGAAGACGAGACGTTCTTTACTCGATTGACTTCGCGCATCATGGACAATCTGACGATCACGATTCGGGACTTTCACATCCGATACGAAGACGTGACGTCGAACCCGAGCACCCCGTTCACGTTTGGCGTGTTGTTGGAAAGTTTCTGCATTGAAACCACCGACGAGCATGGGACCAAGGTGTTTGTGGACCGAAGCGAAGCGCCGCCGGACAAGATGCACAAGGTCGCGACGCTGAAAAACTTGACCGTGTATTGGGACCGGCTGTCGCGCTCGACGTCGCTGCAGACGTCCAACACGTTCGCGGCGTCCATGCGAAGCGTCATTTACAGCGACTTCAAGCAACTGGATCGGCGATGGTTGCTGCTACCTCCATGCTCCCTCAGCGTACGTACTTTCATCGTACAGTATTGCTCTTTTACCCAAAATTTGGTTACTTTTGTGCGGATTCTTTGCCAAATCTATCGACCGATTCTTTGACTTTTGTATGTAAAAAGCGTCCAGTGTCACACTAATTGAAGTCACACACTAATTCCACGTTGGTTTGATCAAAGAGTGGATTTGATTGGCCACTTGGTTCGTGCTCTGGGTTTTGATTGGTCGATTTTCGATTGCCTGCCCATTCGATTGAGCACCCCACTCCAATTTCGAATCGACTTGACAATATCAAGTCTCCCAATCTGTGTTTGATACTGTTTATCCATAATTGTTGTGTTTATGCATTGCTTGGTAGAGTTCGCTTTGGAGTGATTATAGGCTAGTTAGTGTATATAGTATGTATTCGAGATAGACCATGTGTATTGTGCTTTTCACCCAAATTTGGACATTTGAGTCAAGTAGCCACTAGCATTTGATCCTATTTCAAACTAAACCATACGAATGTTTTGTATATATCAGGATTTGCCCAATACTGACAGAATCAGTACTTCTGATTGGCAGAAATTCCACAGACGTGATTTGATTGGCTGTTCTTTCATTCGATTCTAGTTTCGAATCGATGTGGCAATACCTATTATCCACATATATCGTATTCTAGTTCAAGGCTACGTTGGTTCTTTTTGCTCGAGTTCAATATTGAGCAACATTGAATTCCTGGCAAAGTACAATATGTTCTTGACTCGATGCTATCATATAAACGTTTTGATCTTTGTAACATTTGACATATGTGTATTATTAGGTTCGGTTTACCAAGAACGAAAGCCAAGTGTTTACAAAGGAAAGCCCCAAGTACCGAATTCAATCCACGGTGCGCTCCTTCGCGCTGCACTTGAGCCGGGAACAGTACGACGAGATGGTGTTTATGTACTTGGCGATGCGAAGTCGATTGGCAATTGAAGCGCACTTTTGGTACAATCGGCACCGCCCGTTCCTGTCCATCACCAACTACTCCATTGTACGCACTATATACAAACCCATCGCTCGATATATATATTGTGATTTTTGTACCCAACATATATTTGGACTTTTGTGCTATATCGCCAAATCTATGCGATCGATTCATTATTGTACTGACTGCATCATTTTGTATGTCAAAACGTGTTCGATGGCGATTGGTATCACACTAATTGAAGTTATACACGAATTAGAACGTGATCATGGTTTCCTGCAATCGGATTGGTCAAAACCTTTCCTGTCGATTCTTCTGTATTAGTACATTTGATTGTATTGTGGATTCGATACGAATTTCCAGACCCCGTCGAATCGAATCTCGCCGCCGAATCGAATCACGAATCGACGCTATTGGCTAATCCATTTTTTAGTGGATTTGATTGGCTCTTGCAGAAAGGACAATTATAGTCAACCAATCACAACTTCCGGCGTGATTCAATATGGACTAGACAAACCAGGCGAATTTTGGAAGTTTATAGCGAGTTCACAATAAGTCGATTTATTCATTCTCCATTGTCGCTATCCAGTTTAATACGCACTATACATATATATCCATACCTTGTTCCACGCTGACTGATATATATATATATATTTATGGGTGTGTATGTAGGTGTGGTGGGATTACCTGGTGCGGTTTCACAGCAAAAACAAAAAGCTACGTTTTCGATGGTCCGTGGTGCGCAAACTCGCGCGCGATCGAAAGATGTACATGGCGCTGTACAAACAGCATCACCTGCAGCATATTCCGCTGACGGTGGAGCAACTGGCGTACTTGCAGCGCCTCGAAGACATGTTTCCGATCGAACTGACGCTGCGTCTGCGGGACGTGGCCGACGCTCAGTTTGCCAAGACCAAGTCTGACGCCGTTTCGTCATCGTCGTGGTTTGGGTACTTTTTCGGCGAAGGAGGCGAGTCATCCAAGGATGTCCAACAGGATGTGCTGTCGGCGGAAGGCAAGGCGGATCTCAAGCGCGCATTTGAAGAAACCGCGGCGCTCGAACTAGCGCCAGTGCCGGATGACTGCTGCATTGTTGTATTGGACCTGACGTTGCAAATGGGGCAAGTGGGGCTGTTTGCGTACCAGAATGTGCCGCTACTGACGAGCGAGTTTACCGGATCGTGCTTGTTTCAAGTCCAGCCGGCGTCGCGGTGGTTGGCGCAGATGCAACTGCGGCGGTTGAACGTGTTCAATTGGCGGTGCGCCGACGCCTCCGCGGCCGGCCGCTTGTTTTGCACGCTTCAGGTCGATGACGGTGGATCAGACAAGAAGGCGCCGTTTGAGGTATCCGTAGCCGCGACGGACGCGACGGGCATGCGTGTGCGCGTGTCGGCCGAACCGATCCGCGTCGTGCTGGACGCCGTGTTCCTGCTGCAACTGGCAGACTTTTTTTCGACACATGACACGCTCAACGACGTGTGGGCGTACGCGACGAGCTCGGTGCAAAGCTACGTTTTTGCCGAGCACGAAGCCGACATGCGGGCGGCGGCGGTGGTAGCCACCAACAAGAACATCGTGTACGACGTTCTCGTGGACATGAAGGCCCCGCTGGTTGTATTGCCGGAAGACCCCACGGCGGCCCATACGTCCATGGTGGTGCTGGACTTGGGCCGCTTTCACGTCCGAGATGTGCCGACAGCAGCAGCGTCTGCCACAGTGTACGCGTGGCAAATCGACATGACCAATATTGAAGTCCTGCTGCAACAACAGCACTCGTCTAAGCCAGGCGTGCCGATCGTGCCTGGCTTCAGCGTCGGGTTCGCCGTCGAGACGTCCAGGAACTTGCAGGACACTCGCATCCCATATGTGATGGCGAAAGCATCCATGCCATCTGTGGTCGTGAATGTCGGCCAAGAGACCATCGTAGCCCTAGGAACTCTCCACGCTCGTCTGTTGAACCAATGCCAAAGGTACATCAAGGCTACATCAAAGCCAGATATGGCGTCATTTGCGCCAGAGAAGGGGGATGTTGAAACAGCAACCGACTTGTCAGTCGTACGACTAGCACCACAAGAACAAGCCAGCGTCAAGTTCCACCTTACTTGGGTCGTCGAGTGTGTCCACGTGAACATTGACGAATCGTTTCGCATCATCATGCACGGCACGTGGTTCGACTACCAAGCGTCAAGTGCGGCCACGACCACGATTCGAGCGAAGCTGCAGGATCTGTGCATGGAAGACAAGTGCTATGCGCCGTCGTCGCCATATTTCTACTTGGCCCGCACCCAAGACTCGACCGACTTGATTCAACTCACGATTGCCACCTCCGATGCCCCCACTCGCCATGCCGATGTGACGGTGGACGTCCACTTTAACGTGTTGCACTTGCAGTGGAATCCGCCGTCGATCATGATGCTGTATACGATGATCTCCGCCTATGGAAGTAGCATGGACGACGGGGCTTGTGCGGGTATGATGGTCGACATGTCGTCGTCGTCCTTGCTGAGTCAGAGCACGCTGCTGCTTGTACCCACGTCCCCCCCCACCACCACCAGTACGATCCCCGCGTTGAAAATCACGGCTTCGCTCAAACAATTCAGCATCTCATTCAACAAGGATGTACTGGATCGGCGACTGCTCACGCTCACGGTAACCGACGCGTCGGTCGTATATGTGGGCGAGAACTCTGGGCAGTACAACGTCAAGGGGGAGCTGGGGGACGTGTCAGGTGTGGATTCTAGCGTCGTGAAAGCGCCGAAGTATTCGCCGTTCTTTGGCATGGACCGAACGGCCCATGGTTGTTTCAAGCAAGAAGGTGGTAGATCGCCAAAGCTGGTAGTGTTCGAGTACGCCGTGCAAGGCGGCGCGATGCTGCCCCGCCTCGCCCTCGTGCTGGATTCGATCCGGATTGTGTACTTTCACCAGCAAGTGTTGGAACTGGTCGACTACTTATTCCAAGGCATTTTGGGCACCCTTGTCAACCAAACGCTTCTCTCTGCGACACAGTTGATCATGGAACCTGCCACGACGCTCATATTGGACATCCGCATCCACCGGCCCAAGATCTTGATCCCCATGGATCCATTGGATGTCGAGCACTTTTTACTGCAATCATCGCGGCTACAAGTGCATCACACCCCCAGCACGTTGGCTTCGTACTGTTGTGGATCTTCGCTTTTGGAGAGGGTCACCACGGCCACCACCACCAGTCACACGTTGCCATGTGATTTCAAGCAAGTGGTGCTCGAACAAGCGGGGCTGTACAGCACCGACGGCCGCGGCGGGTACGACAACCTCATGGCCACGCCCTTGACGTTGGACATTTCGATCCTCGACATTTACTCGACTCGATTGAAAGACGACGACGGATCGACTGCGCTTCCTCGGTTCTCCATTGACTGCGTCATGCCCCACATGCACGTCCACATGTCTCGGACGCATTATCTCATGTTTTTCCGAATGCTTTCCGACAACATTGGCGGCGCATCGCTGTATCAGAGTGTCGCGGTAGACGACGACGACGACATGATCATGGCCAAGTCTGAGATGGCGCATCGACCAGTGGTCGTGTACGAGTATGCCAATGCCGACTTGGAAGGCGCGACCATGGCAGTGTCGTTCAGGATGGAATCGTTCTCGTGCTGTGCGCTCGACATTGGGCTAACGCTGGAGACGACCAACTTGACTGTGTGTCTACGCCTCCTCAACCACATAAATCCATCGCTCGACGTGAGTTTGGCGAACGCGTTCATTTCCGACGACCTCTTGCGCTGTGAATCGGTCGTGACCATCCGATACGAATGGAGCAATGCCAGCGATGATGCTGGGCTGCTGCTGGGTACGTCCTCGACGCTAGACGTTGCACTCAACCACTTGCACGGCAAGCTGATTCCGCACGTGTTGTCGGATATATCTCGCTTCTTTGCCATGGACGCCGACGCGACCGCCGTGCATGACGACGTGACGACGAGGCCATGCTCGGAACCGGCAGCCCAATCACTGGCGAAAACACCTACATCGTTCACAATGAATGTGCTGGCGACGAATGTCCAGCTGAGCTTGCCGCAGTCGTTGACGGACAAGCAACCCACCGTCGAACTCGTGGTAGCAGCCAACTTTAATGTGGCACTTGAGAGCTTTGCAAACCACGCCGACAATCTCGACCAAACGCTGACATTGCAAGCAAGGGACCTCGAAGCATTGCTGCAGAATGCGAATCGACAAGGATGTAGCGATACCCTGGTGCAGTTGATTGAACCCACGACGGTCGGGGTGACGTATCTGGGCTTTCAACACGCGTGCCATCACCAAGACAAGGTCGACGTAACTGTGAGTCCCGTTGAAGTGTTCTTGTCGTACGAAGACATGCGGGTGTTGGCAGACGTGTGGACGACCATGCAGCACGACATGGCACCAGCGTTCCCGTCGTCTGGGCCCACATCTGCGACGACGTTGTCATCTTCGAAAACGCTTCCCCTTGTCGCAGACAGCGAAGTCCAGCGCCATGTCACAGTGGACGTCCAGCGCATGCAGCTGACGCTAATCAACGACTGCGACGGGTGCGATATGGGCCTCGTACAGCTGGAACTGCCGACGTGTCGCGTGTTTCTAAACGCGACGACCACCCACGACGCGACCACGGCCACGGGGGGCGGTGATATTTCATTTGCGTCTTCGTACTATAACCCCGATAGCCGCGTATGGCATCCGCTGTGCCCGGAATGGAAAGTGCATGCGTCGGCGATGACCAACATTCCGCACGCGCCAACCACCACAGACCAGTTCAAGTCGATGCAGTGGAATATCTCGGCCGACACGCTGCATGTGACGGCAACGCACGGGTTGCTGGAAGCGCTGGCGTCGGCGGGGGGTACCTTGATCAAGTCGAAACAACTAGACCAAACCAAGCATGACGCGCCATGTTTGATTCAAAACGAGTCGGGACTGCCCATTGAGTACTGGTGGAGTAGTGATCCGTCGGCAAAGACTCGCGTCCAACACAAAGCCGCAGACAATATCCACTACGTGCATGTCAAAGGCAAGGGCTCTGGCGTCACACGAACATATACGTCCAACGATAAGGAGCACGGCACGCTCTGTATCAACTTCGTTGGTATGGACACCAAACCAGTTCAAGGTATGTACAAATATTGTGTTGTAACCCCAAATGTATATATCTGGACTTTCGTGCTGCATCACCGCCAAATCGATCGTTGATTTTTTCGACTTTTGGAAGAATCGTCCGACGTCTCACACTAATCTCAGTCACACACACTACTTCGATGTTGCATGGGCTTGAAAGAGTGAATTTGATTGGCCACTTTGGATTCGGTTTGATTGGTCATTTATCAAATAGTGTGCCGATTTGGTTCTTGTGCTCATTTATTTTTTCGACGAGAATAATACATACTATGTAGCCGTCTTTTACACTCGATCATGAATCACCATAATCAATATATCGAAGAAATGTAACTGAATATATTGTGTTATCTAGGCATTGTGGTCGACCAGTTGGGCACGCGTCCCCATGCCCTTGTCGAGACGTGCGGGAGTTTGTCAAAGTTGAGGTTTGAAGACTTTTACTTTGCAGTGTCGTTGTGAATATATATATATATATATATACCATACAAATAATACAAGATAAATATATATATATATATATAGTTACTTTTTCTAAATCCTCTTGTTGCATTTACAAACGATACGATACAATATATATACAAGATACAACGACGCTACAACACGATATCTATTCCATGTGAACTTAACCACTTGGTATATGCGTAGTGTGACTTGTGATACCCAGCTAGTGGGGGGCCATATCGTGCTGACGATTTCGTCGCATTTGCGCGTGCAAAGCCATTTGTCCAATGAAATCCAACTACTTGTGTACGACCCGACGTGGAATTCACCCGTGGAAGTTGGCACGTTGCGGCCGTTGGAAGCCACGTACATTCCGATTGCGTATTCCACGGGGTACGAACTCCTAGTACTACTAACTACTACTATTAGCACTACTACTCGTACTCACAAATGTACTAACTAGATCGGAACTGCGCGTCCGACTGAACGGCTCAGATTGGGCATATAGCAGCCCCATTCCCATCGACGCCACGAGCACATCGACGATTCGCGTCACCTGCACAAACGAGTCGAAAGTCGCCGTGTTTTGTGTGGCGTTGGCCAACGGCCTGATCCAACTGTACGAGCCATACGTTGTTGAAAACAAACTGCCCGTGTCAGTCATGTTTCAAGTGAAAGATGCGCAGTCGTTGCCTCGGGGGGATGACGTGGCCGTCGGATGCAAGTCCGCCATCTGGTGGTGTCGAAGCACGCCCATGTTTGCATTCCACGTCCCCGGGTGCGACACTACCAACTGGCTCCCGCTGCTCCGTAAGCGTAACAACGACACGTTCTCACTCGGGCTCAAGCGGCTGGACAAGCAACCGCTGACGATTTTGGTCGTTATCTCAGAGAACAAGGCCAAAGCAACTACGATCACGCTGTTGGCCGAGATGTGGATCATCAACAAGACTGGGCTCGACTTGGTCTACGGAAATGACCAGGACGACGCGTACACCCCCCCCAACGCCGCCCGATCCGTGGTGGATGGCTCCACGGATATTACGCTCTACTCGACGCCAACCACCCTGCGCATCAAGATGATGACGCCGGCGTCATCGTGGACTGCTCGGTTCAAGCCAGACCCCAAGCGCATGAACTGGCAAGACGAGTGTCTGTCTGTGACCACTCGACAAGGCAAACTGCACGAGTTTGGCGTGTCGGCGGACTACGCCACGCGCCATTTCGGGGTGCTCACGACGCTCGTTAGCATCACCCCGCGCTACGTGGTGGTGAATCGCACGCCATGGACGCTTGTTGTGCTCGAGGACGACGGACTCATGCACACAATTGACACGGTGCACCATGTCATCAACGCTGGAGACGCGTACAGTCTGTGGTGGACCCAGGGCAAGCGCACGGCCATTCGCGCCAGTGTCGTGGGGCTCAATGGCACGTCGAGCTGGTCCGACTCGTTCAGCGTCGATAAACCCAACACGTTTGACCTGATCATTCCCAACGACGAGTACTGTCCGTTCCTGCAGGTATGATATTGTTGTATATATATATATATATATATATTGTGCATTGCACCCAAATGTGTGAGTCATGTGGCGAAAAAAATAACAGTCGAATCCGTTGATTCGATCCAATTATTTCAGCTTGTACAAACTATACGATACCAGGATTACAGTAGTATATATAATTTTTGCCAAATAATGCGGAGGGACTGGGCCGAGTCAAACGTTTGGATTGGCTTAAAATGACCAGAACGTGATTTGATTGGCTTGGCGGTTGTTTAATTCTCCATTCTCGCATTTTTTTGCTATATATATATAAAATAATTATTATTTTATGTAGAAATATCTATAATAAGTATATCATAGATATTTATAAATAAATAATGGTTTTACAAGAATTTTTTTATAATAATTTTGAAATATTAATTCCTGAATTTTTTATAACTTTAATAATTTTAAATTTTTTATTACGAAGCGTCAAGTTATATTTATTTGATATAACGGTAGCGGAATATTCTGTATGTTGTTAAAGATATGTTGTTAATATATTGAAGATATCAGAATAGAATATATATATTTCAGTGTAGGAAACCAGTATCGTTGTCGAATCAACGCATATATATATATATGGTGGTAGGTCAGTGTCAAGACGGGCGGGCTATCGCAAGCAACTTTTGTCGTGGACATTGTGCGCTTGGACTCGGAACCCGACGTGGAGCAGTCCAAGTGGGACATAATCAGCTACGACATCAACGTACGGAATATCACGACTTGTTGCATCTAGAGTATATATATATATTTAGTACTTACTATAGGTGGCTGGGTTGGATCTGACGCTGTCCGACTCGACGAAAGCGACGTCCCCCGCGTTCGAGTTATTTGGCGGCACCGGCGTCATGTCGGAGGACGTGGCGCGATTCCGCATTTCCGACATCCGCTTCGACTCGTTCAAAGATCGCCTCTCGACCAACGTACGTACAGAAGTAGTACTCGATTGGGGTATTTTGCCGTTTATATTTACAAAATATTGGCCTTTTTATATATCGCCCAATCAATCGATGGCGTTGTTTGATTGGAAAAACGTTATTGTGCTTTCGAGTGAAATTTCATGTTGTGGCGTGGTTTCTCGTTGGAATT